CATATTCATACATAAGTCTGAATGCTAGTCTTATATGAAGTACAGTTCTGGTTATCAAAAATACTTTTATAAGTAATGGATAAACCGCAACACATGAGTGTAATTAATCATAGTTGCATACAGAAGCAAAACATTTAATTTTTAAAAATTAAACCCCCATACCATAATCACAGCTTTCTTAATAGAAGTAGCCTAAACATCTCTTTTTCAACTTTTGGACAGGCTCCTTTCTAGGGTTTCCTTTCTTATACTACTCATAATCTTCGATACTATATAGATGCAGTTGCACTTGAAATACAGCTTTTAAATAGTATTTTCCTCAAAAAGTCTTGTTGGTAATTTCTTTTCCTCAGTTCTTGAACTTGTGTAGTTTAAACATTTGAAGGCTGATCTTCTCCATAATTCCATATACATAGAGTAATACCACCAAGATTGAATTGAGTTTACAAAAAAGGCAAAGTATTCCTTCTCTACTGAAACCTAGAAAGGAAAATAATAAATCTTTGAAAATATAGTAAAAGTAAATATCCTGCCATAGCCAAAATATTGTGGGCTGTCTAATTCCAAGTTAAATTTCTAACCTGTTCTCTGCTTGAGGCCTCATGTACAATATGTGCTTTTCCTATGTGCTTTCTATACATATTGATGTCGTGATATGCGTGTCAATGACACATCCCGTGGGGATGCTACAATGAAAAACTAATGCACAAAATTGAACTAAATCCCTTTTTGCAATTTGACATTTGTCCACATGTTGACATACGCAGAGGCTGCTGGAAGAGACTATTCTGTCCATTCTGATAGTTTAGCTATAAACTAATCCATACTTAATCTCCCTTAATCTTGCATCTAATTGTCCCAATATATTAGAAAGAATATATTTCTTATATGCTTACAAAATGCTAACACAGACCACACAGATACATACCCTGTTTTCCCCAAAATAAGACATCCCCTGATAATAAGCCCAATCGGGCTTTTGAGCACATGGCAATAAGGCCAAGCTTATTTCATGGTTCAAAAAAATATAAGACAGGGTCTTATTTTCAGGAAACACGGTATTAGAAGGAACACAACTAGAAATGCATGAGATCAAGACATGTTTTAGTTTTAGATTGTTAAACAAGGGATGGGATTTAATAATGGCTCCTCCCTATTCTGTACTTCTAAGAGCATGAAAAATGTTTAAGTTGTATAGATAAAGCTTCATGATTTTAACGATTCTACATTATAACTTAGTATTATTCATCTTTAGGCAGTTTGATTAAATTTAAAATAACCCACTGTCAATTGGATACGCAGCAGAGCATAGATGTCTCCAAAGTTTTGTCATAAAGAATTTTGATTGTTGGGCTCCAGAAGAACCTTCTCTGCTGCAGCATCTGCTCTTTGGAACATCTGCCCTCTAGGGTAAGATCTATCCTCAATCTCCTATCCTTCCATAGAGCCTAAAGACCTGGCTCTGAAAGTTGGCCTGGAGATCTAATGGGAGAGTTCAATTCTGGAAGTAGCTGCTAGATTGACAGCAGACTCCACCTCCCCACATGCCCATTTTTTACTAGTGCATTTTCTTTTTATTATATTTTTATTTTATTGTTCTATTATCTTTATGTCCGCTTTGTTTAAACTTCCTTACTTATTTTTTATTGTAAGCCATCTAGAGTGGCCCTTTAGTGACATAGGTGGTAAATAAATTTAATAATAAAAACAGAAAAGTGGCATGGAAGATAAAGTATTACATGGCCAGTACATTTTTAAAAAAAAGATAAAGAAGATAACAAGACCTGGCAATGGCCAAATGCAGGAAAGAGACAGGGAGGCTAATTCTGGCTGCACAAGACCAAACCTTAACAAATGCATACAAAGCCAAGTAGCAACAGATAGCAAGTGCCGCCTTTGCAAAAAGCTAAAGTAATAGCTGATATAAGAAGATTGCACAGATTGACTACAAACAATGGTATGACAAAGGAGCAACAATGGTGCATTGGAAGATTAGCAAGAAATATCATTTGCCTACAAATAAGAACTAGTGGGACCATAAAATAGAGAAAGTCATAGAAAATGAAGCTAAACTGGTTTAGTGCACCCTGTTATTAACACAGCTGCCTGCAATTTCTGCTGGTTCAAATCTCTCCAAGGCTCAAGGTTGACTCAGCCTTTCATCCTTTCTAAGGTAGGTGAAATGAGGACCCAGTTTGTGGGGGCAATAAGCTGACTTTGTATAAAATATACAAAAGAATTAAGGCTATTGCTTAACGCATTGTAAGCCGCCCTGAGTCTCCGGAGAAGGGCGGCATATAAATCAAATTTTAAAAAAAAAACTGATTAAATTAGTCAATTAAGTTTTCATCTCAACAATCGTCCTGAACTTTTCTCCATCTGGAAATTATATTTTCCTCTAGCTTCCTGTTTTAGCTATCAATAAAACATTCTTCTCTGAACAGGGCTGCTTCCATATATATATAACCTGACTTCATAGCCTCTAATGAAGAAACAAAGTCTACTTATCCCAATTCCATCCACTCAATTTAAAATATTTGTTTTCTTTATTGTTAAATTTATTTACTACTTACCATGGGACTACTCTGAAGAGTTTGCAACAATAAAATGAAAAAAAAAGGTGATTAAAAAAAGTAAAAATAACAATAGTAAATTTTAACTTCAATTGTCATGCTCTGACAGTAGGGAAACAGTTCAATTCTCAGGATATATTGTCACTACTGATTTCAAAATGTCCTCCTTAAAAAATTAAACTCTCCTTCAAGTCACCACAGCTAATGGAAATTTGATTGTGATCCTGTAATTTTTGGCAGTAATGAATACAATAATCCAGGAGCATCTTCCTGGGTTTTGTTTTGACTTAGTATAAATTGGAGCCACAATATTTTCTGATGTGCTCACTGACAGCCCTGGAAGCCATCTTTAACTTTGGATCTTCAGGTCTGCCACTCTCAGTGGATGGGCAAGCTGTGGGAAACGGGAGGAGAGTGGATGGAGACAGTGTGGGATGTATAGCCTGCACCTGGAGAGCAGGTGCAGGATGTATAGCCTGCACCATGGACCCCCTTTAAATAACTTTTGTGATTCTGGACCATGGCTCTGACTCCCAAGACTTAGATTTAAATTGTAACATTTCTTCAAACCTTCACGGATCTCCTGTGACAACATTGTAGCCCCCCATGGGTCCGCAGATCATAGGTTGAGAATCATTTATATTAAATTATATAATACATTGAATAAATGCTAACATCTTCATGACTATTTAATGTTATACTCTAAAAGACTATGTTCATATTATCCCTTGAAATAAAGAATATAGTACCTACAAAAAACCTGAAGGATATACAAAAATATTCTGCAACTATTATGCATAATCTTTCTTTTTGTAGAAAGATATTAGATAGAAATATATTTTCAGTATCTAATAAAACACTCAAAATATACTTTTTCCATTACCTGCTCTGCTGGAATGATCATCATCACTGAACTTATGATGCTACAATTTGCCTTTCCTTTTTGGGTTATTCATCAATATAATTTTCTTCAGTATCTGCACCAATTCATATTATTTCAGTGCAGAGAAGATTTGCAAAAGAAATGTAACTATTTATGATGACAAATTTAAGCAATAAATCCTTCATATTTTAAAAAGATTCTTCCATTTGTTCTTTTTTTTCGACAGTCAGATTCATGGTTTTTTTATAGCATGAATTTTTTAACTCATAACAATATTTTAAAATTATTATTAAATTAAATCTTTCATACTTTCATTTTAAATGATTTAGAAAATTCTAATAATGATAGAATAAAAATTGTTTGAAGGTAAAGAAATCAATTACTAAAAATAACATCTTTTTTTTAAAGACTTGGACAAATCTAATAGATATAATGGATCAGTTAATTATCAAAGCAATTTCACAATATTGCAACAAACAAAAATGTTTACATATGCTCAGCTCTACAGATGACCACATCACTGACTGTTTGGCATGATACTGAAATTGCTAATTTAGTTCAGTACTGACTGAATTTGTGTAAATAATCAAATTAGATTTGGATTTGATATTCCACTCTAAAAAAAATAAGTCAAGATATTTATTTTGTTTTCAAGAATCAAATGCAAAAATCAAACATGTGCCATGAACTGTACAGATACCTAGTGGGAAGTTAGGGAGTGAAATAACCTTTCACATTACAATCACATTTGCAAATAAATGTGAATGCTTGAACGGAAAACTACTGGTGCTCTTGAACAAGAAAAAAATCTCCGGCAGATTACTTGAAAAGCAGAGATCCAGGGAATACCTTTATAACCTCAAGCATCCAGATTATCATTGCAACAAAGATTTATAAAGAAAAATGTACCTAGGCCTATAAAAGTTTTAAAACGGCCCTGATTGCTATCCCTCTGGAAATTATTATGGTTGAACTGGCATAAGATGCATATCTTTTTCTTTTCTGCTTATTTTTGTAATCAAAAATGCACATTGGCATAGAAAAAGTAAAAAATTACTGATTAAAAATAGTAATCATCAAATGTGACTTTATGAAGGGATTCATCTCTCCCTTTTCGCTCATTTCATGCCACTTTCCTTGAGGATGACTTTCTGTAGTTTGGGGCTAATGTAGAGAGAGAGGGTATACTAGATAACATACGGCAGAGAGATAATCAAAAATTTCCTTTCTTGGATGACCTTCCCTGCAATATCAGCCTTATTTGGGCCTCGTTGGAAAAAGCCTCGCTTTTTTCAGATCAAGGCTATCAGTAAGCAACATTTATGCCTGAGGCCAAAAAACATCGCTTTACATTTCTCGTTGAAAAAATGTATTGCCTTATTCTTGTCCTTTTATAAGAGAAACCCAATCTCGATTTTTTTTTTAAATCTAATTCTTCATCCAAATACAATAAAATAGCTCATTCTTCATCCAAAGCGATTCCATGTGCAAAAAAAAAAAAGGAAAAGGAAGGAGTGCACAGATGCGCACCACTGAAAACTAACCGTCAACTGTATGGTCCTCCACTTCCGCTCAAGCAAAGCGCCAAAGACGCCTTCAAAAACCGGAACCGGAACTTTCAAAAGCTAGCGCCAGTAGTTCTCAATCTTCGGCAATTTTTAAGATGTGCGGCCTTCGATTCCTAGAATTACCCAGACAAATCTTAGCCTAGGCCTTCCTTGGAGATAAAGCGACTTTTCCCCTGAGGGCATGCGCATTCTGGCCAGCAAGATGGCGTCCTTTGCTGGAGCTAGAATGGCCGTCAGGGTCGCCTACGGGCTGCGCTCCCGCTCCTGCCTCGACCTCCTTTGCCGCTGTGGCGGAGCTCGATTCCTTTGTACACCTGCACCCGCCGGGGGCGTCGAAGAAAGCCACAGAGACCCTCCCTGGGTTGGGACCTGGTACGAGACGCTGTCTTCGTCGGTACCTGTTGCGACGGTAGAATCGGGGTTGATAGCTCTGCAGGTCGCATCCGGGCTGCCCTGGTGGTCCACGGTGTTGGCAGCTACCGCCATCCTGCGCACTGGCTTAACCCTTCCACTCAGCGTCCTCCAGAAGCGCGTCGTCGCCCGCGTGAGTCTTAAAAGGAGGGGTTGCCACTCAGCATTTGCAGAGAGGGTTCTCCTCCTTAATAGAATATGCTCTTATTTACGAAATGTGGGTATTAAAGGAACGGGTGACGCTCCGAAGGAAGTGGGATGCACGTTTTTTACACAGTGATGTTGAATTGTGACACCATATAAGCAGTAGAATTTAGATGAGCAGTCCAAATTCTGCTAAGACCTTTAAGCACTTGTGAAAAAGGTGTGGCAGCACAAAGACGGTGGTACCTTCATGGCCATTAATCCGATTTTTATTTTTATTTTTTTTATTTTTTTTTTGGTATTTGCATCCATGTGGGCACCTGAACTTTCAGCTCCTGAACTTCTAGCGAGTAACATTCACTTTGCCTCATCTAGAAATAGTACCAGATACATGAAGTGATAGATGCATTAAGATTTATGAAATATATTTTGTTTAATTAAATTATGTAAGCAAGATCTCATTAGTCTGGATAAATATCTTTGTTTCTTCCTTTCCCTTTTTTTTCTTTTTTATTGTGCCCGATATTTTTTCTTAGTGTATTCATCCTATTTGTCATCTTCCAGAAGGCCCTCTAACATTTCTCATTTTGCTTGTTCATTGTTTATACTTTATAATATACACTAAAACTTCCATTAGAAGCGAAGATATCCTTAACACAAATGGTGTGAAAACCGTCGCATGATGGACAGTGTAGTGTTAAGGTGCTGGTCTAGAAACTAGGAGACTGGGTGAAGCATATATCTTTAGAAAATAATATCTGAGAAAATTTGTACTTTATATAATTAAGACTTCTGTGTCTTTTCAGCTAGTTAGAAAAATTGCAGCCGGAAATTGAATACTTAGCCAAACAGCTCCGTTATGAAGTTTCAGTTTCTGCAAAGCAATATGGTTGGTCTGAAAAGGAGGCTAGGTAAGATGTCTCTAATAATCACAATAAAATACCAATATATGTCCTTCAGTATTTCATATTTGGATTGATTATCTGAGAGACAAACATATTTGTAAGATGCTTTACCATATCCTACCATGGTATTTGTACAGTAATCTTACTGTAGATCTTGCTCTGGGATTTGGCCTCCTTTTCTATATTTTTCTTTCAGCTATTTGTATATTTTCTGATTAGCATTCCATAGAGATCTAAGTAAACTGTTTCTTCTGATCTTTTCTCTTTTATTCAAAATGTTTTCTTTACCCTTCCATTAACTGTTCCCAGATATGACATATAATGAACAAAATCTATTTGAAGCATTTATTTGCCCAGTTTTTCTGCCAAAGGGTTCTCAGAGTCACTCTCATATCAGTTACAATTAAAGAATGCAACCCCTATTTTCAGGTATACAATATGGAAGAGGTATACAATAAGAAAAAGAGGAAGAAAAATGAATAAGTCTCCAAATTTTACAGTATCTATTCTTACTATGATGATCAAGAATAAAAATAAAATGTCATTAACCATTACTTCTCTATGAATAATTTAAATCTTGGAGCTGCCATCCTTAAAAGTTTAAAAAGCAGGTGTCTATAATGTTATTGAATGATCTCCTACAACTTATAAAAATGCTGAATAGCTGCTCTTGAAAGTCAAATGTTTTCCACAGGTACTTACATTTTCAAAAAATAGTCCAAAATTATCAGTAATAGTTCCATAAGGAATAGCTTTAATATAATGTGTTATTCTTTCTTACCTTAGAAATAGTGCTAAATTCTAATTCTAATCAATTCTCTTATTGCAACATTTTGTTATGCCCCCTTCTGAATCTGCAGCGGAAGATGAGTTGGAACAAGAACTCTCAGTGAGTGAGAGGGCAGCTCAGTTGGCCTTGGAGGAAACAGGGGAAGGGGCAGAGTCAGTCTGGTCAAAGCTGTTCAGAATTAGTAAGACCTCCAGACAGGAGAGACAGGATGAACAGGAGAGACAGAGCTCAGACGAGGAGCAAGAACCATCCCTCCTGATGCAAGGGCTCGGAGAGTGCAGAGAAAGCGTAATCAGGGCAGACAGAGCAGGCCACTCGCGAGGAAACTGCCCCACCCAGCTTCACCAGGCACACCTGGGGAATGAGACTTAAGGAGACGCCGTGGGGAGGTGCATTTGTCGGGAACAAACGTTGAGTTCCTGAACGGTTGTATGCTGATGTTTGAACTTGCCAAGAGTCCTTGCATTCCTTGTTGGCATTCTGGACTAATTATCTGGATCTTTTTCTCCCTGAACTCCTTCCTTTGCTCTTGTTTTGCCAAATACATTTGGGATTTATTGCCGTGCAGCCTTGGTGCAGACAGTGCTGGGTTGGACTAATTGCAGCCAGAGGCTGCTTGAGGTTTGTGTGGGGGTTTATAATCACTCTGCTCAGGGACTTGCCAGAAATGTGGGAGTGTTTGGGGGAGATTTGGAGCAATAAAGACTGGTTTGAATTGCCAACTGTTTGTGTTATCTCTGTGCCATCAAGGTAGGCTTGACTTGCTATGTACTGAAATTCTATTAAATTCAGTAGAAGTAACCACTTTAGTTCATGGACTGTTCTGTTAATCTATAAAATGATCTTTTATTTGCCTTTCCATCCAGGGTATGCTACAGGAGAAATATAAAAAGAATAGTTTCAGAGTTATATATTCGAGATAATTGTCACCCTTTCAAGGCAACTCTGCTCATATGGGTACAGATTCCAGTATGGATCTTTGTTTCCGTAGCTTTACGTAATTTAAGTATTGGCAGAGGAGATTCTGAAGGTAATAGTTTTGTAATGCTGCTTTAAATTATTGTGTTTTCTAAAATTCTTTTCTCAGTTATTTACTTTCTTAAAAGAAACATTTCTTTTCAGACTTAAGATTTTTTTTAGTTTTGCCATTAAATAATTTTTATTCTGAAGTTTATTACAGCAAATAAGTATAATTAATTAAACTTGTATGCTGTCTGATTCCCAATGACTGGGTGGTTCACAATAGTCAAACTAAAACAGTATAATAAAATGGCAAGTATGACAGATGGAATGAAGCAAGGAATCTCACTCTTCTTCACTCTCATCAAAGATTGGTGAAGATTTTCACCAGCGTTCTGAACAACAGCAGAGAGGGGCCATCTAAATCTTTCCAGAGTACAGGCACTAACATTTGTTCTTCGTGCAAGAGTTGGGAGTTCAGGCAGACTTCCAGGTTGTACAGTGCATGAGGAGAGAAGTATAAATAATATCCAACATAATTATTCAAGTGTTAGTATATTATAATAGAGCAATAAGAATTAATCAGCAAAAACTATTCATTGAATATTATTGACATTTTTTTAATCTGGTGCAGCAGAGAGCTTTTCATAGCAGTGTAGCGGTTAAAACTTCAGGCTAAAAACGGGGGGGGACTGAGTTCTAATCTCATTGTGGTTGCAAAGCTAGCACGGTGACCTTGAACCAGTCACTTTCCCTCAGTCCTGGGAAGCAGGCAATGGCAAACCACTTCAGAAACCTTGTCTGGATCAACACTGGTTCAAAACACTGCCTATATGGGCATGAAAACTGACTGACTCTCTTAGCGCAAACCACCTTAAAGGGGTGTCATTGTGAGGAAGTAGGAGGCGGGAGTGTGTGTGAGAGGGAGGGAGCGAGCGAGCGAGCGAGCGAGACAGACAATTGGTATCCAATAATAATAAAGGTCTCTGTCAGATGACCTATTTATCTTTGAAGCTGCTGAATAATATTTAATATGCAAATCATGTAAGCATAATTATTAGTGAAGTTGTGTAATTTAAAAATCTGAATTTAAGAGAAGAAATGCAATGACTTCTCAACTATTACTTTAGTCTAACCCATTGGTAGATCTAGCTCTAGCGTTTATAGATCTAATTCAGTAAGAGAAAGCCAACATCCAGAAGTTGCTGTTGCTAGTCCTTTTTACAAAATCTGCTAGCAATCATTCCTAGTTTAAATTCATTTACCTATTCAGTACTAATGCTTTAAAGTATTTGCCATATTTACAATAAATAATATGCCAATTATTTATGTGTTTTCAATAGGACTTTTAATTCAGGAGCAGTTTTCCACAGGAGGCATACTCTGGTTTAAGGATCTCACTTTACCTGACTCAACTTGGATTTTGCCAATCACGCTTGGACTTCTCAATCTACTGATAGTAGAGGTATTAGGCTTATTATAAAATCATTAGGTAGATTAGAGGGTGTTGTACCCCAAGTAGTATAACAGCTTGTAATTTATTTAATCTGTCTATATAGAATAGAATAGAATAGAATAGAATAGAATAGAATAGAATAGAATAGAATAGAATAGAATAGAATAGAATAGAATAGAATTCTTTGTTGTCCAAGTGTGATTAGACACACAAGGAATTTGTCTTTGGTGTATATGCTCTCAGTGTACATAAAGAAAATAAAATACATTCATCAACCCATCCAAGACCAAGTGGCTGTGGTTTCCGACGTCCCGATATAGTCAATTGGTGCCATCACTGACTATTGGGGATGAGTCATTGCCCCCCACGGAGAGGGTTCGCAACTTAGGCGTCCTCTTGGACTCACGGCTGTCTTTAGAAGAACACTTGACGGCTGTGGCCGGGAGGTCTTTTTATCAGGTTCGCCTGATTCGCCAGTTGCGTCCCTTTCTGGATCGGGACTTGTTAAAAACGGTCACTCATGCCCTCGTCACTTCACGCCTGGACTACTGTAATGCTCTCTACATGGGGCTCCCCTTGAGGAGCACCCGGAGACTCCAGCTGGTCCAGAATGCGGCCGCGCAGGTAGTTATGGGAGCAGCATGGCGCTCCCATGTGGCTCCCCTCCTGCGCGAGCTGCACTGGCTCCCTGTGGTCTTCCGGGTGCGCTTCAAGGTCTTAGTTACCACCTTTAGAGCGCTCCATGGCTTAGGACCAGGGTACTTACGAGACCGCCTTCTGCCACCAATAGCCTCTCACCGCCCAGTACGCTCCCATAGAGAGGGGCTTCTCAGGGTGCCGTCAGCCAAACAATGTCGACTGGTGGCCCCCAGGGGGAGAGCCTTTTCTGTGAGGGCACCCACCATCTGGAACGAGCTCCCCCCAGAGATACAGAAGATTCCGGATCTGCGCACTTTCCGCCGTGCCCTCAAAACATTCCTCTTTCAGCAGGCCGGCCTGGCCTAACTTTCCCTTTATATTGCTTTTTGATTTTATTTTAAACTGGGATGTCTTGAATTATCTAGGACCAGAATGTTTAGTATATTTTAATTGGTTTTTTTTATTATTAACGTTTGTATTACATGTATTTTTATCGTTCGCTGTTCACCGCCCTGAGTCCCTTAGGAATAGGGCGGTATATAAATTTAATAAATAAATAAAAATTTAATAAATAAATCAAGAATAAAAAGATATAACACTTATAGTGTTAGTCAAGGTTACTAATAAGCTATCAAATCGTACTATGAAACAAATAAAAACAATATAAATTGAAAGATACATGAAACATGGTTATAGTAATAAGTGGAAAAAGATATATACTAGTAAGGAAGAGAGTAGTAATACAGTAAATTATTTGACAGTATTGTGGGAATTAATCGTTAAGCAGAGTGATGGCATTTGGGAAAAAACTGTTCTTGTGTCTAGTTCTTCTAGTGTACAGTGCTCTATAGCATCGTTTTGAGGGTAGAAGTTGAAACAATTTATGTCCAAGGGGTGAGGGGTCTAGATATTTTCACAGCCCTGTTTTTGACTCATGCAGTATATAGATCCTCAGTGGAAGGCAGGCTGGTAGCAATTGTTTTTTCTGTAGTTCTAATTATCCGTTGAAGTCTGTGTCTGCCTTGTTTGGTTGCAGAGCCAAACCAGACAGTTATGGAGGTGCAGATTATAGACTCAATAATTCCTCTATAGAACTGGATCAGCAGCTCCTTGGGCAGTTCGAGCTTTCTGAGTTGGCGCAGAAAGAACATTCTTTGTTGAGCTTTTTTGATGACATTTTTGATGTTAGGTGTCCATTTTAAGTCTTGAGATATGATAGAACTTAAAAACTTGAAGGACTCTACTGTTGATAACACAGTATCAACAGTAGTCTAGTATTGTAAGAGGTGGTAGTATAGGAGGTTTTCTTCTAAAATCCACCACCATTTCTACGGTTTTGAGTGTATTTAGTTCAAGATTGTTCTGATTGCACCACAAGGCTAGTTGTTCAACCTCCCGTCTGTATACAGATTCATCATTGTCTTGAATGAGACCAATAACTGTTGTATCATCTGCAAACTTCAGTATTTTAACAGAGGGATCTTTTGAGATGCAGTCATTGGTGTATAGAGAGAAGAGTAGTAGAGAGAGCACACAGCCCTGGGGGGGCTCCTGTGCTAATTGCGCAGGTATCTGATGTGATTTTGCCTAACTTCACCTGCTACTTCTTGTCTGTTAGGAAGCTTATGACACATTTACAAGGGTGGTCAGGTCCAGCTAGCTGATTTAGTTTAGTTAGAATAATATCTGGAATGATGGTATTGAATGCTGAGCTGAAGTCTACAAAGAGGACCCTTGCATAAATCTTTGGAGATTCAAGATGTTGTAGGATGTAGTGCAGAGTCTCATTAACAGCATACATAATCTGTCGATTTATTTGCTCAGTAGGCAAATTGCAAGGGATCCGTGATTGTTCTCAGGTGGCCGAGCACTAGTCTTTCAAAGATTTTCAAAACTACATGTGTTAAAGAAACCGGTCTGAAGTCATTCAGTTCCTTGATGGAGGGTTTCTTCGGCACTGAGATGATAGTAGAGCATTTGAAGCAAGAAAGAACATAGCATATCTATCGCTAATGATTTATTAAAGATGCGGGTAAAGATGGGGGCCAGTTGGTCAGCACAAGGTTTTAAGCAAGAAGGAGTTATCTTGTCTGGACCTGATGCTTTTCCTGGCTTTTGTCTGTGAAATAAGCTTTGCACCTCATTCACTGTAATCACCAGAGGTGGTGGGCCCAATGAGATAGGGTAGGTTGTAGGAGGCTTAGCTGTTGTTGGTGTGTCTGAGATGGGGATTGTGGAGATGGGTGGCAGTAGTTTTCTCTCAAACCTGCAGTAAAACACTATATAATTCTAATTTAATACAGGCTCCCCACAGTTTTCAAAACAAGAAATATTGAGAAGGAGGCACAATGTCTACACTTAAGTACATATAGAATTGGAAACAGCCAATTATTAAACAAGTTACAAAGTACAGAGAGGATAACACTAAATAAAGCTAGGACTGGTATTTGCACTCCTATCTTTCAGACCTTGGTGAAATGTCAAGATGCTATCCCAGGAGCACTTTTATATTTAATTTTCATTTGGATATTGTATGCCTTTGCTTGATCTCAATAATTCCTAACAATATGAATGTTATAACAAGTGCTGTGATTGCTACTGCTGCTGACTATATTGTAGATTTAAGATTCAGATAGCACCTTAGACATAGACATAATTTATTAAATTTGTATGCTGCATGACTCTCAACAACGCTGGGCTGCTCATAAATATCAAATAAATTACAATAAAATTAACAAAATATAAACAAAATAAAGATAGACAATGGCAAATGTACTGAAGCTCGGAGAGGGATACTTAATAGTAACCATAATTGGATCAGAGCAAGTTCTAGTTTTATTATTTTTCCTTCTGTAATGATTCATAGTGTCCCGCACTTGGCTTTTGTTCACTAGGTATGGGCGTCGTTCATTTTAAAATTGAATTGTCACAATTGGTAAAATTTAAGGATCTGGGTGATATAATGCAAAGAAGAACAGTTCGCAAGTATTGAAAAGTTAGCAAAAGAAATAGTTTGGATTCAAACACGTGTCCAGCTTTCTACAACTCCCACAGATACATGGCGTAATGGCAAATAATTTGTTTCAAATGCACATGAACCTCCGATAATTTGATCTGATGGAATTCAGGGCATTTATTTTTATCTAATATGTTTAACATAACAGACCACTTGACTGTGAGTGGTGCACAAGAATAAAAACAGATAAGAAAATGATCAAGCCAGCAAAAGACAGTGATTGCTTTAGTTTTAATAGCAAAGCATTCAGACTCACCTAATACTACCGGTAAAAGAGGGAGTGGTTTTTTTAATGAAGAGACTGAACACCCATACCTAAGTATACTAGATTTTTCTTTTATGTTTTTCTTTTAGATATATGATGCTATCATGTTAGGAATAGAAGAAGCAACTTCTTTTTAAAAAGTCAATTCTCATAAACCAAGAGGTTTTTTTCCAAGGACAATAGTAGAATCTGACAATGCAGTTAATGAAACATCTTCACTGTTCTTTGAAAGGAAACACAATTTCTGTCTTTATAGAAGATGAATTTACATCAAAAACCTTAGATAACATCTATACTTATTGACATGATCTCAACCATGTTAATCTATTTTTTTAAACCAGGGTTCATATTTTAATTCTAAAAAATAAGGCACCCAACTCTCTTTTTTCTGTACCCCATGAAAGCATATCTATAATTCCTGTCAAAAAATACCTAAGTGGTACCTATGGGAGCAATCTTTAATGAAAGACTATTAATTTCTATTTTTTTTAATTGCAATGCTGAGGTAATAATTTATTTGCAGAAGGTGGACTCATTTAGTTGTCCTCACTTATCTTGGTAGTGAAAGATTTAGTATAAACAAGTTATTTATTTCCAGATCTCATAGACAGAATTTATCTTAATTTCCAGAGCAGATGGTATGTAGATAGTTGATCTAAATAGCCAGATGGTTGCCTATGTAGGTTTAATTTGTAGACCTGCAGTCCATTTCTCATGTGGCTACATTAGGAACAAACTGATTTAGTATGTGTGGATATCTGTGGTGTTTTCCATCAGCGATTCAGACTGGGGCTGATGTGAAGTTCTCCTCCGTTGAAGGCCTCTGGTCACAACAGGGGAGCTTCTCTCACAGGTTATTTTGGAGGGCATCTTGCCTATTCAACAGCTCCTGGAGTGGAGTTCTGCTACCATTCCCTCTGCTACCATTCTGTGGAATTGGGATCGTAGAAACACCCAGGAGCATAGAAGAGTTCAGAAGCAGATGCATAAATAAATGTCTTAAACGTATTTATTCATATGATAAATCATATTAACTATGTACAACAGAGATCAAGTCTCATGAGGAACAAACATGAAAAGAGAGAGATGGAGAGAACAAGGTGGAAAAGGTTGGAGGGGGTTTTATACTCAGGGTAAGCCCCTCCTTTCCACATAGGGGTGGAGACACTCTCTGCCTCCACTCTATAGGACACATGTGCCAATGGCTTGCAAATACTTGACAATATCATTGCCAATGGTTATATATTTCTCCATAATGTAGAGACTAACCTTGAGTCCTTAGTCTGAAATAACTGAGACATACCAGATCATAATAATAATTGGCATAAACAAATCAGTCTATTGTGAGACTTCAGAACAAGTGATAAAAAATTCATTCACAGAGTACAATTTCGCCCAAAGAAATAAAATTGTTTAACTTGGCAGCATGTGTAGTTTTACATGTGATGAGTAGTTTGATATAAAGAATATTACTGAGCATATTGGGAATTCTAAAATGTTAATTTTGTAAAAGATACTTGTTAAACATATTTTATGCTGTTAAGGTTTGGTTTAATGAAAAACATAAAAATACATACAAAATCTTAATAGAATGGGTTCTGCCAATTGTACTATAACTTATTTGGCATCAGTACCTCCTGCTCTAATCTTCTCAATTGTGCAACTTTACATGTAGTCATTTCTGTATTTCTATTATTGTGTCTGATTATCAAAATCTCTCATTCTTGACTTGTAACTCCCTGTCATAAGGCCGTCCATCATACTGTGGAATACTATGGCTGTAAAAACTGAAAGGTGTATCAGGTGATACATGTAAATACAGAAATAATCAGCTAATTTGTCCAGAACATCATTCAGTAAATATAATCCTAACTGATATTTCTTCTTACTGTTTCTAATTTGTCTTTCCAGATTTTTAGTTTAAGAAAAACTGAAACATCCAAGTTTTGGAAGTATGCTACCAACTTTTTTCGAGCAGTCTCTTTGCTAATGATCCCCATTGCTTCAAATGTTCCATCCGTAAGTTTGTTAGTACAGTATATTATATTAGCTGCAAAAAGTCTTTGCTTCCAACATTAAACGACTTGATCTGGATGTTCAATGTTGGGAACATTGGGGAATCGTATTAAGAATATTGTTTTTCCGTTGCAAAACCAGCAGTTTGGCAGTTCGATTCCCATTGCCTCAAAGTTGACTCAGCCTTACATCCTTTGGAGGATGTATTTCCGAAGTAAAATGAGGACCCAGATTCTTGGGAGCAATATACTGATTTTGTAAATTGCCTAGAGAGGACTGTAAAGCACTATGAAGAGGTATATAAGTCTTAAGTGCTACTGCTACTTTAGATTGGTATTGCTAACTTATAAATACTTATAGGTCTAACTATTTCCTATATTGTGTGATGGCTAGTTGGGATTTGAATTCAAATCTTCCTCTCACCAAACACATTTTCTATTTACTAAACGCATTGTGTCCAATTAGTGTTATATGTGCCACAAACAAAAATTGGAAATGATCTACAGATCATAAAATAAGACATTAAATCTTGCTACACATTATTGATACATATTCTTTTGCCATATAAATGACCCACTTGGAAGAATGTCTTTTTGAATCAGTCAGGGTAGGATATAATGTTCATATAAGCTGACTAGTGATAAATGGTTGTGAATTATAATGCTACATGGCAACTGAAAAAAACAATGACATATTAAAATCAGTAATTTTAAATGCTGTGTATAAACAATGGTTTATGAAGCTCAGCTTTTAAGATGGCTTACTATGTGGAAATTGCTGGGTATTTCAGTCAGACATTCTAAATAGGATCTCATGGAACCATGGTTATTCACTATTCTTCATCCTAATATATGATACATTATAAAGATAAAATTAGAGGAATATAACACCTTGTTCATCATTCAGAATTCCTAGGAAGAAAATGGAATAACACGTTATTCAAGCTTTTTTTTTTCCATTTGCGGATATTTTTAATTAGAGATGATGTGACTAGTTGGCAATAATACTACTTTTATTCACTTTGTTAAAATTAGTATATCCTTTTTCCTTTTCTTCTTTTATTTCAGATACTAGCTTTGTACTGGGTATCTTCCAGCTTCATAGGCCTTTCACATAACCTTCTGCTGCGCTCTCCTGCTTTCTGTAAATTATGCCATCTCCCTCGGACCAAGTCTGATTCAGATACTCCATACAAAGACATTGCTGCTGCTTTGTACATGAAATATTTCTTTAAGTAAAATACGTCTCTGTAATTGAACCAAATGATTTTTTTTACTATATTAAATTGTATTAGGAAGCTAACTTTATTAGAGTAGAGAAACTTTATATGTCCCCTTCAGATAATTTTTTGTCAGCAAGTAGGAGACAACAGCCTAAAAAATATTAGCTTCTAATTCAATGTATGTTTTTAATTTATATGGAATTTCTGAAACCTTGCAGCTTTTTCTGAAAAATCATTTCTTGTCCTTCAAGGTGTTTTAATATTATGTATTAATGTTTGTTTCTTAATCATTTTGGCAGCTTAAATTATAAACATATTTTTCAGTTTGCATATAACATGTTCATAAAAACATAAACTGATTTTCAGATATTTAAGAAGTGACTTAGGAAAGAGAAAAACTCGCATCCTATCTTCTGTGTCACATCCTAACCCATGTGAGTTGCTGGGCTGGTAGTTAACAGTAAAGCTCCAAGTAGCTCTCATTCAGAGGATTTCATTGAAATTGACCACATTTCTATCCAGACATCCTCTAAAAAACAGTAAGTTTGTTGTACCATATTAGTCTAGATGAAGTGGTTAAATACATATTTTATTTTTATAACATCTATGATTATTTACATTGTTGTATTTAAAAACATTTATTGAAATATTTTAGCGGGTTATAAATATACAATTAGAAATCTGAGAATTGGGGAAGACATTACATAAGGGATGTTATCTAAATTTAAAGAAGACAAATCTTTCTTGAGCAACCTTTTTGTTTTCTAGCAATGCCAATAAATGACTTGTGACAATTGCCCAGTGTCTCTACTGGCTCTGCAGTTTTAGAAGCAGCTTTTTTAAGTATAGTTATATTGCTTTAACTGTTCATATACCGATCACCAATTTATGTAGGAGAATCTAATGGAACTTTCATAATATTAACAATGAGAGCATATTTCTAATCATGTGGAATATATTTTTAAATTTTAAGGAAAAGAAATGTTCAACAACCAGTAACCATTCTCCAAACTGCATTAAACAGAAAAACTAAAGTCAAACTAAAGTATAGCTTTGTATAAAAAAAGGAAAATAAATTAGCCCAATATTTTAAAAACTCAGTTGTTGAACTAGAACTTTGAAAATGGCATTAGATATATTTAATTCACAAAAAGTAGTACCCCGAATACCTGCTATTCTGGTGGACAGGTTTTCCATCCTTTTTTGGCATGTGAAATTTATTGCATTTTGGATGTGTTTCTAATTTTCCTGATAAACCTACTTTCACACATATATTGAAATAGACAAATGTAACTGGTACATTAAGCACTTTGCAGTGACTTGATCAGACTCATCATCAATTCAGCGCAGTGAATTAACAATTAGGCATAGTGAGGCATATTGTGATGCTTCACAATAAAAAGGTTTCCCCACTCAAACGAACCAGCTAGGATTGTTCCAAACTATTCAGCATCACAGATACAGCATCAACCAAGCTTTCACTGCACCATAAGTAATCTAACTTCTGGAGATGGATGAAAATACTGCTGTGGCTAATTTGAGAAAGCTGATTTATACAGTGGTGTTTAAAAGTTCATGAGTCTTTTTGAAGGGGCGTTGGTCCTACCTGACACGCTCCTTCTCGTTGAGTGGAGACAGCAGCCAGTGTGGGTAATATTCGCCCAATCAGATTGAAGGACTGAGTCGCCAATAATTCTTAGTCCCGCCCTTGTTGCCGGGCAGGCCAGCTTTTGGCGAAGACTTGAGAGACAGACTCGGCGTGTGGGATAAGAAGGAAACACAGGTAAGTAGAAAGGAGCAGGAAAGAGGCGTTGGACTTACCGTGAACGCCTTTTCCCCGAAGGATGCAGAGTGGGTCAGGAGTGGGATGATCCATCTGGTCTGGCCAATCAGCGAGTCAAATTGCTTTGGCCACGCCTCCTCAGGCGTCCATTGCTCCCAGTTTGTTCGACGAATGCAGATCTGCAAGACAGGCTCCAACAAAATGACAAAGGAACCAAGAAACAATTGCAGGTGGGAGGGGATGACCCACTCTGCATCCTTTGGAGAAACGGCATTCACGGTAAGTCCAATGCCTCTTTTCCCATAAGGCTGCAGAGTGGGTCAGGAGTGGGACATACCCAAGCTCGTCAGCCCTCGTCAGCAGGGTGGGAATCCTGCGATCTAGGGAGCCGTGGTGCCAGGTGTACCTGCTGAAGGACTCTCCTGCCGAACAAAGCCTCCGCAGACGCAAAGACATCCACACGGTAATGCTTAATAAAGGGGACAGGAGTAGTCCAGGTAGCTGCCCGGCAGATTTCTTCGAGGGAGGCCGGCGTGGCCCAAGCAGCGGTGGTAGCTGCACTGTGGGTGGAATGAGCAGTGATACGCCTCAGAGGAGGAAGAGATCGTGATTCGTAGGCACGGGCAATACAAGCACGGATCCACCGACCTATGGTGGTCGAGGACACCTTTGATCCCAGCGAAGCCGGTTGAAACGAGACGAACAGGGCCTCAGAATGCCTCGTCGAGGCGGTCCGCGAGACATAGATTTTAATAGCTCTGCGGACGTCAAGCATGTGCCATTTGCATTTTAATCGATGGGTAGGCTTGGGGCAGAAATTAGGAAGGATAACCTCCTGCTCACGATGGAATCGAGAGTTAATTTTTGGCACGAAGGCCGGATCCAAACAAAGGATTACTCGATCTGGATGCATAATACACAAGTCTGGCCTGATGGAAAGGGCCGCTAACTCTGAGATTCGGCGGGCCGAGGTTATGGCCACCAGGAAGGCTACTTTCAAGGTAAGGAATCTAAGGCTGGAAGTTCGGAGAGGTTCGAAAGGAGGTTCAGTAAGTGCTGTTAATACTTGCGGTAAATCCCATGTGGGGTATCGGTGAACTATGGGAGGGCAAAGGTTTCGGACCCCACGCAAAAACCTTCGAACGGAGGAATGCTGAGACATCCGTCCCTGGGCAGCAGTACCGTGGTGAGAGCTGCAACATGGCGCTTCAGGGTGTTAAGCACCAGCCCCTTGCGGATTTCCATCATGGAGGAACTCCAGCACCTGCGGAACAGAAGCTGACAAGGGATTAATTCCGCACGCCGAGCACCAAGAAATAAATACCTGCCACGTGATGTTATAGAGTCTGATGGTGGACTCCTTTCTGTCTGCCTGCATAATACAGATGACATTTTCAGAGTAATGTGCCTCCTTTAGGAGGAGCCCCTCAAGAGCCAGGCGGTCAGGTTGAGCCACTGGGGCTCCGGATGGTTGACTTCCCCCTGGCTGAGGGACACTCTCTCCGGAGGAAGCCGCCAATGGTGAGCTGCTGACAGTGCTACGAAGTCCGAGAACCAAGGCCTCCTCGGCCAGTAAGAGGCGACAAGGATGACATCTGCTCCCTCTGCAATGATCTTGCGTATCACCCATGGAATTAGTGGCAGAAGGGGGAACACATAAAGAAGTTCCCGAGGCCAGGGGCAGCGGAGCGCTTTCGAATTCTCCGCTCCCGGAGTTGGATAATGGATGAAGTAGTGTGGAATCTGAGCGTTCTCTGGGGCGGTGAACAGGTCTACCTGAGGAGTTCCGAAGCGAAGACAAATGGCTTAAAAAAGATCGGGAAAAAGATGCCACTCTGATGCGTCTACTGTTGTTCGGCTCAGGAAGTCTGCCTGGAGATTGTCCTTCCCCGCAATGTGGTCCGCCCGAAGAGATAGAAGATGGGTCTCCGCCCACCGCCCCACGATTAGAGCCTCCTGCATCAGGGTTTTGGATTTGGTCCCGCCCTGGCGATTTATGTGGGCTTTTGCCGTCACGTTGTTGGTAAGGACTAGCAGATGGCGACTTTCGATCGATGGTTGGAAGGCCAATAGGGCCAGATGAATCGCCCGTAGTTCCAGCAAATTGATGCTAGACTGAGCTTCCGTGGGAGACCATCGGCCCTGTGCGACTTGGTTGCCCAGATGAGCGCCCCAGCCGGACACTCGCGTCTGTTGTCATTAGAAGAGGTCGAACGTCGAAGAAAACGCACCCTTTGTCCAGGGCCGGGGATAGCCACCAATGCAAGGACCGGCGAACCGACAGAGGGACCCTGAGCTTGGCTCGAGAGGTGGCGGTCATAGTTCGTTGGTGCGGGAGTAATAGCCATTGAAGGCTGCAGGCATGCAGTCGAGCCCAAGGTACTATGTCTATGCAGGACGCCAATTTCCCCAGTAGACAAGAGAGATCGAGTTTGGTCACGGACGGTTGTCTGAGAAGTTGTCATATGAGTATTCTGAGGCTGTCCTTCGTCTCGGAAGATAGAAAGACCTGTCCCACCCTGGTATCTATGACTGCCCCTAGGTGTGTGAGACAGGTCTGGGGTTCCAACTGACTTTTGGGCATGTTGACCAGGAACCCGTAATCCCGAAGTACCTGCAATGTTAGGTGCAGGTTGGATTGGGCCTTCTGCAAGGTGGGAGCCTGGACCAAAATATCGTCCAGGTAGGTCTGTATTATCACTGGGACAGATCGTACATAGGCTACCAGGGCCGCTAGGATTTTGGTGAAGCTATGTGGGGCCGATGCCAGTCCGAATGGAAGGGCACGGTATTGGAGGTGACGCCCCTCGTAGCTGAATCTGAGATATTGCCGGTGGGCAGGCAATATGGGAATGTGTAGATAGGCCTCAGAGAGATCGATGGAGGCTAGGAAGTCTCCAGGCCGAATGGCTTCTAGAATGGATTTCAGTGTACTCATTTTGAATTTCCGGTACACTAGATGTTTGTTCAGCGATTTTAGATTCAGAATCACTCTCCAGCCCCCAGAGTGTTTCGGTACCACAAAAAGGATGGAGTAGAACCCCCGATTCCGCTGATCGAGGGGGACTTCCTCCACAGCCCTGATTTCTAGCAGGTGTTGAATGGCAAGCTCCATGAGGCGACGCTTGCAGAGGGAGTTGGAGACAGGGCATGGTACGAAATGACTCGGAGGGCGTGAGAGGAATTCTAGTGGGAGGCCAAATTCTATTGTGTGAAGAACCCATTGATCGGTCGTGCTGCAGACCCACTTGTCTAAGAAAAGACTCAGTCTGCCGCCAATGGGCGCTGACTGAGGAGAGTCATTTTTGGCGGCGGAACTGGCGTCCGCCAGTCCCGCAAAAGGACCGCTTGAGCGGACCAAAAGACTTAGGTTTGTCCCGAAAGGAACCCCTATCCTGAGGGCAACTGGGTCCCTGGTAATACGGCCTGTGGCTGGTACCTTCCTGAGAAAAATTGCGAGCCTGCTGCCTACGGTAGTAGGGGGCAGCCCGGCGATCAGCCCTCCTGGTGATAGAAGGTAACACCTTCTTCTTGTCCCTATCCTCGACTAGCAAAGGCTCAAGGGGCTCCCCAAAAAGACTCGACCCCGAGTAAGGGGTAGATGCCAGGCACCATTTGGTTTTGAGGTCCGCAGGCCATTGTCGCAGCCACAAGAGGCGGCGCGACGTGACCGACGATGCTATGGCTCTAGAGGCGAACTTTGCCGCATTGAGGGTGGCATCGGCTGCGAATTGAGTGGCTGCAATAATCTTATTTAAGTCTTGGTGTACTCTGACATCCTGGACAGGCAAACGTGTTTGAAGTTGTTGCAGCCATAGTAGGGAAGAACGGGAGAAGAAGGAGGCCACAGTCGCAGCCTGTATAGCCCATGCGGAAGCCTGGTGTGTTTTCTTAAATGAGGAATCAAATTTCCTGTCCTCTGGTTTAAGACCTTCAGACTGATCCCCTGAAATACAAGGAGAGGTGGAGGACAGGGCAACCACTGGACCATCAACTACAGGTACCTGTAAAAGGTTGGTTAGGGAAGTCTCCATATTGTAGTTGCAGCGATCGTAGCCACTGGGAGTGGGGAGAGAGGCTGGATTAGCCCATTGCTCACGCACAACATCCGTGAAGAGCTTTGGTGCGGGGACAAAGAGTTGTTCTGCGACCGGTTCCGCGAAGATGCCTTGGCCTACAGGGGAGGAAGCAGAAGGTGAGTCAGAAGTGGTATCAACAAGACCCGAGGTGACTTTGGCCTTGTGTAGTAGGGACTTGAAAAGCCCCTGTGGAAATAATCCGGTAAATTGTGGAACATCTAGTGTAGTGGTTTCATCATCGGATAGCTTCCCTTTGTATGTCTTCATCTATGCCAATGTCAGCACTGCCATGAGACGTAGTTGGAGAATGTTCTGGTGAACCAGTGAGACTAGCAGAAGGAGAAACTCTAGATCTCCTAGAATGTAGACTCTCAAATTAATAATGCGGAACGGTGCTCCCTAATGCCTGCTTGAATGCCATACGAGATGGTTTTAGCAATTAGGATTTGTACAGACTCAGGAAGATTCTCCAAATCCGATTTGGGATTTTCATCCACTGCAAGGACCTGAGGAGGTTCTTGGGGTGTAATGGAGCAATCAAATGGGTCACCTTGTGGTCTATCAGGAGAGCAGTGAGAGGCTGTGGAGTGCCTCTCTGGAGACAGAGCCCTAGTTAAATCCACAGAGACATTAGGGTCTTGATCAAGGTCAGTACTAGGAGAAGGCCTGGGTTTGTTGGCCTGGACTGCCTGATCAGAACTTCGCTGATGGGGCTTTTTAACAGACCCTGATTTGGACATCGCCTTGCGGCCCAGTTCAGTTTTGGTGGCCGACTGGTCTGCAATGACAATGCACAGTGTAGTACAGAGTTGAAGTCCTGTACAAATGGAAACAATGAGAGATATTAATTAAATTGTAAATAAAATAAACCCATGCCACAACATGAGGCTTGAAGTTAGGGTAAAACTTGTTCTTTTAACTACCAATAAAATGGCCGCCAGCTATGAGGAAGTCTGGCTTGTTAAAATGGCCGCTGCAACTGACAATGACAAGTAATGGATAGCTGCCTTCGAGTTCAGTAAAATGGTCATAAACAGTGACGCAATTATGGCCAAACAAAATGGTCGCCGGAAGGTGTTGCTAGGCAGATTTCAGTAGATTCGGCGGGCCGTGAAGTACCCAATTTCTGCCACTAGTTACACAAAATGGCCGCCAACCCCTTTATACGAAGCCAAATACCTTTTTGCCAGTTGAAACCTCCGCAGTGCAATAACCGCGATGGGAGAACCTTGATTCCCTCTTCTGTGTAACGAGAAGGAGTGTGTCAGGTAGGACCAACGCCCCTTCTCCATTGAGAGTTGAGACAGCAGCCAGTGTCTCAACTCAGTGAACTTAGGAACATATCCAAGTTCACTGTCCCTAATTCCGGGGGGGGATCCGGCTGGTCCGCAATACTCTCACCAGCAATGAGCCTCTGGAGAACCCGCCGTCCAAACATGGCCTCTGCCGACGCAAACTGGTCCAGTTTATAGTGTCGTATGAAGCGAACAGGCGAAGTCAACGTGGCAGCCCTGCCGATTTCAAATAAAGGAGCCTGGGTTGCCCACGCTGCCGTCGTAGCCGCGCTGTGAGTGGAATGAGCAGTCAATCGAGAAGGACGCGGAAGTGAACGAAGGTCGTAGGCCGAAGAAATAGTCTGTCGAATCCAGCGACCAGTGGTAGATGACGAGACTTTGCATCCCTGGGAGACAAGTAAGAAGGAGACAAACAGCGATTCCAATCGGCGGAAGGAAGCAGTCCTCTTAAGGTAGATCCGCAACGCTCGTCTGATATCCAGGGAGTGCCAACATCGCTCCCGTGGGTGAGAAGGCCGAGGGCAGAAATCAGGCAGTATAAGCTCCTGCGAGGGGTGAAAAACAGAATTGACCTTCGGCACAAAGGTAGGGTCCAAGCGTAGGACCACACGGTCCGTGTGGAATACACAAAGATCAGAACGGGTGGACAACGCAGCAATTTCTGAAATGCGGCGGGCCGAGGTTATGGTCACCAGGAAGGCGACCTTGCAGGAAAGTAGCCTGAGACTAGTAGTCCGCAACGGCTCGTATGGAGGACCCATAAGCGACTCCAATACCAGTGGGAGATCCCAAGTAGGGTATCTATGCGGCCCGGGAGGGCACAAGTTCATTGCACCACTGAGAAAGTGGCAGATCAGAGGATGCTGGGCCAAGGACGACAAGGAACCGCAGGCAAGCACAGAAGATAACGCGGCCACTTGCCGGCGTAAGGAATTAGGAGAGAGACCCTGGGACCCTCCTGCAAAAACACCAGAATGTTCACAATAGATGGGTGAAGAGAGCGCATGCCGTTTTGGGAACACCAGGAGCAGAAGGTCCGCCAGGTGGCAGAATAAATGCGGTCAGTAGAAAAACGACGTGAGGCCTGCAATGTCCGAATAACATCCGCTGAAATGTCCGCTGCCCTCAACGTGCTCCGCTCAACCGCCAAGCGGTCAGATTGAGCCAGGACAGGTCCGGGTGAGTCAGAGCGCCCTGGGAGAGGGTGTCATCCCCAAGAGGGATGCGCCAAGATGGGGCCACCGAGAGGGAGACAAGGTCCGCAAACCAGGGCCTCCGGGGCCAATGAGGGGCCACAAGGACCACTTCCGCCCGCTCAAACAAGATCTTGTGGATGACATTGGGAAGGAGGGACATAGGGGGAAAAGCATACAGGAGACCTGCTGGCCACGGGGTCCGTAGATGTCGACGCCAGCCACATGAGGATCTGGATACCAGGCGAAGAACTGTGTAAGTTGCACATTCGTGTGCATCGCAAAAAGATCAACAATCGGAGTGCTGAACTGAAGGGACAGTTCCTGGAAAATTCACGGGCTCCGGAAACAAGGTGACGAAATGCCCTCAGCGCGAAGAAGATAACCTGCAGCTCCAACCAATTGATTGGATGACGAGACTCCGCGGAGGTCCATGTCCCTTGAGCCAGATGGCCTTGGCAATGCGCCCCCCAGCTGAGATGGCTGGCCGTCCGTCGTCACCACCACCCTCTGGGGCTCAATACAGAAGCAACCCGCTGCGAGAGCAGGGGAACGCCACCACCGGAGGGACCTGCGTACCGCAGGAGGAACTGGAATTGGCCTGGACGAAGTGCCTCTGCCCGCCTTCTGCAACGGTAAAAGAAACCATTGAAGTTCCCGGGCGTGCAGCTGTGCCCAGGGAACTATAGATATTGCAGAAATCATCTTCCCCAAAAGTTGCGATAAAACATAGGGGGAGACGGCACGACACCCCTCAATCTTGGAGACTAACTGTCGCAGGCTGTCCTGTCTATCGGGAGAGAGAAAAACCTTGCCCTGAACAGTCAATCAGGGCCCCTAAATGAACCAAACTAGTGGAAGGAGAGAGATGGCTCTTTTCCAAATTAATTGAAAAATCATGAGCCACCAGAGTTTCAACAGCAAGGCGAACATCTAGAGTGGCTTGCTGGGCAGAGGGAGACAACACTAGAATATCATCAAGGTAACACAAAAGTCTAACTGAACGGAGTCTAAGAAAGGCCGCCAAGGCAGCCAACACCTTCGTAAAGGTACGGGGAGCGGAGGACAGACCAAAGGGCAGAGCCCTGTATTGGTAATGCACCTCCCCCCCGTAACAAAATCTCAAAAACTGTCTATGGGAGGATAGGGATGTGCAAATAGGCCTCTGTAAGGTCAATGGAAGAGAGGAGATTGCCCCTCCGGACACCGTCTAGGATAGTTTTCAAAGATTGCATCTTAAATTTACGGTACACAACATATCTGTTCAATCGTTTTAGATCCAGAATGGGTCGCCCCCCCCCCAAGACTTGGGAACAAGAAATACCCGGGAATAGAAACCCTTACGCTCCTGACCAGAGGGCACCAGTTGAATAGCCTTGATGGCCAGGAGGTGCTGAACCGCTGAGTCCATAAGGGACCTCCGTTCGATGTTACGAGAAAGCAGGCAGCAGACAAAGGTGTTCGGAGGGGTGGAAAGAAATTCAATGGCCAGCCCTGATCGTAAGGTGGCCTGGACCCACTTGTCCGATGTGGACCGCTCCCAAATGGCGGCAAAGAGGGCCAATCTGCCGCCTATAGGAGGATCGGTGATGCAATCAGCACCGGCGTCGGATGGAACGACCTCCTCCCCCCACCCGAAAGGGCCATTTAAATCTGAAGGATCTGCCCCGAAAGGACCTATCTTGAGAGCCTCATTGCCTGCCAAAATTATTGTACGGCTGAGGCGAGAGAGAGGAGGAGGAGGACTCCCCCACATCAGCACCTCGAAATTGGGGCCACGAGGGATACGGAGAGAAACTGGAGTCCCCTCTCCGATACGCTGCCGCCAGCACCTTCTTCTTGTCCCTAGTTTCAGTCAGAAAGGGCTCTAAAGCGTCCCCAAACAGGTGTGACCCCCCCAAAGGGAATGGAAGCTAGGCACCACTTGTCTGGCATCCGCCTGCCAAGGGCGGAGCCAGACTAAACGACGAGCAGTGACCGAAGAGGCCAATGATTTGGCGGTAAAACTAGCGGTGTTAAGGGTTGCGTCCGCCAAAAACTGGACCGCCACCATGAACTTATTAAGGTCCTGCTTGACCCGAATATCCTCAGGCGACAACTTTTCTTGCAATTGACGTAGCCATAGCAATGTGGTGCGGTTGAAGAAGGACACTGTAGAAGCGGCCCTGATTGCCCACGCTGCGCCTTGATGCGCCCTCTGGAGGACTAAGTCGGAACGTCATTCATCGGGTCGCAAGCCTTCATCGGGGTCCCCCGGAATGTGGGCATTAGGCAAGAGTGCAGCTACTGGGGCATCCACCGATGGGAGTTGCAGGAGAGAGTCTAGTTCTGAAGTGACGTGAAAAGAAGGTGCAGGTTGAGCCACCGGGGAGAAGAGCTGAGCCGTGTTCACAGCCTTGAAGAGCAGCGACTTGAATAAAGCCTGAGGGAAGAGACCGGAAAACACCGGTTGATCCGGCGGGAGGTTTTCATCATCCGACAAACCAGAGTTACTATAGTCGGCTTCAGACAAGGTAGAGATATGACTAGCATATGAGCGCGAGGGAGATGCAGGAGCCTCAGCTGGCGCATGATCTGAAGAGCGTGGTCGGTCAGGTGAAACCGACTGTACGGAACCAGAAATGCTGGGAGGACGAAGGCCAGCCGCCAGTGACTTTTGTACCGCAACCTCAATGAGTTTTTGCAGCTGGTCAGGAAGAAGCCAGGGCCTCCGAAGAAGGAGCAGGAACCTGAGGTGGTGGAGAAACATGGTGCACCCTTTCAGGAAGTGGAGCGGCTGATGGTGCAGAAGAATCAACGCCCCACCAGTTCGTAGTGGAAATGGTAACAGGACAATCCCGAAGAGAAAGTTGGTCCGGAGTAGCCAGACGAGGCTCCCACACAGGATCTGAGGCCTCGGGATTCACAGGTGATGTAGCTACTGCAGACAGATTAGCGCTCGCCTTATCACAAAGATGCGTGAGAACCTTGTCCCTGCGTTTCTGCACCCTGGAGGTGGTAGTGCTATGCTTGTGGCCCTTGTGAAGAGAGCGCGAAAGCTGAGTAGGGGGTGGCGGCTTGTCAGAGGCCTGGGTGGAAGTTTGGTGGGTAACAGATGAATTATCTGATTGTCCATGAATAGAAGAGCCAGCCTTCCGACCGTGCTTTGACTTAGACAGGACCTTCGGCATATTGGCCGATTGCAGGCAAGGTCACAAACCACCGGCCAACTAATAAGACGGGGAGCATGGAAACTCCACCAATAACCTGTCGTGTACTTGAGATAGTGCAGGAGAGGCAAAGGGAGTGCAAAAACTCCACAAAATGGCCACCGCGCCTCCAACAAAATCCAAAATGGCGGATAGCACTGACAGGTGCAAATAACCTCCCCAAAGATCCGAGTTGCCCTAATGCCACCAAATGGGAGCGCGAAGCTCCACGGAGTAGTTCGATAGTCAGGAAGCACCGCAGAATGCAGCACTGACAAAGGCGGCGGGAGCGCGAAAACTCCACAGACTGAGGCTCAGCTGATAGTCGGGTGAGCTGTCAAACTGCCGATCTGAGCACTGGGGACAGCCAGGAAGCCGCTAGCTCAGGAACGCTGGGCAGAAAGCAGTCAATAAAGGGAGAAAGCGGCCAGAGGCTCCAAGTTCGAGCAGATCAAGTCCGAAGAGCAAGTCCAACAGGAAAACCAGCCAGGAGCCGAACGAAGGGAGGAGGAGGGAAGGACCTCCAAACGAAGCAGGAAGCAACAAAATGGCCACCGCTGCTCAAATGGCGCAAAAAAACAGCGAAAAAGGCAGCCGGAGATCCAAAGCCGCCAGTAGGCAGAGAAGGGAGCCAAACGATCCCTCACACGCCTCCAAGGAATAACCCCCAAGGGAATCACCCTGAATGGAGGAAAAACTCTTCCTTCAAGCAGCAGTCAGTGACAGTCCCGGCTACAAGCTAAATTTAACTCACAGTACAGTCCAAAGGCAACCAGAATCCAAGGGAAAAGGCAGGAAAACGTAGTCAAACAAGCCAGATAGTAAATACCAGAAATCCAAGTCAGAGAACTCAATTGTAGAAAAATAGAGAGAGAGCTAGAGACCCACACCCCAGTCCAGACTGAAGGACTGAGTCAAAAGCTGGCTTGCCCGGCAACAAGGGTGGGACTAAGAATTATTGGCAGTCTCAGTCCTTCAATCTGATTGGGCGAGTACTACCCACACTGGCTGCTGTCTCCACTCTCAATGGAGAATAGGTAATCTAACTTCTGGAGATGGATGAAAATACTGCTGTGGCTAATTTGAGAAAGCTGATTTATACGGTGGTGTTTAAAAGTTCATGAATCTTTTTGAATGTTCAATATTTCTACATAAATATGACCTGAAACACTCTACACACAAGTGCTGAAACTAAATATTTTTGTTCACTACTTTTTTATTGCAGCTTTTGGTTTGATTACTATTTTATGTATATAACTTATCATAGTATAAAATGTCAAAATGTCATTTGCATTCAGTGGCAGTGTCTTCTAATTTTAATATAGAAAGCTAAAAGCTTACAATTGTTTTTGTTAAACATATCTTATTAATCAGGTTATAAAACTTTACATAGTAAAAGTTTTGCTGTCTACAGTAGTAGTCTCCTGGCTATTATCCATTGCAATGGATATTAACTTCTGTCTTTGCTTATAGTCTCCATCTATTTGGAATCATTTATTTTATTTATGTATGTATTTATATCCCACCTTATATTGTTTTTATAAATAACAATGATATTTATTAAAATTGTTTGCTACCCATTTCACCATGAAGTGAACATACTACTTCCTATTTTTCTCACAACCCTATGAGATGGGTTTGGCTATGAGTAACTTTCCCAATGTCACTCAGCCAGCTTTCATGCTTAAGGAGAAACTAATTTCTCCCAGTTTCTAATTTGGTGTCTTAACCATAAGACTAACTGGCTCTCAAAGAGTAATATATACCCATATTTTTTGAACTATAAGACACACTTTCCCCCCCAAAAAAGATGGTGAAAACCTGGGTGCGTCTTATAGTCTGAATGTAGCCCTGCCCACCTGCCGACCCCCACCCTTTGGCCTCTGCCTCCCAGCAATTTATCTCCTTGCAGCAAGCAGCAAACAGTCCATTTCAGCTTCAGCACAGCCTAATTAGCACAAGCAGTTGATTTTCCATTGGATTGGCCTCCTGACCCTCAGCTGTTTCAGGCTGCAGGGATTGCCATAGCCTATTGCTGGAGGGCCTCCTGCAAGCAGGCAAATTGCTGTGACACAGATTTTTTTTTTCTTGTGCTAATCAGGCTGAAAATGAAACTAAAGCAGGCTGCTTGCTGCAAGGCAAATTGCTGGGAGGCAGAGGCAGAGTTATTGTGAGTGTTTTATGAGTCTTATTTTCTTCTTTGTGTCCTTTTGTTATAAAATTTCTGTCTAGAATCAACAATTAGCTGGAATTTAAAAAGCATTTCACTAACTTAATTAAAATGTTACCTGAAGGAAAATAAGAGGAAAAAAGCTTTACATCTAACAAATTGCATGCTGAATAACTTACTGATTCTGATTACAATACCAAACTATTAAAAAAACACCCTTAAAACAGTTCCAAACTGGTAAAATTTCATATTATTTCCCATATCCATGCACTAGCGTATATCTTGTTTTCCTCCCCCAAAAAGGCAGGTGCATCTTATAGTCCGGAGCGTGTTATACTCTGAAAAATATGGTACTTGTTTCCAACCACTCCAGCAGACAATCTTTTCCCAAGACCTCACAAACTCTCTGCGTGACAATCCTCACTGAGGCCTGAAAGATATCTTTGGCAAATAATATTTGCCACTATTCACTACTGAATTAATAGTCGCTACTATCGCAAACAACTGAGTAAAACACTGTCCACTAAAATCAACAGAAACTTGAATTAGCTCTCCTTGTATATCACAACTGCAGCCAGTGAATTTCATTATGGATTGGTCTCTTTTTTGATTTTTGCAAGAATGAGGGCAACAGTCTTCTAATGTTATTTTAAAACTTAAATGTTAACTCTTAATAAAATCAATATTGCATTGCTTTGGTGATATGCCTGTAAATTTTAGTTCGTTGCTACTGATTGACGCATTTGTGCAGTTCTCACTTTGATACAATGCAGCACAAAAACTAATCTGAAAAGTGTTAAGTAGAAGTTTCTTCACAAAACTTCCTTTTATATCTTCCATCAAAGTTATTGATTATAGTTGGGGAGTGTCTTCAGCATTTCAACATCATAAGAGAGGAGCAACTTCAACAATTTTTATATTGGGAGTTGGGATGTGGAGCATGGTGCTTTTAAGGATAAACAAATGCTTACCCTTAACACATGTTCTCTGAAATTAGCATTACAAATTTTAATTTTATGCAATGTTTTATGTGTATCTTATGACATGCTATTCTCTTTAAAAAGTATTAAGTGAATTTATATCCAATGAATTACACAAAAATAATTCATTCAAATACATTGTCTTGCTACAATAATGGAGGACCATGAAATTTGTTCCTCAGCAATTAGCACAACAGGAAGCTTTGATTTCTTGAAATTAAATAGCTAGAGCTATTCTTTCCACAATACTCTGATTAATTGAAGTGAATATTGTGCATGGCCTTGGATCCAGAAAGCCTATGAAAAAGCTTTGAACTTGAGTGTCTTTCTCCTCCGCTTGACCCTTAACCTTGTGATTTTCTAACAATATCAAGCTAGCTATTAGAGTAGGATGACGGAGAAAGGAATACCACTTGAGTTATCCTTAAAGACATTTTTTTAGAAAATCAAAAAGGAAGATATTCAAACATACAGTCACATGGCTGGCACTGCAGTACTTTATTTAAATGCTACAACAGATGAAGTATCAAGTAATATTTTTGATCAGGCAATGCATTAAGGAATAAAGTATGACTTAATTACGTGTCTTATTCTTGCTACATTTATAGTTCATTCAAGATTCTAATTTTATCTGTGTTTAGTTACAGCATCTACATCACCATGCAAGGATTAACAATTCTCAGCTCTTAAGAATTGAACCCCAAATCATGTCCATAAATAATTGTTCAAATAGACTGGAATCTTTTGCTACTAGGAGTAAATAATGGAGTACTGAATTTACACATAAAAATTGTGACTAAAATACATTGCTCATATTGGCTTAGCAATCTTTGTGGAAAGACTTCTTCCAAGCTGTTTCGGAAACATTTGAAAATGTGGCTTGCCCACAGTGTTGATATAAATAAATTCAAGTCATTATTGACTGGTGTCAGTGACACTGGCTAGAACAGTCCGGACACAATCTGTTTTTCACACATTAATTCTCATGGCAACATGTGAACAATTAAGGAGATGCAAAATATAGTAAGTCAGTTCTAAGCAGAAATTAAAATTGAATTTAGATTACAAAAGTCAACTGCTGAAATATTAGTCGCTCCATAAAGAATATAACAAAACATTATCTAATTAAAAATAATGATTAAAATCATTTTAAAGGCATGAAATATAGAACCAAAAAGATTTCTAGCTGGATACAGTCCTTTCACATAAATACATCTTGGGTTTTTTGACTTGAACCATATCACATATTGTATTTACTTTTTTCCTCTCACAATGCACTGCAGTCAAAATATTCCAATACTGCACAAAGTAACTTTTTTGTAGATTATTTATATAAAAAAATAAAAAGTTTGAAACATTCAAAATGATGATCACTTTTAAAAAATTACATTTAAAAATATATTTTAAGATGACATTCCCTGGACCTTTTTATTCCATTTACTGAGATCCAGACTGAATGCTTTAAGGCAAGTTGTCAGGCTGGTATCAGGATGATAATTTTTCAGACGAGTAAGATAGCAGAGTAGAGCTGTGTAATTGTGATAAGTCAGTGAACTGGCTTCTCATGTACACTAACAGAACCATCTTCCATGCCAAAGTAAACCCGCTCTGCCATATTGATGAACAGTCCTGTTTCCACCACTCCTAAAACAGAAAAGCTCAATTACTTTTAATTATTACTAAAATACTACACATTAACTAATATATTTTAAGAATGATATAAATTCAAATGAGATGAAATATACTGAAAGGTTCAAAAATGAAAATTCTATATTAAAACACTACATACCATACTTTTTGGAGTATAAGACGCACTTTTTCCCCCTTAAAAGAGGGTGGAAATGTTGGTACGTCTTATACACCCAATGCAGCCATTTTTGGTCTCCCAAAGCCCGGTCCCACGCATCCCATTTTTGTGAAAAACGGGCCCATTTTTTGCAAAAACAGAGCGTGCAGAGGCTTTGGGAGGCTTGCAGAGTGCTCCTGTGGGCTGGGGAGGGCAAAAATACAGTTTTTGTGAAAAATGAGCCTGTTTTTAACAAAAACAGGGTGCACAGACTTTGGGAGGCCTATGGAGTGCTCCTGGAGGCCGGGGAGGCCAAAAACGGTTTTTTCCTTGCTTAGTTCTTCGAAATCTTATACACCAGTGCATTTTATAATCCAAAAAATATGATATACCAGGGCAACATTTCTCAACCTCAACAATTAAGTTGTATAGACTTCAACTCCAAGAATTCCAGGCTTTTGGCACCTTGACGTTGCTGAATTTGAGAAGTACTACACCAGGGGAACTTCTTTTCTACTGCCTTGGGTGTTCAACAGTGAGAAGGGGAAGAGGAGTCAAGACAATACATTTTCTCTATTTCAATAGGGTGCATCGTGAGATCATTTAGGAGCAAAAGCAAAGTTGACATTTGCCCTCCATCCCTTTTTTCTCTATATGTATCTCGCTAATTTTTTGACAGGAAAAAAGAAGCAAAAGAAAGCCTAAAACTATGAGCAAGAGAAGCCAGGCAAGGCAGTTGCGAAGATTTCTGATGTCTATTTGAAAATCATTTTATGTTATTTTGGTGAAACAATACTGCCACCCGCAGATGCAGTAATGTTCATAAATCCTTTATTAACATGCCTCCCATTTTTACTTATAATTTGAAAAAAAAAATCACTTTTTATCTATCAGCTTGGTATAGGTTTTACAGAACTAACCCAAAAGAATAAATTTAATCTTTGAAAGTTTCAATTTTGCTCCAATCTTAAGACATTGAACAAATAAGGAGTTTGCTTTTGAAAGTACTACAATAATTCAGAGACCTACAAAGTAATCCTTTACACTATTAAAATCAAATGATGTATGAAGGCTACCTGGTATCATCTTGATTGCTACATTCACTTCATTCCAATTATGAATTTGATCAAATTTCCAGTCCAATAAAAAATTCCCATTGTCTGTCACCACAGGACCCTAACAGGTAAAAAGTAAAAATATTATGCACAAGAACTTTTATTTTGAGCTATAAATCCTATCAGACACATCTAAAGTGACCTGCATGTGACTATTTATCTAGAGGGCTAATCTGCAAAAGTTATACGCAGATTTGTTAATGTAGCGCAGGGGTATCGAACTCGTATCGTCATGTGACATATCGGAACTTTTTTCCCCTTTGCTAAACCAGGCATGGGTGTGGCCAATGTGTAACGCATCCGGCCGCGAGTTTGACAGCCCTAATGTAACATAACTCCTAGGCAAAAAATAAGAGATTGAAAAGCAAACACACAGAACCTCTTTGCTTTCCTCTTTGCTTATCAGAGTAACAGAGTAGGAAAGGGCTCTGGAGGTCTTCTAATCCAACACCCTGATCAAGCAGGAAACCCTATACCATTCTGGACATTTGGCTGTCCAATTCCTTTTTAAAAACCAACAGTGATGGAGCATCCACAATTTCTGGAGGCGAGCCGTTCTATTGGTTAATTGTTCTCACTGACAGGAAATTTCTCCTGGGTTCTAGGTTGCTTCTCTCCTTGATTAGTTTCCATCTATTGTTTCTTGTCCTATCTTCAGGTGCTTTGGAAACCCTCTTTTCTTGTGGTAGCCCCTCAAATATTGGAACATTGCTATCATGACACCGCTAGTCCTTTCTTTCACTAGATTAGACATACCCAATTCCACAACTGTTCTTTATATGTCCTTTCGGCACCAGAGAACTTGTTTATCTATTTATCCAGGCCTTTCAACAATTTTAGTATTTATATTTTTGAATGACAGTAATATTCTATTACTGCCTATTTACATTAGAGTGTGATTTTATATTTTAATTTTTAAATTATGTCTGGTTTTATTTAGATTATATTTTACTGTGTCTCACCGTTAGCTTCCTAAAGAATTGGCTATTGCACAAATTAAACATTTCAAAAATAAAATATCTGAAGGGCACTGAGCTGGCATAGGCTAGTTAAAATTATTCCTAAACTAAAATTCTTGAACTTGGACAAGTTACAATAGGGTTTTGGTCCTTCAAGAGAATCAACTTTACTTTTTATAGTAGTGGTGTTCCTGCATGATATATTTTGAAGAGAATATAGCGCTTGCTAGGAATACTACTGTTGCCCAGTTTTCTGTCTTTATTTTCAAAACAGTCAAGATGCTATAATATCTCTTCCTGAAAATGGAAAGGAGGTGGGAAATACTGTCTTGGTCTGAGCCCTTTGAAATGTGCTAGAGAAGCCATCTAGGACAAGTACAGTATTTTAAGTCCATCTCAAGATTTACAATAAGTGAAAAAACTAGAAGAACAAATATACTAGTCCAGCTGATATGTGGCAAAACTCAATAAAGGAAGATTTATGCAAGTATAGATAGCTTCAAACTTTTCCCTGTTTGGCCTATCCTGAACCTCTGCAAAGCTAGTAATCTATTAATAGCAAAGGTTTAGTTGTCCACCCACTCTGAAAAGGAAAAAAAATCAGTAATTCTTTCTATACACAACATCATATAGATTATCAACTTCTTAAATGTATACATACAGCTTTATTGACAGCCATCCTCAACTCTGTAACACCTCCAAATTTATTGGTCAGAAGCTTAGTGATTGGCACATAGGCCATTGGGATGACTTCAATAGGAATCCCCTTCTTCCACTGTTCTCCAAGGTTTTTAGACTTTTTTCTACAAGAATATGGGTTAAAGGAGGATATACATTAATATTATGATAGTAATAACAGCAGGAATCTGCAAACAAGCTTCAACTTGCTGAGATATCTTGACTCTACTTCTGAAAGCCAGAACAGATTGCCTTTAAACAGTACCAGCAAACAGAAAGACAAATGGTCAACAGATGATATACAATTTCAGATTTCTGCATTTGACTATAAGACAGCGCTGATTATAACCAACATCTGAGTTGTTTTGAAAAGATGAGCAATTCATTATATAGCGGAGTTTTGAGGAAACACAGAAGAGTAAACAAAACAACATGTCAGCATAAAAACATTTTACATACATAATAAATATGCATGCTTTTATATTCACTACGTTAATATAGTCCTTCACTTACGACCACTCATTTAGCAACCACCTGAAGTTCCGATGGCACTTCCAATATACAACCAATCCTCGCACTTATAACCTCTGCAGGATCACAATCTGAGCACTTGGCAACTACCTCTCACTTACAACAGTTGTAGCATCCTGCAATCATGATTGCCATCTGTGATCTTCCCAGATAGCTTCCAACAAGCAAACTCAATGGGGAAGCCGAAAGGGAAAATTGCAAATCACAGTCACTTGATGTCTCACTTAATGATCAAGACAAAAAAGGGTTTTAAAATTGGGTCCAGTTATGTGATACCTTGCTTAATAACTGCACTGCTTAGCAATTTTCTAGTCCAATTGTGATTATAAGTCGAGTAACTACCTGTAAATGAGATATAATATATACATGTATTTGTGGAGTTACACATAATCTCAGGTACTTTTAGAGATCACTGGCTTCATCCTAGATAGGGACCAGTTCAGATGCATGTATCCAGACATGTCTGACATGGCCTAATTGAGAAGAAAACCAATGGAGTATTGCCACCTGGTGGTTCTTCTTCTTCTTGTGCCATATCAGTCATCGGACGTTGGCGATCATGTTGGCAATCCTATTTTTATCAGCAGCCGCACGAAAAATTGCTGCTGAGTTTTGTCCAAACCAGTCCCTTAGATTTTGAAGCCATGATGTTCTTCTGCCTGGACCTTGTTTGCCTTCAATCTTTCCTTGGAGGATTAAATGAAGTAATCCGGGTGTCCCATGTCCAAAATATTCTAACTTCCGCTTTTTAATGGTTTTGATGATTTTCCTTGGCTTTCCCAGGCGGCTTATCATCTCCTCCTTTCTGATTTTGTCAACCCAGCTTATACGTAAGAGCCGTCTGTAAATCCACATTTCAAATGCTTCTAGTCTCTTCAAGTGGCTTTCTGTTAGAGACCAACTCTCTACTCCATAGAGCAGGATAGAAAAGATGTAACATCTGACAAGATTCATTTTCAGTCTTAGGCTCATGTCATGACTGCAGAAGAAGCATTTTGAAGAATGCTGTTCAAGCTTTCTCTATCCTTGTCTTTACTTCAGTGGTCATGTCCCAGCTTTCATGTAAATTAGAACCAAGATATGTGATCCTTTCAACTTTTTCTAGTGGTATTCCTTCCAAATTTATCGGTGGTAAATTAATGAGTTGTTTGCTGATGACCATGATGTTGGTTTTTGAGGTGTTAAGCTTCAAGCCGTATTTTTCAGATATTTCTGTGACTGTTGACGAGGAGCTGAAGGTGTTCATGCTTACTGGTGAGCAGAACTGTATTATCAGCATATCTTAAATTGTTGATCCAAACACTTTTTACTTTGAGGCCAGTATCAATGTTTTCCAATGCTTCATTGAAAATTGACTCAGAGTAGATATTAAACAACAGCAGAGACATGAATACAGCCCTGTCTGACCCCTCTTTGTACTTCTGCATCATCTGAATATTTTTGGCTTAATCTCACATTTGCTACCTAATGCCAATATAGATTCTTTATGATTCAGATGACTTTGTCATCTAGTCCCATTTGTTTCAGTCCATTTGTAATAGTTTGTTGTGTCTTATTTTATCAAATGCTTTTTCAAAATAAATGAAGCACATGTAAACACTGTGATTGACATCTCTACAACTTGAATGCTAAATAGGGCATCTCTTATATCAAGATTGTTTCTGAAACCAAATTGCGTGTTGCTTAGATGCTCTTCAATTTTGTTGTATATTCTTGTGTGAATTATTCTCAGGAATATTTTCAGGGTGGTTATAGAAAGTAAAAATATCGCATAGGATATACCCTATGTAAAAATAAGAGAATTTTACATCCAAATCAGTGGTGGGTTTCTATCAGTTCGTGGCAGCGGCGGGAGGCTCCACCCACCCACCCGGATGTCATCATGGAAGCTCTGTATTATTCTGCATGCGCAGAAGCACCCATTGGCGAGCAAAGCGAGAGCACGTGCACTCAACAGTTCCAAACCGGTAGTGAAGGTAAGTGGATCCCACTACTGATCCAAATTGTGTTAAAACATCATACATGGGGACATGACATAATGCAACATTTCAACCCACAACAGTTTAAGTAAAACTAGACTGGATATATCATTCTGATATAAATTAATATGAAAATCGTTATGAATAATACCTCCCTTTCTGTAGCTTCTTAAAGGGGAAACCACAACAAGGAGCACTAAATCATTTTACCTGTAATCAGCAATAACTATGAAGCTTTTTGCACAACCAGCCACTATCTTCTCCTGCGTCAGGCATCCCCTGAAAAATAAAAGAACAGCTTGCAAGCCTACACAAACTAATCAGTAGGTTAAAACTAAATTTAAATCCAAGCATATTTTATTTTCCTTTATCCACAAGTCATATTAATTCATCATAGAATTCACAAAAAAAGAAATCACCATCACTGTAACCAAATAAGAATAGATTGCATGTATAACAGGATTAGTACACAAACATGCCTCATCCAAATAGGTGACCTCAGTAAAAGAAAAGATAATACTTACAAACATAAACATATTTCCACTTAAATTCTGCTGAAGTCAATAGGAGTTACTGAGCTGTGCACATGTGACACATATTTCTGTAATATGTGACCTTTTTCCTACATTTATTCTAATTCTTAATTTTTAAAGATGAACACTGAAAATTGTGTGAGATAATTATCTTCATAAAATAAAATCCATGCAAATATTTCTGTAAATCTTTTCTCATTTTAAAGCAAAATAACTTTTAATACTACTTTCTCTCCCATAGCAGCTGAAAGAAATGCTTCAAATTGCTATTTTATATATGACATTTTAGAACTTTGTGTGTAACATCAGGACAAAAACACTGATATTTGCAGAAGTTTTATTGGGAGGTGGCAAAACTAGGTTGCATTTTCCAACTATTTGTCTTATTTCTAAATCTGCAGGAAAGGGTTGTCAACACACACTGGAATCCATTGGTTTTGATGTCTACCTCATTTCAGAAAAGATCTGATCAATAATCCAGTAAGAGCCACAGCTCAGCAGTAGAACATTCAGCCCTTACATTAATATCTCCTAACTTTAATTATATACTCTATATATTCCTCAAGCAAATGTTACAGTTTACCTTCAGCAATTTAATAATGAGACATTTAATTTATAAAACTACAAATTTTATCCTTAAGATCAAAACCAATATATACTCCTGGAGATCTACCGAGATTTTATCTGGTTGATAATATCTACTTATCTATCTTGTATTTTTATCAATGAATACAGAAATAGAAATTATTCTTACCCTCCTCCTTTGATAAGACTGAGATCCGAGTCAACTTCATCAGCTCCGTCAATGGCAACATTCAACTACACACACAAAAAAAAACAATTTGTAATACATCCACAAAACACATCTACTATAAGATCTTTGCAGATCTTTCAATTAGGCAGCCCTTTAGATCTGCTTGTCAAAGATTTAAAAAAAAGCAAGTGGCTGCTTTAAAAGTCTTCTGGCTGCAGATGTCATTCAATCAATCAGTCAATTAATAAGTTTATTCATTCTATATGGGTGCCCATCTCACTTTCAAATGACTCTAGGTGGCTTAAATTAAAAAAACCCTAAAAAACAAAATACACAATATATATATAAAAAAAATAGAAACACATAGTAGCCAGGCATAATTTTGTTGAATGATTTGTCAGTAGTTCTAGAGTATTAGCTATACCAATTGAGAACCAGGCTCAAGAACTTCTAAGAGGAATGGTAAAAGCAGAAGTACGTATTATGGCAGGCAACAATATGAGAAATAAACTAGATTAAAATACTTGATATTTAAAGAGCAGGCAGTTAGGAAGACCTCTTTATATGGTTCTAAAATAAAAATAATAGGTTCCAGGGAATCTCCCCGGGACGTTTTTTTTTTTACAAAGGTACATTGTGAAATTGTTTCATTGGTACATATCTGCTTGGAAAGTGTTGACATCCATGAAAAGCTTCCAATGATGACCTTATCTACCCTATCATATGCTGTGACTAGAATTCCTATAATATCCAGCCAACAGAACCAAAGGGCAATTTTGAGAAATATATGTCTAGAGGGCATCCCAATTAAGATGACCACTCCAATACACAAACTAAGGAAAAACTATCCTCCAAGTACTTTAAGTCATTAACATAGAAACAGATATACTCATCACACTATTCCCTTTTGAAGTAACATTAGCAAAGCATAAAAAAGAGTTAGTAGTAATACACAAAGTAAATCAAATAGGGTTTTTTTAACAACATCTGTTTAGTTTACACTAACATTCACTATAACTTTATAACTAGCAAACTATCCATGCTTCTATTACATTCTTATATCAAATCATCTATTGGAAATGATGTTTCTGAAGATATGAAGATTTAGAATTTATTTATTGTTCAATCTTTGGTCAGCTTCTGGTCATCCAAGATGTACAAAACAGAAGATGGGTTGGGCACTTCCAGGAAACTCTTAATCAGCCAAACCCCCTCTCTATATACAATTTTAATGACGAGTGTACCCTGTAAGCACTTCAGGTAAATACTGATGAAATTACAATTGAAGAAATAAAAATGGTGATTAGAAGCCTTAAAAACAATCAGAGAGCTGGTTTAGATGAGATAACCTCTTAAATCATGGTGGCAGGCTGTGATGAAAGAACTGGCAACAATGTTTAATAAATATTGGCAAGGTGGTGTAATTTTTTTTTTTTTTAATTTGATTTATATGCCGCCCTTCTCCGAAGACTCAGGGCGGCTTACAATGTGCTCAGCAATAGCCTTCATCCTTTTGTATATTTATACAAAGTCAGCTTATTGCCCCCACAACTGGGTCCTCAATTTACCTACCTTAGAAAGGATGGAAGGCTGAGTCAACCTTGAGCCTTGGCGAGATTCGAACCCTGCAGTAATTGCAGGCAGCTGGTCTTAATAACCAGCTTAATAACAGAGTGCCTTAAACCCCTGTACAGGGTACCTTAAACCCCTGTACTACCAAGGCTAATTCCAGAGGATTGGTGAAAATAATATTAAGCAGATCAAAGGAGACATTAGACCTATAATATCTCTAAATCTGTGGCATAGAACTGATGTAAAAAAGAATTATGATATCAAGGCGAGAAAGTATGTGCATTCACATATACACACACACATACATTATTTATTGATAATTCCTTATTGGTTGGATATGACTATTACAATGAACCAGATTTTTTGAAAAAAAATTAGGGATCAAATATATTGTGTTGTTAAATTATATTCTCTATGTTTGGGATTATCCATTTATGAAAATCTTTGAATAAATTGTGGCTGAATTAAAGCCATTAGGGAGATAATGTACTCCCAAAAGATATTTATTTATGTACAAATTGGTAAATGTTGGTTGAATTATGGGGTGAGGGAAAACAAGTGACTTTTGAATTAGTTTTGTTCTGACACAGAGTCAAGGTTTTAAATACTCTGCTATTTTCTTCCTTCGTGTTGATGATTAAATCCACACTAAAATCACCTGAGAATTGGACAATGAAACAAAGAATCTACGAATATCCAACCAACCTACCTCAGGATGTCTGTCTAAGTCACTTAAGGTTAAGCCATTCTGCAGAATCAACTGCCGTGCCTACAGGGAAATAAAAGGCAATATTATTTCTCCATATTGATATGTGTTTCAAACGTCTTATTTTTATTCCTATTTTTTGTTGTATATATCTTGTCATAGTCTACAGCCAATAAAGAGATTCACTCATAGAATCAAAGACAATAAAACTGCATATATAGGCATGGGAACACACATATGCACTAGTTTTCATAAAGAAATAGATTGCTGGGGCAATTACATTCAATAATCTCCAACTTCTCCTAAATTTTAAGTCCTTCAAAGACCCATCCATATAGATCAAGAGTGTCAAACTGGTGGCCTGTGGGCCGGATGCATCACGTGCAGACCACACCCACCCTGGCTCTGCAAAGGCAAAAAGTCACATGATGCGATCAAGTTTGACACCCTTGATATAGATTGACTGATCTGTATGTGATCTATCTGAGGTTTGAGTTTGGGAGACAGAGATGGTAAATGCTGATCCAAGAGTCCAGCAGCCTCTCTTAATTTTTTCAATTAAGTTTGACTAGGGCCTCCAACTTTGGGATTTCCCTTTCTTTTCAGTACTCTATAAATTTTCCTTTCTGACCCACTGCAGACGCAATATGGTTAAGGAGAATGGGAATGTACTAAGAGTGTGTATGCAACACAGAGAGAGCTAAGGACAAAGAAAGAAAATGGATTGGATGGCTAGGCAAGACTTAGATCTTAGGTCTGCTCAAAACTCAGTCTCCATTAATTCAATGCAACTTACAAATCTGAACTGGAATTTCCAAGATGTGAACTGCAAGTGATCTACTAATGGTCAATAAATTGTTAAAAGAAAGAATTTACCTGAAAAGAGGTAGGTATACAAACTATGTTGAGATTCTCTTTTTTGACTCTCTCAGCTGTAGGAGAAAAATTACTAGATTTACTAAAGATTTAAACCATTAACAACAATCCATATTAACAGATCTCTGCTCAAACGTCTCCATTTAAAAATGCTCAGTAACAGACTTCATTATTTATTTATATCCTACTATATTGGCTACATCAGACAAGATGCCCTGGTCAACAGCTAGAATAATGATACATAAGCATACATAAAACACTTTCAAACAAATACTGAGGCAGTATCGGGTTATTTGAGATACAAAGAGACCTGCTGAATTTAAAATAGCAGCAAGGGTTATAATGTACATTTTCTTTCTTTTTTTTTTGAAAAAAACTTTTAATTTTTAAGCAAAACTTAAAACAACCATCATCCATTACAATTACAGAAAGTGTATCGATCGGTTACAAATCTTTTGTGCTTAATTCCATATCCATATTCTCATTTACCAATTATTTAACAATGGCTTATCTCCCATAAAAAAAAACCCCGCTTTATATATTTTATTATTACATCCATTTCATATTTCATTTCCATGCTTTATTATCTAGCCATTGGTAAAATAAGTCCCATATCAAATAATATTGTTTATCTTCCTGTTCTCTAATTTCAAATGTCAATTTGCTCATTTCAGCACATTCCAAAATTTTCTTGATAACATCACCATTAGTAGGTATCTTCTCTCCTTTCCAGTTTTTAGCAAATACAATTCTAGCCGCTGTTAAGACATTCACAATTAAGTATCTCAATTCTCTGTTATATGTTTCTGGTACAATCCCTAATAAAAATATCTCTGGTTTAAAATCAATGTTTCTTTATCATTTTTCCCAACCATGTGTGGATTTTAAATGTACATTTTCTCATTGTCTCTCTCTCTCTTCCCCCCCCCCCCCCCCCCCCCCCCCACTCTCTCTCTCTCTCTCTCTCACACACACACACGTCTTTCTCAGTTGAACTGTCAGGCACTAGGTAGAATCCACCATCCCTGGTAGCTGTAGATGGAATTGAGGATTTTTGTGGGCTCAGGTCCACAAAAATCTCCTTTGCTTGCTTCAGGTGATTCTTCTCCTTTGATTCCTTAAGGAACCATTTCTTTCTTACCTACCTCCCCAAAGAGAACTTTTAGACAAGATTCCTGGTGTTTGTCCTCTGATGTCCCTATCTCACATTGTAATTGGCCCTACATGTCTTATCATTAGGAAGAACCTCAAAATAGCTCTATTTTGGTAGGTCTTTGAGCTCTGGGGTGGTCTGTGCACATATCTAGTTTCCTCTTTCCTTTTTCTGTTAATTTTATTCTTATTGCTGAGTGTTATATGGGATCCATTGTTAAATAAATAAAACAATGATAATGGGGAAAACTTATCTAATGTAATCATAAAGACAACATAAATGGAAATTATTATTTAATTTCAGAAACCACTGAAAAAATCTGAAATAAACTTTTTTCTTATACTTAGAAATATTTTTTCAATTATCAATGCAACATTTTGTCAAAATTAATATAATCAAATATTTTATCAGGAAGTTGGCTCTCTGGGCCCTCTATTCCTGTAAACTCATACTACAGATAGTGCTTGGGATATGATAGCAATTAGGCCTAGGGTTGCCAATGTTAGCATGCAGTTGTAAAATGTGATGTGATATGTCCACATCATTGGGAGTCCCAGGTAAGGAGCGTCTTGATGCCATGGGCAAGGGGGAGGTCAGAGAAGGGCCTGTGCAGGCTGCATAATCAGGGGAGGATCTGAGAAGGCTGGAGCTGATCATACACAAGTCATGGGAGACTGGGGGAGAGCCTGGGAAGACCGGCACAGGCAATATGCAGGCAGAGGAGGGGGGTGCTGCAAGCAACTTGCAATCTTTACTGTAGCTTCCCCATTGACTTAGTTGTGGGAAACCAGTACAGAAGGATGCAAATGACGGTCATGTGACCAATAGTTCCCTGCAATATTGTAATTGCAACCTGGACATCTGCACACTTGGATCACAATAATGTGGCGGCAGAGATACTACAATGGCCAGAACTTTTAATGTATCTGATCTAATATTCTTACTTAAAATTTTTGAAATGAAAAAAATTCTCCCACAATCCTGTAAGTTACTATAATGACAGCCATCACATTATACTTCCTCAAAGTTTACATAAATGTGAATGAATAGGTAATTCTCAACACGATATACATTAATGGCAGCCTGACCATTACCATTGTATGCCATAAGGTTCATAAAATGGGTTGGCAATATCATTGATCCGATTTTCTTTTTGGGGTTACTAAACAGCCACAGCAGTTTGCTGAAAACAGGAAGTGCTGGATTTCAGCAAAATTATTGTAAAAGAGTCAACATAACTGCAGGACACTGCAAACGGCTGTAAATGGGACTATGATTTGATGAGTGTCCAAAATCTGGTCACAAGACTGCAATTGAATCCATCCATACATCAGAACTCTAAATCTGGTCATAATTCAGGTCAGTTGTTAACTTCGAACAGTCACTAAGCAACTGGTTTTAAGTCAAGGACGACCTGTACATTTAAACTACAGTATTATACTGTATGCCCCAACATGGTGGTGCCGGCCTGAGTCGCTGTCAGGACGGGCAGCATTTTTGGGGTTTCGGGGTCTCCTGGGGCTGTCAGGACCATCGGCAGCCCCACCCCCGCCTGGAAGAGTTTCCCCTCAACTCGTTGAGGGCTTTTTTGCCCTCCGAAATGCTTGGGTGAGGGGAAGGCAAAGAAGAACGCCACGGGAGGCTGCAGGACGCCACGAGGCGCCCCGTGAAGAGGATTAGGAAAATCGGCTGCAGCAATGCCGGCTTCTTCCCCGCTCGCTGGTCGGCGGCTGTCAGAACAGCGGTGACGATGTGGCAGGACCAATGGTGCCGACGGTGGACTGAGGGCAGTCTGGCACTGGCGGTGGAGTTGCGGAGTTGCGGCGGCAATGGCGGCCGCTGCACAGCGATTGGGAGGGGATGTTTAGCTGGATAAAGATGGCTGCGAAAAAGGGTGAGGTGGAAGTTGTTGGACGTTCGATGCTGGCGGAGAGGCGAAGTGGAGGTTGCCAACGGAGGCATGATATGGCTGAAATGACGAGAGGGGATGGAAAGATCTGGAGTTGGAGAGTCCGGTGGATGGCTCTGGGATGGGGCCTCCATGGGTGGCCTCTCCTCCCCCTACTCCCCTTCTTTCTGGCCCTGTTATCAGCCTGGGAGTCAGCCTTCCTCTACCCCTCCCCCTCTCCTCTCCCTTGTGTATACATCTATCCTCCTACGGAATTACTGGGCAACCACTGGGCAGCTTTATTTGTACCCCGCTTCAAATCAAATCATATTAAATCTAATTGAATCATTCCATCGAAACTTCCGGCAGATGGGGACTTGGACAGTATTTTGTGGACCCTGAGGGAAGTTGGCTGTTTGAACCATCTTTTACCAGAAGGGATGATACCATTAAATTCCTTGCCTTTGGACATCTGGCCGGCCACTGTGAGAGGGTGGCTGGGAAAAACTTTTCTCCAGCTGACTGGGGAGGGGATTCCGGGTTGCTGCTTATATAAAGACCTTCTGTCCTAGGACTCTGTTGGACCCTACCAAACTGCCTTCCCATTCTGATCTTACTTGATGTACTCGGCGGCGGAGCTATGTGCACTGCGAGACTCCCCCCTCTCGCAGGTTTGGCCCTCCACTCTATCGAGGGCCTACTTTAATGACGGGCTTTGGAACCCCGAGAGGTGGCATGGTGCGAGAAGGGGGTTGAGGGGTTTTTTAGCTAAATTTTTAATTAAAATTTTAAGGGGACCTGGGAAGAAGGGAGGGGGTTGTAAAAGTGGACCCGGGGGGGGGTTCAGATAGCAACTGAGCGGGGTGATGGGTCGATTGGCTGCAACAGAGGGATCGTGAAAGGAAATTTAACCGGGGAGCAGGGGGATGATAGGAAGGGCTGTGTAATTGAAACAATGAGTGGGAGGGGCAGGTATGACGGGCGCAGGGGGCCATATCATGTGCTGGGGCACACGCTGTTTACGAGCAATTACGCACCCCGGCCCCCAATGCGCGACTAGTGTCCTGGGTTGTGCAGAGTCTCAGACCCAGGGTCCGCGGCTGATGTTGTGTAATGCCAGGTTGGTCGTTAATAAAGCCCCCCACATTTGTGATCTTATTTTAGAGGGGGGTGCGGACCTGGCAGGTATTACGGAGACCTGGTTGGGCCAAGAGGGGGGGTTCCCCTCATTGAAATGTGCCCACCAGGTTTCCGTACATTTCATCAGCCAAGGGCCAGGGGAGGGGTGGGGGAGTGGCGGTGATTATTAGGGAGAGTCTTTGTCCGAGGGAGACCACTGTTCCTCAGATAGCCGGATGTGAGTCCCTCTTTGTGAAGTGGGGCCGTGGGGTGCAGATGGGTTTGCTGACTACGTACCTGGCTCCCTGCCACGTGGCAGTGACCCTGCCCAAGCTACTCGACGTCATTGCCGGGGTGGAGGTTGATACCCCCAGACTTATTGTCATGGGGGATTTCAACCTTCCGTCTGTGGGTGAGGCGTCAGAGGTGGCTCGGGAGTTCATGGCTTCCATGACGGCCATGGACCTGACCCAGTTAGTTCAAGGCCCAACTCACATAGGGGGACACACTCTGGACCTGATTTTTGTCTCTGGTCAGTGGTTGAATGATCTTGGTAGAGGGACCTAGACATCAAACCCTTGTCATGGACAGATCATTCGCTCCTTCACTTAGACTTTCCTACCGCTTTCCCCCGCCGCAGGGAGACGGAACCGATCAAATGGTTCCATCCCAGGCGCCTGATGGACCCTGAAAGGTTCCTGACGGAGCTTGGGCCATTTCCTGAGACTCTGGCACACGACTCGACTGAAGAGCTGGTGGCCGCCTGGGAGAGTGCGGCCGCCAGAGCTTTGGACCGCGTCGTGCCTTTGCGGCCTCTGACCCGATGCCAATCTCAATTGGCTCCTTGGTTCTCTGAGGAGCTGAGAGAGATGAAGCGTCGGAAAAGATGCCTAGAGAGCATTTGGAGGACTAGTCAATCCGATTCCGACCGGACACAGGTGAGGTCTTATATCAAGACCTACCTAGTGGCAATAAAAGCGGCGAAATCTAACCATTTTTCCGCTCTTATCGCAACTGCAGAGAACCGCCCAGCCGCCCTGTTTAGGGTGACCCACTCCCTTCTTCGGGGGAGAGTGCGGGAAGATCCCTTGCAGGGCCGCGCTGAGGATTTTGTGCAATTCTTGCATGATAAAGTCGCTCGGATTCGGGATGGCTTGGACTCTGATTGGATGAGTCCAGGGGAGGAGACAAGGGCAAGTCTTGAGAATATTATCTGGGAGGAGTTTGATCCTGTGGCTCCCGAGGATGTGGACAGGGTTCTGGGTAGGATTAGTGCCGCCACATGTTTATTGGACCCGTGTCCCTCCTGGTTGGTACTGGCCTCCCGAGAGGTTACACGAGGCTGGCTCCAGGGGATTATAACTGCTTCTCTGAGTGAGGGTGCCTTTCCCGCCGCCTTGAAAGAGGCGGTGGTGAGGCCCCTCCTCAAGAAGCCTTCCCTGGACCCAGCTGAATTAGCTAACTACCGTCCGGTCTCCAACCTTCGTTTTGTGGTGAAGGTTGTTGAGAGTGTGGTGGCACAACTGCCCGGGCACCTGGATGACGCTATCTATCTAGACCCGTGCCAGTCGGGCTTCAGGCAGGGGCACAGCACAGAAACAGCATTGGTCGCGTTGGTGGATGATCTCTGGAGGGCTCGGGACAGGGGTTGCTCCTCTGCCCTAGTCCTATTAGATCTCTCAGCGGCTTTTGATACCATCGACCATGGTATCATGCTGCAGCGGTTGAGAGGGTTAGGAATAGGGGGCACCGTTCTGCGGTGGTTCTCCTCCTTCCTCTCCAACCGCTCGCAGTTCGTGTTGGCAGGGGGGCAGAGATCAACCTCGAGGCGTCTCGCATGGGGAGTGCCACAAGGGTCGGTCCTCTCGCCCCTTCTGTTCAACATTTATGTGAAGCCGCTGGGTGAGATCATCCGTGGTTTTGGGGTGAAGTGTCATCTGTACGCTGACAACACTCAGCTGTACATCTCCACCCCAGACCACCCCAACGATGCCCTTGATGTGATGTCTCGCTGCCTGGAGGCCGTGCGGGTCTGCATGGGGAGGAACAGGCTCAGACTCAACCCGTCCAAGACCAAGTGGCTGTGGCTGCCGGCGTCCCGATATAGTCAGGAGGTGCCATCGCTGACTATTGGGGGTGAATCTTTGCCCCCCCCAGAGAGGGCTCGCAATCTGAGTGTCCTCCTGGACGCACGGCTGTCTTTAGAAGAGCATATGAGGGGCGTGGCCGGGGGGCCTTTTATCAGGTTTGCCTGATCCGCCAGCTGCAGCCCTTTCTGGACCGGGACGCCTTGCGCACGGTCACTCATGCCCTTGTCACCTCCCGGCTGGACTATTGTAATGCTCTCTACATGGGGCTCCCCTTGAAGAGCACTCGGGGGTTCCAACTGGTCCAGAATGCGGCCGCGCGGGTGATTATGGGCGCAACTCGTTGTGCCCGTGTGACACCCCTCCTGCGCGAGCTGCACTAGCTCCCAGTGGTCTTCCGGGTGCGATTCAAGGTGCTGGTTACCACCTTTAAAGCGCTCCATGGCATAGGACCTGGGTACCTTCGAGACCGACTTCTGCCACCAGTAGCCTCCCACCGGCCAGTCCGCTCCCACAGGGTCTCCTCAGGGTGCCATCGCCCAAGTTATGTCGGCTGGTGACACCCAGGGGGAGGGCCTTCTCTGTGGGAGCCCCAGCCCTGTGGAATGAACTGCCCCCGGAAATACGTAAGATCTCTGACCTCCGGGTGTTTCGCTGCGCATTGAAGACCCTGTTGTTCCGCCAGGCTGGGCTATCAACATAATAATTTTAAATTGGGGTATTTTAAATTTTTGGGGTTTTAAAACAGCCAAATCTATTTAATTATTTTAATTTTTAATCATTGTTGTGTCTTGTGTTTTTAAATTGGCTGTACACCGCCCTGAGTCCTTCGGGAGAAGGGCGGCATAGAAATAAAATTATTATTATTATTATTATACAACTGAAGAGTAATTAACAATTACTCTAAAACTTGTAACAATTTGGAGACTTGTTTTTGTATACATATCAGTTATAAAGAATTAATGGAAAGTGGGGCCCAGAATTTTTCATTTCAGTTTGTGTCATGTGTAGGAATTGATTGATAGATTATTTAAAAGGATTTTTAAACTGGAATGATTCTAGAATTCAATCTGGCTTTTGTTCACTACAGTATTAAGAGCAATAACTATCCCATGCAGTAATAATCCAATAAAGATCCAAGGAATAACAGTTGAAGACTGCAAATGTTCACTACTTACATGCAGTCATGTATGAAGAACACTATAAGTATGATTTAAACAGCAGTGTAGTGCAGTAGTTGTGGATTGTATCCATCTACCCTCCACCAAGTATGCTTACCTCTGAGCTACTCATTCACAGTGTAACAACTTCACAGGGTTGTTGCTGTGGAGAAAAACACCTGAAAGAAGGAGCACTATGTATATTGCCTTGAATGAAAGGCAGGATAGAAGTCTATTTAATAAAATATACACAGAAAAGTTTACTATTCTGGGATCATCTTCAAGAATTCCTTCAGAGCAGGTAGCCCAACAGTTTGAGTAAGCAGAACAATACAGGTAAACTTCGACTTACAACAGTTCATTTAGTGACCATTTAAAGTTACAATGGCCCTGAAAAATGTGACTTATAACAATTTTTTTATAGTTGTAACCTATGCAGCATCCCCATGGTCATGTGCTCAGTCAGATGCTTGATTATTGCTGTTTCCCAAGGTCATGTGCTCAGCTTTTACAACTTTCTGACAAGCAAAGTCAATGGGGAAGCCAGATTCACTTAACAATTGGGTTGATAGTTTATCAACTGCAGCAATTCACTTAACAATTGTGGAAAGCTCATAAAATGGAGCCAAACTCACTTAACAACAGAAATTTTGGGTTCACTGTGGTTGTAAGTTGAGGACCACCTGTAAATACTTATGGCAAAAAAAGAATAGCAGTAATACATACCCAATTTATGTACAGCATGAACAATTGTAGATCCACTTCCAATTCCAAGGACATGATTAGTCTACAAAGGAGCATAAATATTTGCTTTTGTAAATCAGTACAGAAATTGTACTATCCGATTACTAAACAGCATAATGAGATACTCTTTTCTTTTAAGTAATTTTAGTCTGGCTTCTAAAGGAGACAAAAGCATATTTCATACAGGCATATAAAACAAGAATGGTTCTGTATAAAACCTAATTCTTCTTCTGTGAACATTCAGGAGGCCAAAAAAAGAATAAACACCAAACCCAAATTTTGCTAAGGTAAAATAATATCTGTACAGTTGATTAATATAATTGGCTACTAGTTAACCTAATATGTATAGTAGTTTGTCAGATAACTGTGTGTGCCATAACATTTTCAAACCACTGTTTTTCATAATTGTGCTTTGTATGTTAAAAATTATATATTGCCTGAAAAAATCAACATGAGAAGAGTTTGATCAGTAAGTTATTACTCAGTAAATATGCACAGAATGAAATAAGAATACAGTAAAATATTTAATTTGCAAGGATAGTAACCCAAATTACAACTCCAGAAAGATGTACGGGTCATTTTTAGAGCAAATGGAACCATCTAACTAATAATATGGATCGAACTCCATCAGAGAGTAAGAACTACAAAATCCAATTCCAATGATGAAAGTACTGCTGAGAATCGCAGCGTAGGAGGAGACCTTTGCCGTTGATCTGTTCAGAAGTCTTCAACCAACTTCAGAACAAGTGGCAGTTTCGATACCCATAAAATCTGTAAAAAAGCCGCACGCATTTTTGTCAGGGAGAAAACTAATTGCGTTCGTCTATAAACGTAAGAATACAAATTTTATAACACCTAAAAATATTTGGTAAAGGAGAAAGTTCCAAAAACAATAGTGAAGAAACGTACTTCCTTGCAAAATCAGCTCCCTACCTGCACGTGATTGTTTACCGCTGCCCAGGCGGCCAGCTTTTTGGCTTCTTCGGTCATATTGTTCCTCCCGTGGCTGCTTCTCAACAGCCTCGGGTTTAGCAAGCGCTCTTTCTGCAGAACTCTCGACTCGACCCTTCCTTCCGCTGTCAGCGTCCTATAGAGAAAAGTGAGAGGCTCCGTACTGCGCCGCATGACGCTGACCCCGCCCGGCCGCCGCCGCCTCTCTCTCCCCCTTGGGCTTCACCTTGGCTCTTGCAATTGCCCCGAACCACCACCCCGGGACAGTTCGCGATTAAGGCTGCCTGGCAAACGCTTACTTCCTCTAGGCGCAATGTGAGATTTAGACTACCACTTATAGAATTGAGCGCACGTAGTGCGATCCGCATGAGATACACACACACATACACGCACACCGCCCGCCCAGAAAGACTGCATCCCAGCATTCAGCTGTTTTGAACGCAAAAACAGGAGATGCATTTTAGTCACATTGTGCTGCTACATGGTTAATAATTTATTCAAACAATAATGTGTTCATGCACTTTTTAAATACCTTTTTGCCAGACATTAATATCAAACGTCGCTTCATGTCCGACACCTCTCCGGTTAAATATCGTCAATAATTGGGGTTTGAGTAGATCTCTACATCCGTGCAAATCTAACCTCTAAAATCCTTCTCTCTTCGGTTGCGATTTCTGTGATCGGAAATTATTTCTATAAGAAGAAAAACTGTTGTACATATATGGTCCATATGGGCAGAACTTTCTTTCAAATTCGGAGGAGGGACTGAATTTCCAGTAATGAAATGAAATGGAATGAAATGTCCTTTAAATACACAAGAATATAAATTCATGTGGTCCCTAGAAGTGGACAGCGGTTTGATGGCACATAATTTGTATTCCCTTCTCACATTAGTTCTGGAGTAATGTATTGCATTTTCACTCTTAAGATATAACTTCTGTGTGTGTGTGTGTGTGTGTGCAAACGACTGTATATTTCATATGGCCAAATTACTATTTTTATTTTTTTTTGAGGGCGGCACAATTCACTCATGTTTATTCATCAAAGATACTGGGTGTAAAACGTTTTGAACCATGGGAGCGGAATGCACCACTAGATACAAAGGCCAACACTGTTGCTATGATTCAAATAGTAGGCAGCAAGGTTGTTTTTAACCTCTTAAGGCGTTTCGGTGTTTCACAGGTGCAAATTCAATCCACAGTCACCTCTATTAAAAAAACTATAGACTCGGCATCTGGAAGAGCGTCATAGTCCTAACACTGGGTGGAACCACTGCAGGCAGCAATTGAGAGGGGGGGGGATCCGGGTTCCCCACAAGAAGACCCCCTTGCAAATAAGCTCCAAAGACAAATAAAATTAAGGCATCTGTAAAAAAAAAATAATAATCAGCGAACAAAGTTTTAACTGCAGGAAACAACCGATGCATTTAAATGTATCCCCTGGGAATTTCCCAACTCGTTCTGTTGTGCGTCCAGATCAGGTCTGGTTGACCTCGGATCCTCTTTCCTATGTAGAATTAGAATGTCTATAAAGATAAATATATGAATATTTCTTATTTCGTCCCGGCCAAAAATGAAAGAACGGTTAAATGTTACATCGAGGACATTTTTACCTTCTGTAACCCCATATGGCGGTTTGACAGCCGCTGCTTCTCTAAGGTCTCCCCTCCCCCCCAGCGCTCAGCTCTGGAGAATACCGTCAACACTCAAAATCGGCCACGTAGAAAGCATCGGCCTTGCCCAATCAGGAGGGGAAGGAAAAGAGCAACAACCAATCCCTGCATTCCACCAGCTACCTCCACGTTCTCCAATCAAGAGCGGAAGTCAATGGCAAATGTAGGGTTGTGGTTTAATCCAATCATGGAAACCTTGGAGACCTGAGCCTTTTTATTGGCGGGCAAAAGCCAGAAAGCGTCGTTTCCATTGGTTCTGTTTACATGCAGACAACTATCATGTGTTCATCCCTTTTCTTTCAAACAGAAAGCAACCCCTCCTAGATCCGGATAGATAAAACAGCAAAAACCTGTTACTAAAGTCAAGCAAACTAGGTTGTGTACAAGCGCGCCGTTACGTGGCTAACAAGGGGCGGGGTTGGTAAACTATAAGCAAGTTAGGTTGCCGTTTGCGCGTGCGTACTTAATCTCTCTGCGGAAGGAAGGAGATTGAATCTTCCTCTGTGGCCATTGGAAGGAGCTACCTGGAGCCAGGTTGGAGTTTATGCCATAACGACGTCTTTGAGGCGAGTGGAGGGAGGGCCCCTCCATGCCAGGGCCGCGAGGCCCAAGCGTTCGGCCTGCTCCTTCCGCTGCCATCCTTTCTAACGTCGCCGCCGCCCTGGTGCTCTTGTGGCTTTTTTTGCTGCTTTGCGTCCCTCTAAGGGAGGCGGCGGCGTTTTCGGAGGGTGATGGCCGGCCCGGATTAGGACTCAGTGGCGCTGCAGCCGCGGCGCTTCCGTTAGTAGGTGATGTGACTGTGGAAGACGATGAGGCCAGTGGCGTGGCCCAGGCCGCATCCTCCGCGGAACAGGAGGAAGAAGCAATGGAAGCTCCCACCCAAAGCGGTAGTTTCAGGTGAGGTGGGAAAGAATTGGGGGGGAGGGGGGTTATGTGTGTCTTTTATAGCAGGGGTCTCCAACCTTGGCAACTTCAAGACTTGTGGACTTCAACTCCCAGAATTCCTCAGCCAGCTGAGCTGGCTGAGGAATTCTGGGAGTTGAAGTCCACAAGTCTTGAAGTTGCCAAGGTTGGAGACCCCTGTTTTATAGGTTGCTGTATCTTGTTCTGCGGCTCCCTCTAGCCCGCCTTTCCCAACCAGTTGCTTTCTAATGACGAATCTGTTAATTCTCAAAATCTCAAATCGGGAAGCTGTCATGTGGGCTCAGAGATGTGGGAGGTGTTGCCAACAATATTTTCGGAGAACCAGGGTCTTTCTCTAGATACACAAATGCTTTGCATGATGCCCAACGCTAGCATCCCAGTACAGGATTTGCAGTAAGTAAAATGCCCTTTGAGCTGCTCCTTAAACCATTTAACATTCATGTAGGGTCACTAATATAGCTATTCCTTCTGCAATATATTGTCTGTACATAGAGAAAATTGGAGTGGAATGCATTTTTATTTGCTGTTTTACTCGACATTCACTTTTTATTCATAATAACTGCTTTCCTATACGTCAAACTGAGTATTTTTCTTACTATTGGTCAGCTTTTTGGATATGCAGGCTAGCAGGTAGAAAAGTGCTATGGCTAATAATTACAAGGATGTGATTTGCAGTGAATGAATTTTCTGGTTTCCTGAGATTTTATAATTTCCTTCCTTCCCTCCCTCCCTCCCTCTCTAAAGTGCCAATTTAGATGAAATGATCTGTATCTGTTATACAAGACACTGGATCCAAACAGAAATCTATTCTTATTATCCTGTGAAAATTTATTTTGGAGCAAGAACTATTAAAAGGATAGTTTAATAACATTAAAAATGCATTTTATGCTTATTTGTGCTGCTATCTGCAAGAACTGAAACAGTCTTTAGTAAATCATTTTATTTATTTATTTATTTGCTTTAATTTATATGCCGCCCTTCTCCGGAGACTCAGGGCGGCTTACAATGCGTTAAGCAATAGCCTTCATACTTTTGTATATTTATACAAAGTCAGCTAATTGCCCGCACAATCTGGGTCCTCATTTCACCTACCATTGAAAGGATGGAAGGCTGAGTCAACCTTGAGCCTGGTGAGATTTGAACTTGCAGTAATTGCAAGCAGCAGATGTTAATAACAGTGCTTAGTCCACTGTACTGCAGGCTCTTCTTATTGAAACAGAATATTATTTCACTGAGCTCAGAAAAGTCAACTGGTAGTAATTCTTTATCAAATCTCTCTGAAGGTATCAGAATTTTTTAAAATTCAAAGCTCTGTCTGCTAGCTTCAAAATCCATTGTCATTTGCCATGCTGACTGGGACTGTAAAGCTAAAATGTAGAAGTTTCTAAGTTGCCAAAAGCTTATTTTTGGGAACATTTAAAAATATAATTCCATGGAACAATAGTTTTGTTAAATGACTTTCCTAAATAAATTTTTTAACAAAATTCACAGGCTGAGAAATATTTTGATATAATTAAACTAAATGTATTACTTCCTATTATTTTCTTATTAGAGATGACCTATTAATTGATTTCCATATTTTTCAAAACTGCCGCCTTTGGAGAAAAATAAAATATTTAAAATAACTTTGATGTGAACTAATAATGTAAGAATACAGTACGATATTCTTTCTGGAGTTAAAGTGTATTTAAGATGACATCACTATTATGTTGATTGCAGTTCTTAGCAGAGTTTGGTAATTTCTCAGTTTAGTTACAGTTTGTTGTTTATGGTTTTCATGTATTTAGAGTTTGCATGTAGGGCACCATATTCCTCATGGATTTAAGTACAAAATTCCCTCTTTCTGTTAATAGTATTAGAAAAATTCACTTTGATAGAGTTGCAGAAAACTGTAAAACTTTTCAACTACTACATTTTCTCTGGTCTTGATTTTCTACCTCACATTGATATTTGCAATACTGTATATTCAAAAAATATTGTGAACATGTATGTGCAGTCATCACTCTCTTAAAAATGTTCATACCGATAGTCCTTAATAATTGGGTCCAAAATACATATAACCAAGTTCTAAAGTTTTAACAGCCACACATGAATATATTTGCATCACATGGTCACATTTAAGATTCCTACAGCCATTTGCAGCATCACATGGTCATGTACTGCAATTTGCTCATTGGGTACAATGGGTTTGCTAAACAATTGCTACAATCAGTAATGTTCATGTAACAAATGCCACAAAAAATTGTAATTCTAGGCTCAGTTATGGTTGTAAGTCAAGTACTACCTTACATTGCTTCCTCTTTTGACCTCCCATCTATGGTATATTTTCAGAACCTTTTCTGTTTTATTTTTGTTTAACCCAGTTTCCTAGTTTTCTTCTTCCAATTCTTCATTTTTGACACATTCTGTGATCCATAATAATTTATTAAACTTGTATGCTGCCCAATGACAAGGCAGCTCACAATAACACGTATCTCAGAGTAGAATGAATTAGAGAAGATAACAAAATACAAAGACCTTCAAATAGAAATAAAATCATGGCAAAAAAAAGCAAAGGCAATACCAGTACCATAGTAATAGGTGCATTGTGTGCAATCCCAACACAATTGGAGCACAACTTGAACACTATTGGCATTGATAAAATCATCATCGATCAGTTATAAAAGCTTTACTTGGAACAGCATACATCCTGTGATGATACCTTTAAAATTATCAAACATTCACATCTGTCTATCCCAGATCCTTGGGAAGTACAGGTAGTCCTTGACTTTAATTTATTTAGTGACCATTCAAAGACCATTCAAATAGCACTGAAAAAAGTGACTTATGACCATTTTTCACACTTACAACCGTTGCAGCATTCATGGTCACATGATCAAAATCCAGACACTTAGCAACTGACTCATATTTATGATGATTACTTTGTCCCAGTGTCATGTAAACTATCTTTTGCAACCTTCTGACAAGCATGGTCAATGTGGAAGCCAGATTCATTTAACAGCCATGTTACTAAATGCAATTACAATTGCAGCAATTCACTTAATAACATGGCAAGAAAGGTTGTAAAATGAGGCAAAATTCACTTAACAAATGTTTCACTTAGAAACAGAAACTTTAGTCTCAATTGTGATCATAAGTTGAAGACTACCTGTACTCGATAAGTGAACAACACTATCAAATCCAGTTTGAACATCTGATTGACTATGCAACGAACCATAATAATTTATTAAATAGGTATGCTGCTCAATGAAGGGACAGTTCACATCACAATGATTCAGAAGTCAGGCTCCCTCTTTTTTCAAATTCTTAAAATTCATTTTCTCCATGTAGTGTTCAAAATGCCTACCTTAGCGGTTAGTTTGTCATCTGTTCATGCATTATGTGACATTCTGATCAGAATATTACATCATATGATGCCTTTGAGGGAATTATTTGCTGATTCACAACAGGTTTTCTAGAAAGTATTTTTATAGCTTTAAAAGAAAAAAGTTAAGCGACAAATAGACACATACACACACACACACACACACAAATTTTGGGAGGTGGCTATAGTGAAATTTGGAAAATGAATACAATAATAATTAGATATGGCTATTATGAATATGTGCTTTATATTAGAATCATGCCATTGATGCTGTATAGGTAGTCCTTGATTTATAACACTTATTTAGTGACTGTTTAAAGTTACAACAGTATTGAAAAAAATGACTCATGACTATTTTTCATGACCATTGGAGCATCCCCATGGTCACGTGATCAAAATTTAGATGCTTGGCTACTGACCCATATTTATGATAGTTGCAGAATCCTGGGGTCATAAGATCACCTTTTGTAACCTTCTGATAAGCAAAATCAATGAGGAAACCGGATTCACTTAACAACTATGTTACTAACTTAACGAATGCAATGATTCACTTAACTGTGACAAAAAGATATTAAAGTCAAACACAACTCAATCACTTTGCTAGCAATGGAAATTCTGTTCCCAATTGAGGTTGTTAGTTGACTACTAGTATCTGCCTTTTTTACAAACTCTGGTGGACTCATATTGGGCAGATAAAGTTATGGCCAAAAGGCACATCTCTGATTTTGATATTGATATGGATATTCTCAGTAATATATAGGTCAGTTGGGTCCTATGAATTGCTATCATTCAAATAATCTCTGTTGGAACTGCTTGTCATTGAGAGAAGCACATGAACAGACTCATTATGTTATGGTCTTCTCTTCTTGTCTTTGCTACAGAATCTAACAGTTGACTCATCTTAAAAATAGGTAGTTCTTGATTTACTGCCAATCACTTAATGAGCATTCAAAGTTACAATGGACTTCAAAAAAGCTACTTACGACCCTTCCCGAAAGTCATGCTTGCCACAACATACCCACATGATCACGTGATCATATTTCTGGTGCTTGGCAACAAGCTCGCCGTTACAACTGCAGCATTCCATGGTCACATAACTGTGATTTGCAACTTTTTAGCTGTTTTCCGGCAGAAAACAGGAAAAAATGCTCATTGTATATGCTGAATTTGCTTCCTGATTACATGATTCATTTAACGACTGCAGTGACCTGTTCTACAACATTCAAAAAAGTAAAATCAAATTGGTCATGTGATGCCATGACTTAAGGGTGCAATGGCTTACAACCGACATTCTGATCTTCACCATGAAGTCAAGGACTATCTGTAACATGTTTACTGACTTACAGAAAAAGATTATATATATAGTGTATTATACAACCTGATTTGCCCTGTTCTGGAAGCTGATCCCTAGTCTTTCTGTTTGCCTGAGGCCTTAAATTGCCAACTAGGACTGTGCAGTGCTTCAGATTTTATTGGTAGGGTAATGATTTGGAACACACGGATGCAAACAAATGCAGCCCTGTTATATTACTAAAGCAGCCATGTTAGTTTATAGGATTGTATAGCTACAGTGAAAATTTCTTTAAAGCAGTTGTGTGATTCAGGAAGAAACTGCTACAATTAGTCCTTGACTAGACACCCTAATTGGAACTGGAGTTTCCATCAGTGAAGTGGTAGTTAAGTGAAGCATCACATAACCACATGACTTAGCAATGGCAATCCCAGGTACAGTTATTAAACAGGGCCAATTCTGTTATTAGGTGAGGACCTCCTGTGATTGTGACTTCCTGCCATCCTTCCCATTGACTTTGCTAATGGGAAGTTGACTAGGAAGGTTGCAAACACTTAACACCTTCCATCCCAATTCAAGCCATTTCCAGCTTGGTCTTTCCAAGCCCTGAGCCTCAGTTCTTCCAAGACAGGGAACACTTTTGGGAGATCATGAGCCAAAAGAGGCTGACCTCCTTCTTTTGTCCTTTGCAAACTGCCTCGGCTTCAACTTCCTATCCCCTCCTAACCCCCCCCATTTCTGCTTTTTTGGTCATCCTGCAGAGCACAGGTGAGATGAAAATGCCACTATATTCTGCTGTAATCTATCAGCTACCACCACTGTCCCCAACATAGCTTCCTCCTTGACTTCCTATGTGCAGCTGTCATTATCTTCTTCCTTGTCTTCAGTATCATGTCTAATCTATACTGAGCTTGCTACTATCTCCTCTCCTTGGTGCCCACCACTCCATGGAGTACTTTCCATGATCCTAGGAGGAGCAGGCTGAGACTGCTAATGTGGGTCGGGCTTATCAGGAGCCTAGCTGTTGGGGAAGTGGATGAAAGTCAGAGGTGAATTCATCACTGACAATGGAACCAGCGGAGAGAAGGGGAAGCAGATGCAAAAGAGGAGAAAGATGTGCTAAGGAGTAAAAGGGGGGCAAGGTCTGCTGGGGCTGGCAGCTGGGTGGTGGCGGAATACAGCAGTGGCTTCATCTTGGCCAAACTGTACAGATGACAAAAAAGACAGAGGTAGGGAGAGGAAATAGGTTGGAGTGAGAGTTGAAGAGGAGACCGTTCGCTTAGGGAAGGAGAGCATGACTGAGATACTGCAGCTATCATAACTGCAGGTAGCTCATCAAATGCCCAAATTTTGATTATGTGACTGGAAATGCTGAAGTGATCATAAGTGCTAGGACCTACCATAAGTCCTTTTTTTGTACACTGTTGTAACTTTGGTCACTGAACAAATGGTTCATAAAAAAGCTTACAAGTAGTGATTGACTCGTTACCGCAATTGGGACTGGATTTGGGGTTGTAAGCCATTATCATCATAAGTCAATGCACCCACATGAACAAACCTGATTTTACTTCTTTTGCAGTGGTCTTTAAATGAATTACCATGGTCATTAAATGAACAAGGTTGTAAGTGCAAACCCATTCCTCTGAATTGACTTTTTTGCCGGAAAAATGTCAAAAACTGACAAAAACATTGCAAATCATAGTCACGTGACCACTACAACTGGTCATAAGGGCAAGTCAGTTGCCAAGCATCTGAAATGCAGCATGAATTTTACAACGGCCAGAAGTGCTTTATGGGCCTGTTCTGACCTATTGTAATTTCAGACAAAAGTTAACTTGTTAACTGACCAGTAGTGAGTCAAGTATTATCTGTACCTATATAATGATCCCAAACAGACTCATTAAATTTATTATCGTTCCTGCTCATTCTAAAACATTCTTCCCTATTGAATCTGAAGCAACAAATGGTTCTGGAGTCCTGGTTTAAATTCAGCAAGGCATAAAATGTTTCCTTCATTTGATTAACATATTGCACATAGCCTGCCTATTGAAGTTCAGTCATAAAGTCTAGCAGATTTATTTGAAATTAAACTGAATGCTCCACTGTACCATATACTGAGGTGTATTTTATGAATAATGCACAAATCTTGATTCTTGCTCTGAATATTTTATCTTTGGAAACAATATGATTAGGATTATCTTATAATTGTTCAAATAAATTATTTTCTTTTGGTATGGTTAATGAAATGCTAAATAAATAAATTACCATTAATTCTAAACAATTGGAGGTTGCTTTCTAGGAAATAAACCTTGAGTAGTGCAAACTAATAGCACAGAATAATGTTCACATTTAATTTGCATAATTAAATATTTTTATGTGATTAAGGCACTAGGAAGAAAAAAATGCCCATTAAGAAAATACATATCCAATTTGTAACTTTACATAATTGCATGTAGGCAATTGAAGTTACAAAATGATCTCAAATTAACTTATATAATTGTCAACATTTGTAGGCAATATTCTGATTTTAGTAGGCAATATCACTGATATTGCTTCTTTTTAATTATTTTTAAGGGAAAGAAAAAGTTAAGAAAATGGCAATAAAGCTGGGAAAAAACATAGCTTAATAATTTGAAAAATTGGTTACAGATTGTTATTAGGTATATCTTGGATTTTTTGTTCTTATGAACATATTTTTTATTTGCAGATCATTAATAATTATAAGTACTTTGGATGGACGGATTGCTGCTTTAGATCCAGAAAACAGTGGTAGAAAACAGTGGGATCTGGACGTGGGATCAGGTTCTCTTGTTTCATCTAGTCTTAGTAAACCAGAGGTAAGATTAGTGTGTTTAATCACTGGTTTTTAGAATTTATAGGGAGGGGTTAATTGTACTGAGATATTTCATCACCTCTGTGCTAGTTGGAAGTACCAGGAATGCTGGGAACATAGATCTCATTCCTAAAGATTCTTAATTGGAAATCTGATAAACTGTGCAGAATTGCATGAGAGGTGCAAGGGGAGCAAACAATTTCTGTAAAGCAATCCCTTTGATCAGGATCAGGCATAGGAGAGATTACCCACAAAAATTGCTTGCTTCCCCCTCTCACAGAGCAGAGAGATTGGAGTGGAAAAGATGTCAAGAGAGAACTGTAAGTTGTTTCTGCAATGTGCCTGCAGCTCCTAGTCCTGGTCTTCCAACAATCCCATTGTTTTCAATGTGCGACAGAGCAACAGTTTATTCCCTGACAATCCCTTTCTCTCCAATCTTTCTGTCTTCAAGTGGAGGATGGGAAGGAAAAAAAAAAAGGTCAGATGCATGACAACACGTATTGATTATAATGGTGATTGCATCACTGAGGGATGGTGTGAATGTTGTAAATTGACTGTAAAGTTATTTTTTCAGGTTATTCATAACTTTGAATGATCACTGAAAAGTAGTTGTTAAGCAAGGAATACTTTCACCAAAAATGTCTAATGCTTTTCTCCATTGTACTCTATTAATTGAATTACTGAAACATCATCTATATTTTCTGCCTTCCAACTATCTTTAAGTAGACTTCAGTTTTCCTCTACAAATTTTGTTGAATCCACATCTGCAGGTTTGTGGATTCACAGTATATAAGAAAAAAAGTGAATATTAAGAGTGAATTAGATTGCTTAAGCAAGTTCTAATTGCTGTAAATCTTTCTAATCTGTTCCAACTTTCTTGACAGTTTGCAAATATTTGTTAGATAGGTATATGTTTTAACAAACTTTTAAATTACAAGCCCCAGTTTTTATATGAAATATAAGTATTGCTTTTTTTGTGGAGATCATCTGGCAAACTTGAAGATACTCACTTTGCAAAATTTGATACTAATATTAATTATGAATTTTCCTTTTATTGACATTGAATAAGTTAATATATGTAAGAACTTTAACATAACTTAAATTCCATGGATTAGGATAACTGCAAATGATTCGTTCTTGCAATAGGAGATGTTTAAGGACAAATAGAGGATAATGTCATTTCCATAACTAGACACATGTCCTTGCTGATTCCTTAGTGTAATTGAATTTGAATCTCCTTATTCTTTCAATGAGAATATTTCCATATTTTTAGTCTTTTTGGATTTACAATTATTTCATCACTTTATGTACACTTCTTGCTACCATGAATAAGGAGAGAAATTACAAATGATCATGCAAATGAATTCTTGTCTTGTTAAATAATGAAGTCTAGAATCACTTTTTTTCTTTTAGAACTATACATTAGAATCTGTAACACTAATTTATATTAATAAGGAGTAACAGTGTAATCCCTTCAATTATTAATGTAAGTTCTCAAGAATTAACTTTCAGAGTATGACCAATTGTAACTATTTTTTGTACAACAAACATTCTCAGAAACCATTTATATTACCAATTTGGAGTTCTTTCAAAACTTTATTGGAGTGATTGTGGAAACATAATGTTACACTTTGTGTGTGTGTGTTGGACATCAAGGTAAATGCCATGATATCTAATCTTGTTTTTGTTAAGAAATATTTGAAAGGATTAAAAATACTTACAAGCAGGATATGCTTAGATATCCTAATATTTAATGATAATCTTAATCTTAATTAACATCCTTAATGATAATCTGTACTCAGTTTTAGAAATAAAATCTTAACATTTATGCAGTATAAAGTTGTCTTGAACTGAAACCGCAGATTTCTTTCTTGACCTTTGCCATTTTGCTTCTTCAGTGGTTCTAACATTACTTATTTTTAAACATTGGTAGGGTGATCTGGCTTGTTTGTGTTTAGTTAATTGGTATCAGAATTTTTGTTGCTAAGCTGCAGGGTGGTAAAATATGATGTCATGTGACTGCAAAACTTAGCAATGCAATCTTGTTTGCCATCATACCCCAAGGTCACTTAGGTTATTAAGCAGGAAGAGGCAGAGTCCCAGGCGAGTGGGTGAAAAAGTGGCAGTTGCTTGACTGTTTCTAACTTCACACCAGCTTTCCCATTAACTATGCTTGTGGAAAGCCAGCAAGGAACATCACAACACCTGCAATCACTTGACTGAAGCTCTTTGTAATATATGAGACCACTCATAAATCCCTTTCATACAGTGCTGTAACCTTGAACAGCTGCTGCATAAGTGATTGTAATTTAAGATTTACCTGTAGAGATACTTATTTTGTAGTATGTTCATTTCTTAAGACATCAGTAGTTTCAGTAAAGAGCTATATGCACATACAGTGGAACCATTGTGAATATTGCTTGCATGTATTAAAGTGGATAATTAATTTTTTCATCTACCTTTTTACACACTTCTGACCTTTTTTAAACATGCTTTAGCTAACAATTAAGTTAAATTAATTATTTAACTTAAAACATTCTTTCCCCAAGTTTGAATTATTTAGATGTTTCATATTTCATTCAGACTGTTGCTTCTGTGCCATGTTAGAATTTTTTCATTAGGTAAAGAGGTGGTTCCATGCACACATGTGAATCACAAATCATTTTATAACTATCTATCCTTGGAATTCTATTACTTTTTTCATTATTCCTGCTCTTCTCTAGGATGAAATTTAGTATCTATAATTTGTTGCATGTTAATAATATATCTTTCAGTTCCTCTATCTCTTATGATTCATGTTCATACTTCTGCCAGATTTTGTTTCATGTATTACTGAAATTACATGTGGCTTTTTTATCTTTTAGAGCAAGACATTTCCTTGTCTTTGATCCAAAATGCAATGGACCTCTTATCTAAGAGCAGCAAATTAGTTCTTTTTCTTTTTTCTGGAAAAGACAATAGCTGAGATCTAAGAACTCTGACAAACTATTCTATATCCTGTAGAGGCTTATAAATTTTATTTTTGAATAACAGGCCCACAAATTACATATTTTAGCCTTAAAAGTGTATTTCAAATCACATATTTTAGCTTTGAATGTGATTTCTAGAAAGACATGGGGTCTGCTATTTTGAAAATGCAACAAGAAAATCCCAAGTGTACACACATTTCAGTTTTGTATAAGAAACACTTTTTGGGGGGAGGGGGGATTTTAGTTTATTCAAAGAAGATTAAAATACTAAACACCAAAATATTTTAAAAGGACAAAATAATTTTAAAAAACAATAAAAAGACATTAAAAAGAAAACGTGTAAAAATATAATACAGCAATGTTGGTTTGCCATCACTTGCATAACAGGCCAAAAGAATTTTAAACTATTAAACTACTAAATCTATTTACAAATTATTAGCCTATAATCTATAAACCATATTATAACAAAATAGTTAAAAAAAACAATAATGAAATATATAAAAATATAAAAGTAGTAAAAAAATGTGAACAATAATAAGAAAAAGACAAGATTGAAATTCCAAAACTCTGTTAACAAACTGTTACTGTAATCAACCAGTTGAAAATTTACTACTGTTTCAATCTCAAATCATCCTTCTTTCCACAAGAAGAAAGTCTTTTTCTCACAGCCTATATCGTGTATATCATTAGAGTTCACAATACCTTCTATTCTCAGGAAATTACTGTTTATGATTTTTCACCAAATCAAAAATTATTTAAATCTCTTTTTAAAGAAGTGATGAGGCACATTTATAATCTGTTGTCATAAACTTAACATCATAAGCCCCTTCAGGAAATAGAATAGTTTGGCAGAGTTCTTAGATCTCAGTCATTGTCTTTTCCGGAAAAAAGAACTATTGTTATAAATTTACATCAAAATTGAATTTTCAAGCCTTGGATGGTTTACTGAGAAAAGAGCAGGTAAAAATAGTGAAATAATTTGGCTGAGATAGGCACAGATAAACAAGTTAGCTTAGAAGTCAGTTTATCTAGCTGATTTTACTCTCTAAGTGAAGTAAATGATGACTTATGTCATAAAATGTAGTCAGTCTGAAAAGGAACATGGATCAATGCACAATTGTGGATATGCATTGTTAAATAATTTTATGAGACATTATTATGGCATTTTTCTATTGATTTGGATCTCATTTGATTTTAAATCTTTCTGTATTCTGATCATATTCTTTTTATCCTTATTAAAATGTATACTTCTATTTTAATATTTTGTAGGTGTTTGGGAATAAAATGATAATTCCCTCCTTGGATGGAGATCTTTTCCAGTGGGATCGTGATAGAGAGAGCATTGAAGCTGTTCCATTCACTGTTGAGTCACTTCTTGAATCATCCTACAGATTTGGAGATGATGTAGTTCTGGTTGGAGGAAAGTCCCGAACAACATATGGGCTGAGTTCATATTCAGGAAAGGTAAAATAATAACAACTTTGGCAACAGAATGTTTATAGGTTTTTAAAATTGTTTTGAAATCGTTTATAGCCAACCTATCTGGTAAGGTTTTATAAAACTTTGTAAAAGCTGGCTTCCTTTTGCGAGTTTCAGGCATATTACAAATTGCATGTTTAATTTTTTCACTTCTTATATAATTCAGTAACTACCAACATGATTTGTATTAAAAACACAAAATACTTTATCTCAAATGTATTGGGGGGTGTGTGTGTGTGAGTGCTTTAATTTTAGGATTTGTTCCAAGTGAACCACCATTTATGTACGACTTAGGGAACACATTTTTACTTTTTATGTAAGTATACTTTTTTACTTTTTATGTACTTTTTACTTTTCATGTTGTATTCCATTCCATTATAGAAATGGAATACAACATGAATTGTCAGAACTTCTACTTTATTAATAAAAATATTGGCACCTAAGGGAGAGCCTGTTGAATTAAATATTTCCTTCTGGCCCTAGGTAAAATATATATGTTCAGCAATGGGCTGTCGTCGCTGGGATGATGATGAGCTAGAGCAGGAAGATATTCTTCTCCTACATAGAACTCAGAAAACTGTTCGTGCTGTTGGGCCCCGCAGCGGCAATGAAAAGTATGTATAATATAGTAGTATTATGTCTTAATGAATTAATAATTATTCTCCGTCGTTTCTGCACATGATATACCTGCATCCCCAGGTTAGTACGTGTAGTTGTTGACTTATGACCACAATTGGGGCCAACATTTCTGTTGCTAACCAAGACAATTCTTAAATGAATTTTGCCCTATTTTATGACCTTTCTTGCTGGAGTTGTTAAATTAGTAACATGGCTGTTAAATGAACCTGACTTCCACATTGACTTTGCTTGTTAGAAAGTTTCAAAAGGTAATTACATGACCCTGGGACAACCAATCATAAATGCATGCCAGTTGCCAAGTATCTGAATTTTGATCACATCACCATGAATGGTTGTAAGTGTGAAAAATAGTCATAAGTCACTTTTTTCAGTGCCATTGTAACTTCAAATTATCACTAAATGAATAGTTGTAAATCATGGATTATCTATATAGGTAATCTGCGAGTATCTAATAGATGCTTGATCTGTCCCATGGGACCACCCTGGAAACAGTGAAGGACTGGCCTGCAGTGCCTCTGTCAGTGAAAACAGAACTCAGAAGGGCCGGGCACAGCCTTCCCAAGCTCCGTTTTCATTGGCAGAGTGCTAGCAAAACAAACTATTAGCAAAAGTGGCATGAGGCATTGAGGCATGTTTCTCCTTTTGCATTTGAGCATCCAAGAAGAGACAGGAAAAGACAAAGGAAAAGACAAAAAGAAGGGAAGATGAGAATAAAGCAAGGAAGGAAAAAGAAGGAAAGATGGGAATGAAGGAAGATAGATTATAATGAGAGGGAGGTAGGGTCTGAGGGAAATCCTGCTTTAGCACTTGGCCACCAGCAGCCCGGCTGCCCTTTCGCCATCCCCTTGTCTCCTCCTCCTGACTTCAACTCGTGGTCTCCCATCCTATAGCTGAGCATGCTTTGGTTACAAAGCCAGGTCTCCCCGCATGGAGAGGGAGTGGGCCTCCCTCTGACCCACACATTTTGCCCTTCTGCACACATATGAGCAACCTGGCCAAGGAAAACGAGAACAGCAGCAGCAGCCTCAAGGAGGTAAGCACAGCTGGGCTGTGGGGTCCTGGTGCCCTGGGAGCTTGAGGGCCAGGCTGGGCATGCCCTTTACTGCCTAGGGCTATGGACAGCCTGCACCCCGTCCAGGGTCCACGTGGCCTGAGAGGGACAGTGAGGCTCTTCTGGAGGACAAGAGTTTGGCACTCTCCCTGGTCTCGTCTTCCTTTGCTGGAGACAATGGATCCCCCCAGCCCTGCCCGGGCCACCAAAAGTCCCCCGATACTAATGACGTCGAGCTGGCCATACCCACCCTGGCCATGTCCCATCCCTACCCCCCAAGGTCAAACACAACCCTGATGCAGCTCTCAATGAAATTGAGTTTGACACCCCTGTTCTATGGCTAGAGAAGATTATTTAGCAGAAAGCATAATCACTTTCCACCACAGCAACAGCATTTAATAATGGAAAGACTATCTAGATACTTTATGCAAATACAAAAGGTTGGAAATTACTGTAAAGATAAGATGTAAGAAGTAAATATTAACATATATCAAGATATAACTTTCTTGTTTTATAATTAATAAATGACATAATTAAATAAATAATTGCTTCCTCCTGGAAAAAAATCATGCAAAGATAAGACAGATGTTGAGGCACTTTTCTCTTTTATCAAGCTTATAGATTTTCTCCCTTAATCCAGTTTTTAGTTAATATTAGTACATTGGAGATTAGTTATACAAAACTAGTTTTACTACGTTTCTGAATGTTAGGATGCATTATTTCAGAAACAGTATGACATTTATAAAGATAGAACTGATATGGAATCACAGTCTTACCCTTTTTTTAAAGGTGGAATTTTAGCGTTGGTCATTTTGAACTACGTTATCTCCCGGAGACTGAAACAAGGGTAGGATTTCTTGAAGGGAATATGAAATCAAATATTAACAAAGAAGATTCTAAAATTATTTCGGAAGTAGAAGAACAGGAAGCTACAATGAAGGATACAGTGATAAAGGTTTCAGTAGCTGACTGGAAGGTTATGGCATTTAATAAGAAGGAAGGACATCTGGAATGGGAATATCAGGTACTAAAGATGGGAAATATGTTAATGCTGTTTAGAAATATCATAATGTTACCAAAACATTTTTCATTTTCTTTTAGTATTGTGGAATTTAAACTTTTAAAAACAATTATCTTATGTATAAAGTGTTCCTTGTATTTGTAAAAACCTATGCATTAAAAACTAATGAGTGTCACATTTATTGGATGTATTTTTTAAATAATGATTTATTTTATTTTCAGTTTTGCACTCCGGTTGCTTCTGCTTGGTTGGTGAAAGATGGCAAAGTAATTCCAATCAGTCTCTTTGATGACACAAGCTATACCTCTAATAATAATATCTTAGAGGATGAAGAAGATCTTGTGGAAGCTGCTCGAGGAGCTACTGAATCCAGTGTTTATTTAGGTATGTTGACCTACTTAAACATATGGCATCATTTTTTGTCCCAATCTCTACAGATAACTTCTATATTTTTTATATATTTGTATGTTGTTTCTTTGTTTATATCGATTATGATTTTTTTCAAGAGAAAAAAAGTAATTTGAATCTGAGTTATGCTCTTAATGTATTTTGCATTAGCAGTTACTGCTTCATATATACAATATGACTAGTACTTTGTGCATTGAGAGAAGATTGATTTTTTTAAAATATATTTTTTGCATATTTATCCAGACTGCAGTTTTTAAATTATAAATATAGATTGTAGTTGTTGGTCAAAGTATAATACATGTATTTTAACAGCCTTCATTTTATGGCCTAATCCTTAAACTTTTAAAGCAACCATGAATTCAGGCATTCTCTCTGAAATAATCTTATAAACCTTCCAAAAGAAACAATGTTTGAACTGTTTAAAATGAAAAAGTTAAAAGTTTAATGTTGTGTTAAATATTCTGATATATTTTCTAAAGCACTGTCCTATTAACTATGCGAGCTTTAATCATATAAAAACCGGGTATAGACACTAGGGATTGTTGATTGTAGATCCTTCATTCTCTAATCTGATTATGTTATCATTGCTTGGGTAAAATTAACTTTTTTTTCCTTAAGTGCATCATTTGACTACTTGGATGTGGAAAAACAGTTATTTCTATGTTAAAATTATTTTATGCTTTCTGCTGATCTGTATTTTCATAAATGTTTTACTATTGACTCTACAGTAAAAATGTATCTAGATTCAGATATCACATTAATTCATAATGTGATTTGTTTGGATTTGGTTTAGTTGCTTTATGGCTCGGTATATAGTGTGAAACCAGTCAGTTGTGATTTAGTCAACAAATTATGCTGTTTTTTTCTTTCTATTTTGATTTTATTCGAACATAGTTAAAATACAAAATTCCAAAAATTTAGGGGGAAAAAAAAGAAAAGAAAAAACAAAACATTGAAAAAAATGCATTCAAAAACTCTAATATCTAAACACATATTATCCCCCCTAGTTATATACTGATTAATACATTATTACAATATTTTCCACCCCCTGTTAAACAGGCCCCCAGTTTTTTTAAACTATTAAATTATTTGTAAGTTATTAACCTGTCATTTATATACTATATTAATGGCAAAATAGTTAACATAAAGAACAACAATAATTAAAAAAACGCAAGAAAGTTTTAAAACCTTGTGTTAACAAAATGTTATTGTAATCAATTCGTAGCAAATTTACCACAGCATCCTATCTATTCCAAATCATTCCGAGAGTTGACTTCTGATTAGGTGTGATAAATGCATTCCCCAAATCTCCTTAAATCTTCCTAAGGAAAATTAATTTATCACTTCTCCATTTAATCAGACTTCTGCTGTTGTAAAAGAATGCAGCCTTGAATTTAGAGAGGTGTACGCAATCAACTCAGTTACTTCTAGGTCTGCTAAATCCATTGTTCTTTCCAACAGATCTACAATTTCCAAATCACATTCCTTTTGTGAGTCTTAATTTATCCAGAGCTACATGCATCTGAATATTTTCCACAGCCATTATCATTTCATCAGACTTTTAAAAAAAGCTTTCAACTAAAAATTGCATGTAACCAATTGTTTTTTTTAAATATCAGCCCCCCCCTTACTTGTCCGTAATCTGATGCGTTGTTGATCTGTGTTTCTTAGCCAGAAAACAAAGAACAGTGAAGCAAAATAAAGAAATAAATAATAAAACAGAGTAGATATTTTCTGGATATTTTGATCCAAGATTAAAAGAAAAAAATTACAAATGTATAAAATGCAAAATTCTGTAGTGGTGAGTCCAACATTAATATAAACTAAATGAAATCACTTCCACCATCCAAAAACATGCTTTGTTGCCTTAGAGAGAACTGAAAGTTATTCAAAGGGTTGGGGGGGGTGGATAGCTAGAGTCCAGCAGGTGGTTAAAATAAATCTATATTCAACTGACCAGTCAGCCTTTAAAGATAAAAAGCAAAGTAAAACAGAAGATTCAAAAAGTGAAGTTAATACTCAGGTATGCTTAAGAAAACAAACTGCTGAGAAGATGAATTATCAGTGACTTTCCGACTGCTCCCACGGGGAACTGGAATGTTCAAGACTCCTCTTCCCACGTGGATCCATTGTGTACCGAAAGCCATCTTGGGTCATTCCTAAATGCTCCTGTTCAAATCCAGGGAGCAGCACTGTTAGAGAACCAGCTTTGGTAGCAAAATCAGCAGATCGTTGGCAAGGGGGAAAAAAACTTTACCATTTGGCAGCCATCTTGGGAAGAAATCCAACAAGCTGTGCTTGAGAAAATCATGGCTTGGTACAGCATTTATTTGTTAAATTCATTTGTCACCCAACTCGGTTGTAAACACAATCTAAGTTTAATCACCATGAAGCCACTCCTCAGAAGTTATTTCCTCAATCACTCAGAATTATGGATAACATCTATAATTGTGCAAATTTAGACTTGGCCATTTCATATTCCTTATTTCCAACAGGGTGGATTTGATTTAAATCAAACTGATTTAAATCACGATTTAAATCACTAGTCAGTAAGGCTTGATTTAAATCATAGTTTTCTACATAAAGACTAATTCTTGCTGGTATATCTTTAATATGCAAGTAGATGAAGATTTTTAGAATAACAACTTTTCATATTAGTTTTTTTATCCCCAGTTTAATAGGTTAATCATTCATATTTGGACAACTTTTCTGTTGTACTTAGGAAGGAGAAAAATAATCATTACCTTAATAATAACAATTTAAATAGATTTATTCAACTGAAACAATAACATTACAGCATATGTTATTTGCTTAAGCAAACATCCATGTTTGTTAACTAATTTGGCTAAACAAAATATATATATTTTAAGAAACTTAGACTGTCAGCCCATCCTACACATGAAAAACTTAAACACTGTCCTCTGTAGCTCACTTGTCATCTTCATCTTCTTCTTTGTTCATAATCTGGAAAAGAAAAACAAGCTTTCCTGCTTTATCGGGTCCCAAATGATTTCTCAATTTAGAATGAATGAGTCCAAAGGAAGAGAATATTCTTTCAACGCCTGCAGAAGAAGCTACTGCTGTTAAAAGTGAAATCATTACTTGAACGGTCTCTAAATCCAAGTGCTTAAGTGACTTCCACCAGTTCACTGATGTGACTTTCTTTAAAATATCTTCAGCAAACATATATTTCTTGAATGGTTCCCCCTTAGCTTTGAAGTTGGCATTACAGATGGTTGATTGCTGGATACCCATATCATAGCTAACTCCTCTTCCTCAGCACTTAAATTTTGACCCCTACTGGATATTGACAATATTTGTGAAAAAATGAGCTGGAGACAGTACTTGTCCCATTCATTTTTTTAATGCTTGTAATTTAATTCTGTCCATGTGTAGTTCTGTTTTTAAACGTTCACTCAGTTCCTTCCAAATTTCAACAGCATCAGCAATAAAACAGCTATTTTTCTGTATTTTGTTTAAAGCTTCAGAGATGGGTTTCAGGATGCTCAGCATATGTTCAACATTTCTCTTAAGCCCAATGTTGAGGATTTTGGCCATGACAGTGCCATCTATTTTATCTCGATTTTCTTCACAAACTCATCAGAATAGGCCAGTTCTTGATATACTGCTCAAAACAGTCCACCACAGAGTTCCATCTAACATCTTGTGGGAGCATTAGCTTGGTTCCACCCATCCTTTTCAGAGCTGCTGCAGCAAAATGATTGTTACAGAAGTATTTAGTTTAGTTAGTTTAGTTTAGTTTATTTGATTTGTATACCGCCCTACTCCCGAAGGACTCAGTAGTTGAAATTTAGCAATTTCAACAACATTAGTCTTTATTTCTGGAACACTTAAGTCTTTGGCTAAGAGGTGCAGCAAATGAGCACTGCAACCATATGTTATTAGCTTTGTATTCCCTTCCTGCTCTTTTAAATTTTTTCTCATCTTGGGTACATTTGCAGCATTGTCTGTGACCAAACTGTGTACTAGACATTTGAATTTTTGTTCACATGTTATAGCTTTTACTGCCACTTTTTGTAAGTATTCTATGTGTGCATTTCCTGACGTATCAATGGTTTGTGCAAGGAAGACTTTCCCTTCTTCTGTTGTTATACAAGCACATACAATAGGATCATTGTGGACATTACTCCACCCATCAATACTTAGGTTAACAATTCTACCCTCTAGAGCTGTTGCACATTGCTCCATTTCCCTGTCATACATTTTATCCAGCAGTTTCCCTGCAACATCTGCTCTGCTGGGTGGACTGTATCCTGGTCTCAGTGACTGAACCATATTAATGAAATGTGGGTTCTCAGTCAGACGGAAAGAAGACTTTGTTGCATAAACAAACTGGGCAATTTTTTCATCAATTAACTCTTTTTCTAAACTGCTAGTTTTTATCACAAATTTATCTATGGTGGTTCCAGGAGGGAAGGGTTTTTTCTTTCTTTTAGGTAATAGTGATATGTGGCTGTGGGTGTCTGATGATGATGATGATGCTAATGAAGCACTATCCTGGATGGATAACTCTGAAACTGTAGAACAGGAGGATGGTGATCTTGAAGGTGGATAGTTTCCAGAATCCATGAATTCCCCTAAACAAAAAAGTCAATGCTGTTATTTTATTGTTTATACAATTTCTGCTTATTAGACACAGCACTGCCCCAAAAGGAATATTTGCTTTTCTTCATAACTGTACCAAATGACAGTAACATGCAGTAATAATAAGAAATATAATTTTGCTCAAACTTGACAGTTCAAGGCAGTCTTTAGAAATATGATTCAATAAAAATGTTTACCAACCTGAAGATCCTGCCTGTTCAAATGTGTTTCTTTGGTCATCTTCATCACAGCACTTCTCATGATGTTGCCTCATTCGGGCCACCAGGCCTTGTGTTTCTTTGTTGCAGTGTTTGCAGTTTGCACGCATGCCTGCCTTACCGATAGGTAAAGGAACTTCATTAAAATATTGCCAAACTGGGTCTCTTTTACGGCCTGCTGCCATTATAGGTTTTTTCCTCCAAGGAAAGAATGTGATAAACCTCAGGTCATACACACAAAAAGATCCAAAGACTTGTCTGTCTGTGGCTGTGCAGTATTGTGCTCAGAAAGTTTCACTTTCATTTTGTACTGCTTGTCTGCTTGCCCCTTCCTTCTCACACTTAGTTTCACTTTCTTCTTGTGCAGATCTATTCCACTCCAAACAATCAGAAAAATATTGTTTCTATTCTATTCACTGAACTTCTTGAAACTTAGCACTGAAGGGGTTGATTCTGTATTCATAGGTTTGTAGAATAATAGGATTAAGGTCTCTTTCTCAACTCTGTTCATGTTATAACATTTTTGCTGTGAAGAAGAGGCATGTGATCTCTGCTGAGTCAAATTCAGTTTTGAGAACTGCAAAAGTAAACCAAGCATCTGTGATAATATCTTGTAGGCAGAGAAATTGCCCAATAATCTTACAAAAACCTCTGGAAGAGCATGACATTGTGAATGGATTAATGGAATTTATTTACCAAAAAAATTAAACATATACAGCCTTATTCTACATAATTAAAAAACTAATCTTTATTTCATGATGGAATAACCTTTGGATGGTAATATATTTTCCTCAAAAAGCATTTTATTTAAAAAAATCCGATTTAAATTAAAAAAAATCCGATTTAAATAAAAAAAAATCTGATTTTTTTGATTTTTTTAAAAAAATCATTGATTTTTATCCACCTTGTTTCCAAATAATTTGCCTGGTATATGACATGCTAGTCATTCAAATTTTAGTCCTAAAATATGTAATGTCTAAAGCTAAAGACATCTATAGTTATATAGTCTGTGAAGCTTCTCTTAACTATATAAATTTTCTGAACCTTCTACATGCAAGTTCCTGGATAGCAGATTGAATTGGATTTATTGTTGCTAATGTGAAATGGGATGATATGATCTGTATGCTATTATGGTAAATATACTTATTTGCATAATTAAATGCTGAATAGAGATTATCTTCTTGTAGGAAGCTTAAATGGAAGATCTTAATTTATTTGCAGGTGGAATTTTATATTGTACATTTTTAGAATTTTCTATATAGACAGATCTTAAGATAGATGTGGTCAAAAGTATTGGTGTCCTGCCATGTATTTCCCAATTTTTCATTAAGTACTATAGGTTGAAACTGACATAAGTAAATGATATCTACCATGCTTTAGATTCCATAATGCATAGTATAGGCACTTTGCTTTTGATGTATGACTTAAAATATTTTTATAACTAATAAAACAAATGAAAATGGCATAAATATAATTATTTAAATTAAAAGACATTGGATTTTAGTGATCTCAAGCAGATTAATTAATAGTACAGGTGTTATAATCAGTCATTTATCCTATTTGAAGAAAAATACTCAAGCATTTTTATACAGTACAGTAAATATGGACAAGAAAAAGTAATGCAAATGAGTTTTCTCTGCGGAAGAAACAAAGAAGGTAATAGCTAAGCATGGTAATGGTTAAACAAAAATCTTTATAAAGAACTTCATGTTTCTGTTACCACCATTGCTAATGTTTTCAAGAAATTTAAGATTAACAATGGGTCTAGCACCAACCTCCCTGAACATAGTTGCAAGAAGAATATTGCTCCCAGATTTCACAGAAGAATAATTTGAATGGTGGAGAAAGAACCATGGAAAATTTCAAAACAGATCCTGGCTGATCTCCAAGATCAAGGTACAACAATATCATTGCACCGTGTATTGTTGCCTGACTGAAAGCTGCCTCCATGATAGAAGACACAGGGAGACCACACTCCTTCAGATAATCACAAAAGAAGCCACAATAGAATTGGCTAAAATGCATGTTGACAAGTCACAATATAACTGGGAAAATACCCTTTGGACAAATGAAACAAAATCAGAGTTTTTGGGTAAGTCACAGCAGTTCTACGTTCACACACAAAAAAGTGATGCTTTTAAAGTAAAGAATGCATCTATTGAGAAAACTAGAGGAGGCGTCATAATGTTATGGGGTTGCTTAAATGCCTTTGGCACTGGGTATCTTAAATCTGTGCAGGACCCAAGAAAATCGGAGATAATGAACACCTCCTGGAATGAAATATAATGGTCAAAGTTAGAAAACTATCTCAGTCTCAAGTCATGGATAATCATCTAAAACATACAGTATATCTAAGAGTACCCAAGAATGATTGAAAAGCAAACTTTGGACTGTTTTGACTCAACCTTCTAAGAGTCCAGATCTGAATCAAATAGAACATGGAAAAACCTGAAGCTTTCAGTTAGAAAAAGGAACTCATGAAATGTAAGAGAAGTGGAACAGTTTGCTCAAGAAGAGCTTTGCCTATAGAGAAGTATAGACTGCTTATTCATAACTACAGAAAGTGCCTGATTGCAATTATTGCCTGAAAAGGATGGGCAATGAAGTACTAGATTAGAAATACCAATAATTATGTCCATTTTCATTTTATATTAAGTCATACATTGAAAGTAAAATGTCTGCTGCATGGCCTATGGAATTAGTCATGATGAATATGATATATCAATTTTACAACAAATTGGGATTCTTTGGGAAAAACTGCATCTATGTACATTTGGTAGCATCTGTACTTATATTAATTTTTAATGAGGTGGTCTCAGCTATTGAGAATATACAATTACCAGTGTTTCCCCAAAAATAAAACCCTGCCTTATATTTTTTTTAACCCTGAAATAAGCGCTTGGCCTTATTGCCACGCGCTCAAAAGCCCGATTGGACTTATTATCAGGGGATGCGTTATTTTAGGGGAAACAGGGTATTAGTTCACTACTGATTCATATTTTTTTAAAAATTCTGTCTGCGGAATATCCAAAATCTGTTTTGAAATTTAAAGAATGAAGTTTACCAGTCCTGTAACACTATTACTGCTGATTTTATATGCAGGAATGTATAGAGGTCAGCTATATCTTCAGTCATCCGTTAGAATTTCTGAAAAATTCCCTACTAACCCTAAAGCTTTGGAATCCAGAAATGATAATGCCGTTATGCATTTGCCTACGATCAAGTGGAAGCCTTTGATTCGTAAGTAACTTATAAGATTTATTACTTTTTCAAAAATGAAGGATGGGGTATAATTTTTGATAAAAAATTATGAATTACTTTTAGCTATTGGAAACTTTTCTGTATGTTTTCTAAGATATCATATTATATACTGAAACATTTATGTATTTCATAGTTTACTAACTTTATAAAAATAACATTTGGACATCCCTGTCCTATTATGTATGATAGTATTATCAGGGGGAAAAGCAATGCTGTTTTCTGTTGATAAAAACTATAATAAGGAATTTTTATATTCTTTCAGTAATAAGAATAAGTATATGATTCAATTTTTTTTCTGAACATATTGCACTGATAAATGTATTGGAATTTGCATTTGGAAGCCTATACATGAGATATTGCCATCAAAAATAAAAGAATTCCATATCACAATCCATTAATAATCCAATAATTCATTTAATATTATTAATATTAACATAGAATTATGGGTTTTATAACACATTAAAAACAGATACTGTGGCATAGCTGTGTACATTCTCAATATTTTTGGATAATTAAAATATTAACTGAAGTTGTGTGGTTTCCTTTTACCAACTCTTTGTGGTCCTTTATAACAGACAAAAATGTTTTCTAAAAGATAACTTCCATTCTTATAATGCTCTTGAAAAGGGCAAAAAAGCTAAGAACATAAAAAATTAGGTAATTTTAATGTTGATTATTATTGAATTAATATTGATAAAATTTAAAAATGTGCTAAAAGTAGTTATAAAAAGTGTGCTTTCTTTTTAGATTCTCCATCAAGAACACCTGTGCTGGTAGGATCTGATGAATTTGATAAATGTCTCAGCAATGACAAGTTTTCTCATGAAGAATATAGTAATGGTGCTCTCTCAGTTCTGCAATATCCATATGGTGTGTGAATTGTGTTTTATTTTCAACTTTTGCTTCAAAAGATTATTGCATTTACATTAGGACCTATGGGTTTCACTAATTTAAAAAAAATCACAATACTGATACGTTGGCCTTTTTGGTAAATTATGTTACTAGATTAATTAATGATAATGTTTTATATTCTCTAAATAACTTAGAATAGGGAGACTTGTTCCAAAAGGACCCTGGCTTTCCAAAAGAAAGACAACATGATTTTAGCAAAGAAAAAAAAAAGGAAGAGTAGACCAAAACAAAATACAATGAAAAATATTTTATAATGTAGGGCTTTCCTATCTTGTCTACATAAAATTGCCAAAACTAGTTGAAACCATTCCTAGAGATTTCTTGGAACCTGCCCAATTTCCTACCTGAGTGTCCACATGATTAAAATCAATTCCTGTCCATATATACAATATATATATGCTTGGTTATACATGCTTCTCAAATTTACACTAAAAAAAGGTAAAGCAAAAAAAGCTTTATCAACCAAATTAATTATATAAAATAAGACACCCCATTTACAGAATTAATTTATTTCTCCATATATATCAGTCATTTCTCTCACATACAAATCATAATTATACAGAAGTGGGCAGGTATATAAATGTAAATTCATACATGCTTCCCAGCTATATTCCAATAGAAATAGTAAAAAGTGATGGAGAAAGAGAAATTGATAGTTTTACTGAGAAATAAAGAGAAAAGAATTTTAAAAACCTAGATGGATGTGAAGCAAGAGGAAGAAATCATTGGGTGCAGAAAAAAATAGTTAAGATTTTTTTTAAAAAAGTTTAATTCTCCAAGAAACAACCCTTTCTGAGGTAATGTTCAAAAGATCCAGATTTGTAGCAATGATATTTACTTCATTTGCACCTTCTACTCATTGTTTATAACAGCAATTTTTTATCAAAGAGAACCCCTCTGAGGGCCACACAACATGGATTTTGTAGTATTATACTTGATAAATAGTGTGGATTCAGATTTGGCTATCACCTTCCCAGCTGGGTTCTCAAACTCTGTTTTTTACATGACATACAGATAAGTAAAATAAGTAGTCTTAAAACCTTACACAGTATTCCTAAAGCAGAGTAATTTTGAAGAAACTAGTTTATTTTTTAATAAGATTTGCGAATGTAAGAAAAGTATCTTGAAGTACGATCAAATATTAGCAGTACAATTTAAACCCACTAAAACCAAATAGTTAAATGAAAAGGAGAGAGAAAAGGTTGTCAGGTTATATTTCATGTAAAATATTGTCTCATTTTAACTGCCACAAAAGTATTTCGATGTAGTCCATGCAAAGCTGAGGAAAAAATCCATTGTTCCAGGTGGATTATGTTATCCTTTCAAAGATCCTTATAAAAGTTGCCAATAGAGAAGACAAGATACAAATATGCTGAAATAGAGGAATGTTAGTGTGGATGGGAGGAGGATATGCTTGGACTTGAAAAGTCCTTTCTTCAATTTAGAGAAAATGAGGGTGTACAGATAGATGTTTTGCAGTTTCTCTTGAACTTATTTCTAGCATACTTCTAGAGGTCTGGGAGAATGAACTGACTTGATGCTAATATTTGATACCACTACTACTACATTGGTGTCAGAAGCACCCAACAAAGCACCTGAGTTGAAAGGGTTAGCCAGTGACATTACTGTTGCCTATAGGATGCCCGGGGGGGGGGGGGGGGTTCATATCCCCAGTATTTTCCCACCGAAGTAGTATCTGTTTTATCTACTTGCATTTGTAGAATGCATTAGAACTTGGACAAATTTACAGGCGCTCATTCCATCATGAAGCTTGTAGTCTCAGATTTAGAACTGCCAACTGTTGTCATTCTCATGTGGTTAGTAGGAGACTGAGTCAGAAGCCACCACCCCCCTTGCCCTTATAGTTGATGTTGTTTCGTCTTTGTAGCACCAGTTTTTCAGCGTGGATATATTCCATAGTTAAAAAGGAATTGACTGGCATCCCAAATGTTCTTAATTTCTGCTCAACCATTCTGTTCATAATGGATGGTAACTGTCATTATGCAGGACTAGCTGTAGCAACCCTGGAGGAAAAAATATCTCAACTTTCCTATATCTTCAATAATGTCTATGCACTGTGTTCAGTTTTGGACATCCCACATTCAAGCCTGAGTACTATGTTGGGGTATCCCAGAGTGTGACAAATAAAGAACATGATTTAAGTAGGTTTTAGAAAATATTTAATAATATTCACTATTTTAATTATAGATAATGGCTATTTTTTACCATACTACACACGAGAGAGGAATAGACGAAGCACACAGATAACTGTAAGATTTTCTGATAATATGAATTCAAAGATCATCCGAAAAAAAGATCCAGTTCTACTTCTGCACTGGTGGAAAGAAATTGCTAGTACCATCTTACTCTGTATTATAGCCACAACTTTCATTGTGCGCAGGCTTTTCCATCCTGATGCTCATAACCGGGTAAGTATAGGATTCTAGAAGTGAAAGTACACATATTTCCTTTATGGAGAACTTTGCATCTAATCATCAGTATTAAAATAATTAAAAGGTATTTCAAATCAGCTGTGATTGTCATCTTTTAGTGCAATAAAAGTAACATTTAGAATTCTAAACCAAGATTTCTAAATTATTAATATCTTTAAATCATGTTCTATATCTTTATATCATGTTTTCACACAATCACACCATATGACCAAAATGTGATACCACTGCATATCCAATGCCAGACATTGAAAAAATTATCTTAAATAGTTCTGCAACTGTCACTTTTTAAATTCATGTCAAAGTAGCTGAGAATATTTATTTGTGAAATGTATAAATTGTTCAGGTTTGAAGGACTCTAATAAATATACAAGAATAACAAAGTCAATGCAAATACTTAAAATATATACAAAACACTAATAATACCTGAAAACATAGATTATAATAACATTTATTCCTTTGGTACTGGAAACTCCCTGCCAACCAATTCCAAAATACTTTTTACATTCTACAGAAATATATCGTGACAATTTTTCTAATAAAGGGAACTGTAACAGAAAATTTCCATTTTGAGACTCCTCCTTTCTTTGGGAGGAAATCTTCAGCAGCCATTCTCTCTACTCAGATTGAGTGGGTGGTAGAATCTGTGATTTTTTTGTGTGTGTGTGATTCCTTATTTACCTGCATCCTTTAGAAATCCAGAATACACATCTGAAATTAGATAATTTTTCCAATTAACATTTTGGTTTCATTGACTTTTATTTGTTTTGTTTATCAGCAGCGGAAGGAATCTGAAACACAGTGTCAGACAGATAATAAAAATGAACAAACCAAAGACAACAGCAGAGATGACCTTAAGAATTCTGGATATGTGTCAAGGTAAAAGTAGCCATTATTCTTTGACAAAATGCATTCATTGCAGTAGCCTTTGAAAAATAAACATTGATAGTTAATTTGCTTTAGTTGGTGTTAAAAGGAGTGGGTATATTTTATGTTGGAGGAGTATTGTACTAGCATTATTTCCAAATTCATTTTTCTTGAATGTATAGTGTCTTTACCTCCCTTCAATAAGTTGTCTCTTATTGCTGCATTTTAAGAAGAGTAATAAGAGAAGCTGTTGTTGCAAGGAGAAGAAGTGAAAAGTTTGGGTATGCTTGTTAATGTCAGATAAATTGCTGGGTGTGGGATTATAAAACCTTTAGAAGCAACTGCTATTTGAATAATGTATTATTAATATGGTTATTGTATGGTTTTCTGTGATGCATTTTCTTACCCTTCAAAAATAACTTTAAATGGAAGAAAGTATTAAGATAATATTGGAAATATTATATTTCAGGATTTTACATGCAAATGATTAATATTATGTTTCCTTACATTTATTAATGAAATTTCAAATAAAATATGAAACAGTTTTAAAAATACTCATAAAGATTGCTAAGAAATAACAATAAAAAACCCATTAGCAGCTTTATAAAAGGCTTGTGCTTTCATGCTTATTGTTTCTGGTAACCAGAGCTTCTATACTGACTCATCTGTCAATCCACAATACAAACTTCATGTCCAGCATACATTAAGAGATCACTGGTCTCTAAGTAGTCCAGTTTAAGAATATATTCTGTTGAACTGGAAGTGTAAGAAACAATACAATTCAGGCTTCTTTAACCTGCCATGTTGATCAAGGAGTGGCTTTCTTTCTTCAGTAGCAAATGTAGAAGTCAAACAGTTCCCTAATTACTGGCAGGTCATTATGCTGAATGTCTGTTCACATACTGACCAGACAACTAACAACTCAAATATGTGAATCATCAAATAAAAGCCTATGTTAAAATAGTAGTGTGCAAGTACAGGAAAAATCAATTTACTTCTGTGTTTTCTTCCAGGTATCTGACAGATTTTGAACCAGTTCAGTGTCTCGGTCGTGGAGGTTTTGGAGTAGTATTTGAAGCCAGAAACAAAGTTGATGATTGTAACTATGCTATTAAAAGAATTCGTCTGCCAAATAGGTAATTACATACCTTTCTGGTTGCCTTTCAGTTCTACTCTAGATGGCACCAAGGTTCACGTATAGTTGGCATTGTTTTAGAACCATTTTGTTCAATGGCTGGGGAGGTTTTCAAAATTTAAAAAGTAACTAGATATTATAAGAAATCAGTGTTATTAGTTTTAGTAATAATTATAGTATAAATAATTTGAGTAAATTTCTGAACATTTTCTTGGAGCCTTCTATAAATATGAGTTCCTAAACTATATTTTTAAAAAAAAAATACAAAAGTGGACTATAGTCAAGAATATTTTTGTTGTGGTTTGAAACATTTTATATTGGAGTAATTGCATTATTTCTAAGTCCATCTAACGTGAGAACTATTGGAAAAAGAAGCTTAAGTTCTCCAACTTTTCACTCAGGAGGGTTCAACCCTGAAATTATAATCATATGCATAAAAGGAGTTATTCTAATAAAATGTTGGATTGAATAAGAAAATAGACTATTTCAATTAATTACTGAGTAGTACGTATAATTTACATGCAAGGAAATTAAAGATCTATTTTGTCACCTGAAAAGACTATGGAAAGTAATATTTGACCAATTTATCCTGCATAAATCTTTTGCCTTTGTTGTTGTTGTGTTACCTCAAATTTTAGGGAGCTGGCACGTGAAAAGGTTATGCGTGAAGTTAAAGCATTAGCAAAACTTGAACACTCCTCTATTGTTCGATATTTCAATGCTTGGTTAGAAACACCACCTGAGAGCTGGCAAGAAAGAATGGATGAGTTGTGGTTGAAAGATGAGAGGTATTTACTTTAGTTTTTAGAAAATGTATAAATTCATTAAAGGTCTCTGGAAATCCTATTAAATCAAAATTTTGCAGAATAGTATCTGTAGAGGAATCAAGACAGAATGATAGTCAGAAGAATATAATGTAGCCAGTTCAATAAAACTGAGAAATGTGGCTCTGGTGTAATGCCTGGATTGGAGATTAGATGGAACTCACTTTATTATTCCATTATTGCTTCAAGAATTCAGTAAGGAATAAAAGTCAGGATTTACATGTACCGAATAACTCAGAAACTAAAAAAAGAGACTGTAAATTCCTCGATAGTTGTTGTGCTGTATAACATGATTCCTACAGAACTGCATTATAGATAACATTGCTATGAGTGTGGGTCTTAGATTATTAATCTGTTTTTATTTCTTAGTCTGGTGCTTCCAGTAGCTACTTTATAATCTCTTGATCAACTGAGATTGTGTGTTAAAAATTGGGTTTCTGATCAATGTCACTTTGTCACAATATATTAGTGAACTCAGATAGTTTGTCTATTTGTGCCTTTATAGGTCTAATATAGTTTGGCAGTTGAGATTGAATATACAAACATCTCACTCATTTTTGCTTATTCTTTCTATGTTTTCAAAAGCGTTAAAAATTTACATGCATTTTCAGAAATGCTTTTTCCATAAAATTTCTGGCACAGGTTTTAGAGCAACAAACTACCCCAAAATTCATAGAATGCAGATTTTGTCAGGAATGTGCCTTTTGTTCAAAGATGCAAGCATGGTAAATTTATATTTATTTATTTATTTATTTGATTTGATTTCTATACCGCCCTACTCCCGAAGGACTCAGGGCGGTGCACAGCCAAACAATAAAACACATACAAACAAAATTTAAAAGTAGAATTAAAATCAAATTAAATAGTTTTGGCCCAGACAAATTAAAACCCCAAACTATTTAAAACCAATTTTAAAATTTGAATATATAAAATACTAAAAGATATTAAAAAATTAAAAATCTTTTATAAAAGAGGGAGAAAATTAGGCCAGGCCCGCCTGGTGAAATAATAAGGTCTTTAGAGCGCAGCGGAAGGTGCGCAGATCCGGGATCCTCCGTATCTCCGGGGGGAGCTCGTTCCAGATAGTAGGTGCCCCCACAGAGAAGGCTCTCCCCCTGGGAGCCGCCAGTCAGCATTGTTTGGCCGACGGCACCCGGAGGAACCCCTCTTAATGGGAGCGTACCGGCCGGTGGGAGGCTATTGGTGGTAGTAGGCGGTCCCGCAAGTACCCAGGTCCTGAGCCATGTTAAGTTCATTATATGAACTTAAATGGGACAAATTTCTCATTTTTTCATCAATTTCATCTTCTCATCAATTCCTCATCATTAAGCATTACTTTTCTCTTTAATGCTATTTTTTCAATGTAGTTCAAATCAGGGTTTGCTACTTGACTTAACAACAGTTCGTTCAGCGACTGTTCAAAATTATGATGGTGCTGAAGGAACAACCAGTGCTTATACTGCCTCCACAGTCACATGATTGTAAACTGGGCTCTTGCCAACCGTTCATATATATACAACAGGTGGCTAATCCCTTCGCGATCATGTGATCATGATTTGCAGTCTACTCTCCCGGCTTCCTCAGGTCAGCAGAAAAGGTGGCAAGCCATTTTTTTAAAAATTTGATTTATATGCCGCCCTTCTCCGGAGACTCAGGGCGGCTTACAGTGCGTTAAGCAATAGCCTTCATACTTTTGTATATTTATACAAAGTCAGCTTATTGCCCCCACAAACTGGGTCCTCAATTTACCTACCTTAGAAAGGATGGAAGGCTGAGTCAACCTTGAGCCTGGTGAGATTTGAACTTACAGTAATTGCAGACAGCTGGTGTTAATCACAATGCTATCAGTCTGCTGAGCCACCAGGCCCTTTCTCCAACATAGCACACAGTCACCCAAACCTCCTGATGTGGAGGGGAACTGGCCCACTGCTAGAGAAAGGAAACTCAGATTATCAGAATCCAAGCTTTCTTTCTTTGGCCCAGCACACCAGTTCTGCACACAGAGGGAAGCTGTCCACCCTCTTTCATCAGGGAGCTTTTTCACTCTGTTCATTTAGCGACCCATGCAGTCACTTAGCAATCAGGAAGCTGAGATGGTGATTGAGCATGGCAGCCTGTCAGCACCTCACAGGCAAGCTCCATTATGGTCATAAGTTGAGGGCTACCTGTATTGCATATTTTAAAAATGATTCAAAGTAAATAAGACTGTATTTATACATAACGATATAGAAAACTGTGACAAAAAAACCTCTAGTAGTTCATCAAGTCTGTCCTATGAGGAGTTGTTTGTTTGTTTGTTTTTTCTCTTGTTTTATTTACTATTATTGTTATTTTTTTATTTTTTTAATCAGATGATAGGCATGTGTTTATCCCAAACATGTTTAAACTCAGTTACTGATGACTGACCCACTACCTCTGCTGAACGTTGATTCCAAGCTTCTCCTATCTTTTTGTGAAGTAACACTTTTACTTTTGAAGTTCTCTCCTGTCAGTATGAGGTTATTCTTCTTGATTTTTGCTTAATAATATTGCTTAAGCATGTGATTTCTAGGCCTTTCTAGGGTCATATGGGGTCTGTTGGATGTCTCTCTCCAAAGGTGAGAGAAATGGAAAGAAATAACTACAGTTGTACAAATTTATTGAAACTAAAAAACCTCCAACGCTTGCATTATCAACCCTTTACACTTTCATATTGGTAAAGGCTGAAAGAGTATTGCTTGGAAGCATCTGGAAGTGGATTGATCCATACGATATTTCTTTCTTTCATTTAGCAGTTACGAGATGACAAATTAGTTTGAGAAATGATAAGTTAAATAATTTAAGAGGTTGTTAAGAGTTTTAAATAGCATTTCCTACTGTAATTAATAAATTCCCATTAATAAAAAAGATGCTAGAAGGAGAAAGGAGTCCACATCATCTGCTCTCTTCTGCTCAGGTAAGTAGGACTGCAGGAAGATTTGTAAATAAATTACTATCTTAGAAAAAAATCTTGAAATGTTCCTGTTAAAAAGTTCAGAACATTCTTTTGTCAGGTTCTTTATATGCTGAATGTTGTAAAAAGGAACTTGATGATGAATCTAATTATTTTAATTTAAACTATTTAGTAGGGTATGCCCAATTTAAAAATAATTTGGAAAAAAATTACCAAACGTTATGCAAACACAACTCATCCTGTACTGCTAATTAAATAACCATACTCTTGTTTAGACTTCTGTATCAGCCTAAAAAGATCCTGGTATTTTATGGAGTTATCTTGTTAAACAATTTTTAAAGCATTAGCATCTTTTTTCGAGTTGTAAAGGAAGGATGCAAAATGTCACGACTGCTTGAATGAATAGCAGAGAGGTTCTGGGCTCATAGCAAGGTCCAAAGCATTCCAAATCATTTTTGAAGCATGCATACCCTAATTCATAGACATGGAAAAAGCTTGTATTTTTGCTCTGTGGGCAACATATGGTAAGATTAATTTAAGTTTCTAATGTTTATCTTTTGCTTTTTTAAATATATTTAAAGTATTGATTGGCCACTCAGTTCTCCCAGTCCAATGGAGGTGCCATCGTTTAAAATCAAAACAGAGCCATTTTCTACTGAGGAAAACATTGAAGTCATTGCTACATCTGTAGAAAAGAAGACTCTGATTTCTGTAGGAATATCTTATGACCAGTCAGATTCATCAGACAATAAGTTTTCTCCTTTGGAGTTTTCTGGCATCGAGAACAGAGATTTGATTCAATTGGCACGTGCAGAAAATAATTTCACTCATAGCTATGATATGGAAGGCAGTCCTGTTGATGATAATGATCCTGTACATTCCTTTGAAGTTTATCTTCCTGCTAAATCAGTAGTAAGGTTGAGGGAACGAACATCTTCTTCTATTGTCTTTGAAGACTCTGATTGTGACAATTCTCCCAATAAAACGGGTAATGTTACCAGTTTGCTTCATGATAGCCATTTTGAAGATAAAGTGACAAGCACAAGAGAGTCCAATAATAGAAACTCATCTTCAACAAGCTCTTCATCTGTTTCTCCACCAAGACCAACAACTTTAAGTTTGGACTGCTCTAACAACTCTGTTCAAAAACTTTTACCTACCACTCCAAAAGTGTATCTTTATATCCAGATGCAACTTTGTAAGAAAGAAAACCTTAAAGATTGGATGAACCGAAGATGTACAATAGAGGAGAGAGAAAGGACTGAGTGCCTTGTGATATTCCTGCAAATAGCTGAAGCTGTCCAGTTCCTGCACAGTAAAGGATTAATGCATCGGGATCTCAAGGTTCGTACTGAGAACACAATATAATTATTTATCTCCCTAGAGCAAGTTATTTAATTATATGTATGTATTTGAAAAGCATTTTCATATTCCACAGAATTATTTCTTCATTGTTATATGTTAAGAAGGATGTCAGGGAAAATCTATACAATTTATTATTATACAATTTATTATTTATTAGTAATCTTTGTCAGTTGCAGTGTGAACATAAACTAAATTATATAATAATAATTTATTAAGTATGTATCATGCCCAACTCTCAATGACTGGGTGATCCATCAAAGCAATTTTAATAGAAGATTAAAAATAAAGAAAAACTATATGCAGTATAAAAATGTACTGTGGAAAAATTACTTAAGAGTAAATACTGTCACAAAATATAAATAGCAATTATTCAGATGAAATATAATCCCCCAATAAATAAGTTTAGTATTGCAGCCATAGGTTGTAACATATAATGTGCCATAAAATAGAATAAAATAACACTGAAGTAGAAAAACTTTAAAATAAGTAAAATAAAGTAATGAAAAGAGTACAGGTAGCCCTCATCATAACAACCATTCATTTAGTGACCATTCACAGTTATAGCGGCACTGAAAAACATGTCTTATAACTAGTCCCACGCTTATAACTGACAACAATATTCCCACAGTCATGTGATCAAAATGTGATTGGTTGTCGGCAGCATATACAGATAGTCCTTGAGTTACGACCACAATTAAGCCCAAAATTTATGTTGCTAAATGAAACATTTGTTAAGTGAGTTTGCTCCATTTTATGACCTTTCTTGCCACAGTTGCTAAGTGAATCAGTGTATTTATTAAATTAATAATATGGTTGTTAAGTGAATTTGGATTCCCCATTGACTTTGCTTGTCAGAAGGTCACAAAAGCCGATCACATGACTCCAGGACACTGCAACATCACAAAAGTGAGTCAGTTGCCAAGCATCAAAATTTTGATCATGTGAACATGGGGATGCAGTGGTCGTAAGTGTGAAAAATGGTCATAAGTCACTTTTTTCAGTGCTGTTGTAACTGAACAGTCACTAAATGAACTGTTGTAAGTCGAGGACTACCTATATTTACAGTGGTTGCAGCATCCTGGAATCATGTCATCATGATTTATGATCTTTCCTAGACAAGTTCTAACAAGCAAAGTCAGTAGAGAAAACCAGATTTTCAGAAAAAACATGAGGCATGACTCATTTAACTGCAGTGATTGTAATCACACAAAAAGATCATAAAAATTGATGTGACTCATTTAACAAGGGAAATTCTGGTCTCAGTTGTGATTGTAAGCCAAGGACTACCTGTATTAGATACATACATACATACATACATACATACATACATACATACATACACTTACAGCAAAATAAAGCCCAACCTACAGCTAACAACTTAAGGTACGGTATTCCCTTCTAAGTTTAAATGACAGCAGAGAAAATATAATAATTGTCACTGACAATTGAAAATATATTTGCAAGAAGATAGATCAGTTTTTCAAGATTGGAGCCCTTGAGTTAGCACACCATTAGTAATTTGGCCCTAATCTCATTGAACAAGAGGCAGCAGAGGACGTAATGGATAATGTCCTTTGCTTGACCAACACCACAAGGACAGAGATGTTGTTTGACAGAGTTTACAAAAAGAAATATTTCCCTTTGAAATTTTTGAAAGTGGTTTGCAGGTAAAGATACATTAAAGCACTGGTTATGTTAACTAGGTTCCTGTAGAAGTTTCTATGTTTTTATAATGAAGATACCAAGATGAACATTGGTTATAGTACTTCCCAAGGTAAATGGGAATATATTTGTTTGCAGAATGGGTGATAGACATTTGGTCCATTGGATCCCAACTGTATAACAGAGAAAACAGAGTTTGGCAAGATGAGATTCTTGAAGCTTTTTAGTTTCTAGCCCTAACAATGCAAGATGTATTCTAATGGTGATGGAAGGTAGCCTATCTCCATCCTAAAATAGGTAGTGAGGGTGCCCTGAATGTGGGGCCCATGATCTTCCTAATGATGTTGTTTTGGACTACCTATAATTGGGCAATAACCTTCTCATCTCTCCCCCAAATCTCAGCCCCATACAACTAATGGGCAATCATCTTTCCTTAAAATACTTTAACTTCAGGGGCTACCATAACATGCACAAAGAGTACACAATACATTTAATAATATCAGTAGTGAATTGTGATTTTAGTTACATTAAACAATGCTATTTGAGATTTTGCTGAAGTTAAGAATTGAGGTCACTGAGGACATATTTAAAAGAAGTTTAGTTTATTTAGTGTCAAGTTTCCTTTAGTGTTTTGAAGCTATTTTTCATCTTCTTCGTCCTAGATTCTAGTATTTTGTCAGTTAAGATGACAAAACTTTTCCAGAGGATGATATTTCAGGCAGTTTCAAAGCAACCAGGAGTGACTTGCATTCCTGGGAATTAGGTCACAGATTTTCTCTTTTCCTTATTGTCCCATTTGTAATAGCAGGTTCTCATCACTAAGAACTGCCTTGGAAATCCAGATTGGAAGGTGGACACATTTTTCAAAATGTGGAAATAGACTAAAAGGCCTGATTCTGCTTTCATGAGCTTCAGAACAGATATGATTTAGCTGATGAATCTAGGGAAAAGGACAAAAATTAAACTTTAATATTGGGCTTTTATTTTAACCCCTAAAATTTTGGTGAATTTGAACTTTTCTCAATATTGCCCTTATTGCCCTCTTTGGGCCCATTTAGAGAGAAATAAATCTTAGAATCTAAGGGATCCTTGTTTCTAGTTTTGAAACCTGGTCACAAACTGAACGCTGCTACACATATCTGGTTGTTAATAATAGGTACGTGATTTATTTTGATCCAGAATCACATGAGAAATTTACATTGTGGAATAACCCAAATTTGTAGATAATAGGGTGCATGTTCTATGGGAATATGTGGACCAAAGAAGAATATTCAGTTGATTTTTAAAGGAAGCTTTAAAGACTTTGTATTTCAAGTATGATTCTACTTCATAAAATATACAATTGAAACCTGTGCCACAAAAGATTATGGTCCAGAAGCCTTTGCAGCTTCTCAGGAATGTTAGAATCTTTAAAAGATACAAGTGAAACCAACAATTCAGTTTTATATAAAATTCAAAACTGAAGATTAACATTATTTTCATGCCTGAACTGTGGAACAAAAGAATTGTAATATCCATTCCTAAAAATCTGGTGATCCAGATTTTATGTAATAGGAAAAAATATTTCCTGTAATACAAGAACAAAGTTAGTCTAAAAATTTTATTTTATTGGACCCCCTCAGAGTATGTTTAAAAAACCCTTGCCATCATTTTTTTCCTATGTGCTAATGTTGTAAGAAATTTCAGAGCTCTTTAATTCATATGTTTGTTCAAGACATCAATAGTTTCATTTGGTTTGAAGTCATATCATATGTTAATACTGTTTTAGAAATAATTATGAATATGTAAATATGAAGTTAAATTATTTTCCTGAAATATGGATTTATAAGTTTATCAAGACCTTTGACTCTGTCAAGCCTGGAGTTCAACAAAGAAGTTAAATTTACATAAGTGGAAAGATAACTATAATATACAGTATATGTATTTTTTAAATTACATAATAATTACTTTATATATTTTTGTTGGTGATTTATATGTTGTACATCACAGTTAATATGAGTTCTAATAATGTGATATAGTGAATTGTAAATTGAAAAGTCACATTTAATGCAACCCAAAATACAGTTATTATGAGTTTAGCACATGCACAATTGAGGCTAGCAGGGACACTTGCAGTTTTGAGGTTTAGACATTGCTAACCATTCAGTCTGATTTTGGAATGTCTGAATCTATGGTAGATTTTTTTTTTGTTTTTACTTTGCTTTACACAACATCTTTGTTACTTCATTAATCATAAATTTAAAGTATAAGTATATTCTCTTAATACTTTACTTAATATTTGATTAATATGCATATAAAATTTATGTCTAAAATGTTCATTGTCTATTTCTATTGGACATATTTCCATAGAAATACGACTTTAAATAGTGCAATTTCATATAATTCATCCACTTCATGGATTCATTAACCACACTAATTGAAACCTACCTGTATTTCATTGATGAAATAAACTTTTTAAAATTTCAGACAAAGACTACATAAGAAGATTAGGGATAGAAGGATAGTTTTATGTAAACACTGTTTACTGCTACTATTAGCTAGTGGCCTGTTTATTACTTTGTAAATATTATTTTATTTTGGAGAAACGTCCTACAACATGATACAATTGATTCCTCGGGTTAATTTTCAAATGTACATGTGTGTTTTATACTTCGGAAGGAAAGAAGGATTTCTTCCACGAGTATTGTGAAAACTGATAGATTGGAAAATGTAATGATACAATTTTATGTGATAGAGTATAACGTTAATGTCTTTATTGTAATTTTCTTTGTGTTCACTTGTTTCTATACAGCCTTCCAACATTTTTTTTACAATGGATAATATAGTAAAAGTTGGAGATTTTGGCCTAGTAACTGCAATGGACCATGATGAGGAGGAAGAATCTGTTTTAACACCAATTCCAGCTTACGACAGACACACAGGGCAAGTTGGGACCAAACTCTACATGAGTCCAGAACAGGTATGCTTATCATCTGATTTACAGGGTTCCCATAATGCTATTTCATAAATTAAAAAATAAATGTTAGCACAATTATTGAGTACATATCAAGTATGAGTCAGAAGGTTCCCTGTTTTAAATTTTGCCCCATTGACAAATAATATTTTCTGACTGAATAATATTTTCTGGCTTATTAGAAAAGGGTAATAAGGAATACCTTATTCAGAGGAATTATATGTTTTAATTGCTAAATAGCTTTGTACTTGCATTATGTTATTTCCCCATTTAGGATTTAAATGGCATTTATTATCATTTTGGTGGGTTTTATTTTTACTCCAGTACATTATAAATATAACATCAATGTTTTGATACTTAGATTAGACTGAAAAGTGTTTTAGATGGCATTGAATGTATAACATGCAATGGGAGTTCTTGTTCAGCATGCCAGGCAGCTAGATCTTTCCAGACTCAATTTCATCTTCACCGGCCAAATTCCTACTCTATTTTATAACCAATTTAGTAGCAGCTTTTTAAATTTTGGTCTTTGGGGGTTTTTTTCTTCCCCTGGTAAGAATTTTTTTTTTTCAAAACTAGCAAGCTTGAAGTTTTTCCAGATTTGTTAACAGCTCCCTGTTGTTTTTGTGCAATTTAATATTGTTTACACTTCTGTTAGCTAACACATTTGAAAGTCTAGAAAAATCATTGTTTTATTAATAAGGGTTTTAGAAGAACATAAATGAGTGAAATGAATATCCCACAACTCTCTAGAACATTTGAATGAAATATACATGTTTGCTATTATAAGTTAAATATATCATTTTACAAATGCACACAGGGCCTAGTCTTGATTATTTGGGACATTAGCTTGTTCATGAGATTACATTTAATTTTGATATCAATGTTCCAAATATCTTACTATTTAACTGTTAAGAATATTTATTAAAATGAATTGATTTGACCTTATTTGATACAAAGTACTTTCTTACTTTGGTTAAATATTAAGATTTTGGGAAGAAATATTAGTGGGAGATAATATAGCCTGGTGGTTCAGTTTTTGATGGTTATTTCTTATTTTAAATTTTACAGATTTATGGAAATGCTTATTCACACAAAGTCGACATATTTTCCTTAGGATTGATCTTGTTTGAGCTTCTTTACCCTTTCAGCACTCAGATGGAGAGAGTCAGGGTAGGCATACCCTTCTGAAAATATTCTTGGAAGAAAATGAATTGTACTTTAGCAATAAACTGAAAATTATTAATTTACCATTAGATACAAAAATCATATAAACAAAGAATAATTATTACTAGCTATGATTCTATAATTCCTATGGAGAAACTATTTGCTTAAAAAGTTCAGGAGTATATTTGTAAAACAATGCCTTGTCAAATTTATACTTGATCAGAAATTGGGGGTGATTTTTATATTGTTTTTTAAGTATGATTTTTGGGGTTTTTTATGTCAAGATAAAGATTTCTGAAAGCTTGTATAAATATATGAGTGAATGGAATATATATATATATATACTGAGTGAATGGAAATAATGTATTGGACTCAGAACAGTATCAGGATAGGCACTTGCATAAGAATAAAAACTTGTAATTAAATGTTTCTGTAATCTAAAAGCAGCAGATATGAATTAAATTGCAAAGGAAATGTCATTAACATAATTATATGATGTTACAACTGAAAGAAATTAAAACTGAAAGAGATTATGAAATTTCAGTATATTTGCTTTCATAAAAACAAAATATTGTCCTCTTTCGGAGTTGGAGCTGAAACATGAGTAATTTATATTTCAATACAAATAACTTTTTCTTTTAAAATGTTTTTACAGATTTTAAGTGAAGTAAGAAACCTGACTTTCCCACCACTGTTCATTAAGGAATATGCACAGGAGGTATATAAGAATTTAAATTTCTAGCTTAGATGTGTGCTTTAGCTTTGGGATTTTATTAGGACAAACTGCATTTATTTTGTTATTAAAAATCATAAGTCTGCTTGGTAAATTGTACTATTAATCTGCTATGCTTGATCTTCTCCTTCATGACTTAAATCATTAACTGAGGAAATTAAATTTGGGTTGTTGGACCCAAGAGATAATGAATGCATCCTTGATGTCATTGTGAGACTTCATTTGAAATCCCCATTTTATTATTCTGGAGAAGGGAAAATTCAGTCTGTTCCCCCAAAAAGTTTATAATTTGAACTTGTTTCTAAACTTAAACAGCACAAATGATCTTTGTACACTTTCCTATCTAAAGCCAATTAGCCAGCTATATAGACTCTAGAATAAAGCCATCCTGCCTTCCTCTCCAATATGTGCTTATGTCTTTGTACTGATTGTTTATTAAGACACAAATACTTGAAATATTGCAGTTGGAGGTGGTCCTCTGGCTTTCTTGCCATCTAAACTGATACAGATAATACTTTGCAGATATGCTGTCTAATGCTAGCATATTCTAATTCTAATATATAGTTTAGTGCCAGAGAGTATTGACTTTAGGATACAAGATAAAACTGGGGTCAGAGTGAACATCTATTCATAGCTGTTGTGCAGAAATTTGTCATTGCCTGGAAAGGGTATTTGCATTTACTTCGTAATAAGGGAACAGTAGTTAGATAATGATATCAATTGAAAATGTTTCACCATCTGAAATAATATTGTTTTTAATGTTTTAGCATAAGATGGTAAAGCACATGCTCTCCCCAAGTCCCACAGAAAGACCAGAGGCTGCAGAAATTATTGAAAATCCTCTTTTTGAAGATTTGGAATTCCTTGCAAAACCAGTGCTCAGGCAACGATCCCGGACAATGAGTTCATCTGGAGTCAAGCATTCAAGATAGCTGAGTAAATAAGTTGGCACAATTACAGGAACCTTGAAAAAGAGCTTAAATGACCATTTAAAACATTCCTGCAATATTCATATTCTAAGCTTCATTTTTTTGTTATCTGATTCATGCACAATACTATTACCAAATGAAACTAAGAACTGAATGCTTTCAGTCTTTTTCAAGTGAATGATTTTCACTTCAAAACCTGGACTGATTTAATTACAGTACATTATTTTGCATTTGAATCTTGTACAAATGATGCTTATTATGTAAATAAAACTAAATCCTGTATTTTTATAGAAACAATGCCTTCTAATACCAATATATAAGCCTTGATTCCTTTATATTTAAAAAAAATGAAGATGATCCGAAAGGATGCTAGAAAAGTAAATTCAATTTTGTCCTGGTAACCTACAAAGTGAAAATTGTTTTACTGTCAGTTGCCAGGTTTAGAGCAATAGTGTGATAGGCTTCTTTTCGGAGAAATTAATTGAAGAAAATGTTTAAATTAAATGAAAAATATGCTGATTAAAAACAAACACTGTGTTGGATATGGTTTTGAATTATGCCAGAACCAAATGAGGCTTTTTTTTTCTTTTTGTACTTTCAGGAATATATGCCTAATATAATCTTGATATAAAAATTTTGTAGTAATCAAGTCTTACACATTTCTCAGTTAAAATGTTACTGTTTAATAATGCCTTTTTCAATGTAAATATGTTAATTTTTATTTATAAAATTGGAAGAACAATCCATTTGGGTTGGTAGTGTACAGCATGCACTTAAAGTAATTATTAAGTGCATTAAACTACTGTGACTTTTTTCAAGTCTGATTTAATAAAATCATTTTCATTTAGATGTAACTGTGTTGTCTTTCAAGATTGACTAAAAATAGCTTAATTTGATCATTTCATCCCAATTTTTATATGGTAGTTTTCCAGCATCCTGCTAATTTTCCTACCTCTCTCCCCTGTTGCATACTTGCTTCTTCTACCCTGTCTTCCCTTTCTGTAGGAATCTCTCAGTTCCCCATTGCATTCATCACCTTCACCTGCCTCCCCACTCCTCTGGGACTCTCCTTCAAGCCCTTAATAGGAGATGAGAATAAAAAAGTGTTTGTTTAAAATAAATTTTAAAAACATGCAATAAATAAATAATACATGAAAAATATTGTAACTGTCTTTTCCAGGCTTCATGCCCAGGAAATAAGTAATTGTATTTATACCATTATAAATTATAAATATTTTCCAAGGGTCTGAAATTTGGTACAGAAGCTAGCCAGTGAGCTAGTTAATTTTTAACAAGTCATGTAAGAAATGGATGGGTATTTGTTTCTCCTTCAAATTCAATCATATTTTGCATATCTTTAAATTTAAAGAAAATATTTCTACCAAGTTGAAAGAAAAGTTATCAATTTTTTTTTCTATATGAGTTTGCTTAAAATGCAAATCGGTAGTTTATATAAAAACAAGTTATACTGTATGCATATTCAGTGCCAGAGTGTCTTCCTGACTTCTCAAAATCAGATGGCTCCCACCAAATCATCAGTATGATTTGAAAAAGTAGATCAAGGGGAAATCAAAAAGCTTTATATGTATATATTGATATATATAGCTTGCCTTTGTATGTTTGTTACCTATCTGCATATTTTTGTGTTAAAAAGAAAGTTGTATTTACATTCTCTTTTTCCAAGATTATCCTCTGCAAATTAATATGGGGATACTCAAAGGCTTGGGATTGGGTGGATTCTACTTACCTTTACTATCAGTTCGCAACAGGAGCGTGTGTGCTTCTGCGCATGCACAGATGGTCAATTATGGCAGGTGGGTGGAGCCTCCCGCCACTTTTACTACCAGTTCTAAAGAACCGGACACACCCAGAAGCAACCCACCCCTCCTTGGATGTAACACTTAAATCCTTCCTATTTTACCCCAAAATGCCAACACCTTACTGAGTTCAAACTTAAGAAAGTAACATTCTGAACAAGGGTGTAAAAGAGCTAGGATGTCTAAAATAGGGATACTCTATCTGGCCTGCAAAAATTCAGAGAATGACAAAATGGTAGCAAAGAATTTTCTGTAGGTTTTTGCTGCTGATTTATTTTTATTTATTTATTTTTTTTGTCAGAACCACAGTATGTCTTGTCTGTAGAACAATATACTTGAATATTTGAGGGGAATTTTCCCATAGAGATGCAATCAGAAATGAAGGAAAAGCTGGCAGCATTGTAAATAAAACACAAGATAGAAGATGACAAGAGGACTGGAATAGAAGAAATTTTAAATTTCAAGATTTCAGTTCTTAATGGTTATTAATTTACACCAGGAAGTATTTCTGATGGGCAACTTAAGATAAAGAGGTCAAGCCAGAGATTCCTTTTAAGTATCTAAGTGAACATGGAAAATTATACCTGCCCTTAAACAGCTTTATCTTCACCTTATAAATTCCTATATTCTCAACCTAATAATAGTGTAAAATTAAGGCATTAAACTAAAGCTCAGTTGTGGATGTACTGAAAGTCATAACTTTGGGGGGAAATGATATATCTAGAGAGAACAAACTAGCTATTCCATTAATAATAAATTCCAGTTAAACTTATCTCGATATAAGAAGGAAGAGTTGTTAACCGTTTATGTGGATGCCGGGTGGAAGTTAGGCCCCTCCCATAAAATGAGCCAACTAGAATACATATCCAACCTCAGAATCTTGAGACAGCTATTGCAGCCTTTATACTGGTATTCGCCACTTTTGGGACATGTGGACTAACTTCCAGAATTTCTGGAATTTGAAGTCCACATGTTTTAAAGTTGCCACGGTTGAGAAACAATGCTTTAGACCATTAGTGGCTCTTTTCCAAAAACCAAACTTGTTTTTGATCTCTGTTTTGAGGGATGCTTCCTTGTGCTTTGAAAAATCAAAATGACAAGATTGTGGTCTCTCACTGACTGAGAGTTTGTGCAGTCTACTGCCAAGTAATTCAGTATGGTATGGGAGCATTAATTTAAGAGCACAAGTCAATGTGATCTGGTGCTGATTGTAGAGATTCATTCAAATTATCATTGGCCTACCAATATACCAATATAAGATACACTAGTATCTATCATCGTCATTCATCTGTACACATACATTGTTTCCAAATATTTGATATTTGAAAGCATATTATTCCTGACTTCAATAAAATACACCCATTATGACTTAAAGCCATCGATAACATTAATATTCTGAAATTCAGTCAAATGACAGGGCAAAACTTCTAGCAACTGCTGTATATTTGTATAAGTGTAGCTTTGTGCTGGGTTGAGAAGCTTTTCCTTTAATCTTTTAAACCAGTTTTTATTCTGTTTTATTGGATGACCTGGGGTCTGAATATCAGGACAAATCTTCTTTCCCCACACTTTACATAATTTTGTGTATGCCTTTTATTTTTTTCCCAAGCAAGAAGTTCCAACTTTTTGACATTTGCCATCTTCCCAACTTTATAATATTCTTGTTTGAGGTACAAATATCAGAACTGTATGCCATCAATTTTGTAAATGTATTTGAAACAAAGATTTGAATAAAAATTACAATTTTGTTATTATTGATTTCATAAGATTCTCAGTTTTCTGGTTATTCTTTTCAGAGTAATTCTTCAATGGTTGTTTTCCTTGAGCCTTTTACCCAATCCAAGAAAGTTCCAGGTTAGTTTCTGTTAGCCAAGACTTCATTTATATACATGTGATTTTTTTTTCCTGTCCCAAGAGGCATCATTTTATCTTTTGTTTATACTGAACCACATTCTTCCAGACTGCTTCCAGGAATTGTTTTGGAGGCTCTTCTTTGGGATAACTTCCTTAATTTAATTCCGTCCTGTTATATAACACCACTTGTTTGCAGTATTCCACAGGACTTGGTACACAATACTCTACATGAAGCCACTGGGTGAACTCTTCTGTCACCATGGGATGAGATATCATCAATATGCTGATGAAAAGAGCCATAGTGGCGCTCTTGTGGATAGAATGGATAGAATGCGGTATTTCAGACTAATTCTGCTGACTGCCTATTGCCAGCAATTTGGCAGTTTGATTCTCACCAGCTCAAGGTTGATTCATCCTTCAATCCTTCCAAGATCAGTAAACTGAAGGTCCAGATTGTTGAGGGAAATACGCTGACACTCTAAACTGCTTAGAGAGGGCTGTAAAGCATGTGAAGTGATACATACTGCTAAAAAAAATAAAGGGAACACAAGCAGAAGATATCCGAGATCTGAATGAATGAAATAGCCTTATTAAATACTTTGTTCGTTACATACAGTAGTTTATACACTGCTTAAACAACTAAAGGGAACACAAAACTACAGACTTCAATTATACCCTGGCAAAACAGAGTGACTTTGGGTGCATGGAGCCTCAGGAACCAAGTGTTCATCATCCTTAGTTCTGGACAGGGTTGCACTACTTTGTTCAGATCTAGTTCACAACTATAGGTTCTTTTGGTCTAATAGAATAATAGGAACCTTGGAATTCCTTCCAACCCCCTGCTGAAGCAGGAAACTATACAATTTCAGGTGAATGGTTGTCCAAACTCTTCTTAAAAATCTTGGAAAAGAGAGTTTGCTAAAACCATTATCTTGACAGAATTCTATCAGCTTCTGCCCTACTTTGTACTCCAAGGCCCAACTTGCCTGTTATTCCGTTATCTTTTGGCTTCCTACTTTAGCATTCCAATCCCCCATGATAAGGACATCATTTTTTGGTGTTAATTCTATAAGGTGCTGTAGGGCTTCGTAGAACCGGTCAATTTCATCCTCTTCAGCACCAGTGGTTGGGGCATAGACTTGGATTATTGTGATATTGAATGGTTTGCCTTGGATTCGAACTGAGATCATTCTGTCATTTTGGGGATTGTATCCCAGTATTGCTTTCCCTACTCTTTTATTATGAAGGCTACCCCATTTCTTCTGAGGGATTCTTGCCCGCAGTAGAATACCTGATGGTCATCTGAATTAAATTCACCCATTGCTGTGCATTTTAGTTCGCTGATTCCTAAGATGTTGATGTTCAGTCTTGTCATCTCTTGTTTGACCACGTCCAGCTTGCTTTGATTTATGGATCTTACATTCCAAATTCCTATGGAAAATAGATCTTTACAGCATCGGACTTTCCTTTCACCACCAGATGCATCCACAGCTGAGCGTCCTTTCGGCTTTGGCCCAGTCGCTTCACTCTTTCTGGCGCTACTAGTACTAGCCCTCTGGTCTTCCCCAGTAGGATATTGGACACCTTCTGAACTGAGGGGCTCATCTGGTGTCATATCTTTTTTTCTTTTGGTACTGTCCATGGGGTTTTCATGGCAAAGATACTGGAGTGGGTTGCCATTTCCTTCTCCAGTGGATCACTTTATATATCAGTGTGTTTAATACTATTTTTCCAATTTGTACTAATCTTTTATTTATTATTATTATTTATTTATTTATTAGTTCAATTTATATGCCGCCCTCCTCCGAAGACTCAGGGCAGCTTACAATGCACTTATAGCAATAGCCTTCATTCTTTTGTATATACCTGCTTATTAGGGCTTTTGGCCCCCCATAAGCAGTGTTTCTACAGTTTATTGCCCCACAATCCGGGTCCTCAATTTACCTACAATCCAGGTCCTCAATTTACCTACCTCGGAAGGATGGAAGGCTGAGTCAACCTTTTTTCCCCCATTTGTTGGGGTTCAACATTCACATCTTTGTCTTTAACCAATACCATTCTCTCTATGAATCTTTATCACTTTCTCCATAAATACATTTAAAAATCATTACCATTTCTTCATACAATGTATTTGTTGTTCCCTGCTGAATCACTAATATTTTAATATTTTAAAAATTACTCAATATTCCACCATAATTCCAATATCTCAATTTTCTAGAAACTCCAATAAGGCCAATTATTAATAAGATTTAATCAGTCCTGGGATTATATCTCTAAACCCCTTGAATTTATAGTCCTTGAAATCTATAAGTTTCAATATATTTTTACACTGTTATTATTATTATTATTAATAATAATAATAATAATAATAATAATAATAATAATAATAATATACATAATATAGTCTTTCACCTTCTAACCTTAATATGTTTGTGGTTATAATAAATTCTATTATATATCAATATAATTTGTCAATTTGTACTTTCTACTTCTTTCTATTAATTTTTAATACAGTCACTGTATTGCAGGATATTTTATCTCTATCCATCATCTCTCTTTTTAAAATTTCATAATTTATTGACTTTGATAACTTTTATATTTGTGTCTTGGAATCTTATATCACTTTCTAACATTTTTATACAAACTAATGTTCCCTTTGCCTTTCCCCTTGTCTCCTGCTGCATCATTTGAATACCCATCCATAACCCTTTCATTATTTTTGGGAGATTTTTTTTCTCTGTTCTATTGTAAACTCTTAAAGGATTATCTATTTGATCATTAATACTTATTGTTACTGTCTCTTTAGTGTCTTTGTCTTCTTGTAACTTTTTTTGATTCTTTTCCTCCACCACTCCTTCTAATTTCTCATCTGTCTTCTGAATATTATGTTCATCTTTTCCCCCCATTTGTTGAGGATCTTTTACACTCACGTCTTTATCTTTGAACAATCCCATTATCTCCTTATGATTCTTTGTCACATTTTCATAAATACTTTTAAGCATCACTAACATATCTTCATACACCTTTATTGTCTCCTGTTGAATCATTTTGTGATAGTTTAATATATTAAAAATTACTCAATATACCACTAAAATTCCAGTGTCCCAATATCTAAAAACTCCAAAGAAGCCAATTATTAATAAAATTTAATCAGTCCCAGAATTATACCTCCAAGTCCCCTAAATTTATAGTCCTTAAAAGCTATAAATTGATAATTTACAGTCTTTATAATTTCCCAGTTTATACTTTCCCAATTGTCCAAATTTTAAAGTTTTATTTATCTTTTCTTTTTTCTTTTCTTTACCACCTTTCTTCTTTTGCCTCGTAGGATATTCTATCAAGTAGCATTAGTAATCCAAATCCAAATTTCCTCAAATCTTTCAAATCCAACTTCCAGTGAACAGTTTCAATAAGAGTTTTAGTTATTTGCAATTCAGTTTTTCTTAAAGACCCTCAAAAAGCTCACTAGATATTTCCAAACTTCCAAATTGCCTACTGAAATAGAATCCAGGTCAAGTGGTCTTCCAGGTGTTATTTACTTTCTCTCCTTTCCTTTATTTATAATAAACAATTATCACTTTCACTTAAGTTTCCCACTCTGCAGTAATCTTCTTCCTCAGTAGATGGCTCCTCTGCTCCAAATTCCAACATTAAACAGTGCAAAAATCAAACAGCTGATTGTCAACAGATCAGGCGGGGTTAATAATAATAAGAAAAGCAGTTTCTCCCAATAATCACTTTTCAAGATGTTAAATCTTTTCCAGGCTTTCTATGTTTTAAAACTTCCATTAGATATTTCTTTTGCATCTGAGTCTTTAATCTTTCTCCATGTATCCAATTGCCACTTTCTTAACATTTGGAGATTATTTTTTTGGAATTCTTTTACTTGGATTAGATCTCTAGAATAAAAGTTGGAAGTTATCTCACCCAGTTTCAATGCTCTGTCCATGAACCACTGCAGCATAAATCTTATTGTCACAGTTGTCACAGCTTGTGACTTGCCAAAATGGCCATCATCCCTGCTGCCATTCGGGAGAGCTTTCTTCGGATCAACAAGGAAATTGTGGTTTCCTTGTGATCGACAAAGCACCTCTCCTTCCTTCATTACCCCTCCAGGGCAGCTTTGACCCCATAGGATCTCCTGGCAAGCAGATAGCCGCTGGTTTTCACAGAGTTTGGGGGAACTATTTTCCACCCATTCCTGCCACAATGCCAATGGGTCTCCAAATATAGATTGCCTCTCCTTGATTAGTTTCCATCCATTGCTGCTTGTCCTGCCTTCAGATGCTTTGGAGAATAGGTTCTTTGTGACAGCCCCTTAGATATTGGAACACTATTATTATATCACCCCTAATCTTTTCATTAAAGTAGACATACCCAATTCCTACAACCGTTCTTTGTATATGTTTTATTCTCCAGACCCCTAATCATCTTCTCTGCATTCTTTCTGCAGTCTCAACATCTTTTTTATATCATGGCAACCAATACTGGATGTAATATTCCAAGTATGGTCATATCAAGGCTTTTTAAAATGGTATTAATGTAATCTTGATTCTATCCCTGTATTAATGCAACCTAGGACTGTATTGGCTTCTTTGGCTGCTGCCACACACTGCTGGCTCTTATTCCAGTAATTGTCCACTAGGACTCCAAGATCCCTCCCCCAGTTACTACTATTGAACCATATATCAAGTGGCAGGCATGATCAGGAGAGCTTTGGAACAAATTCAGTTTGTGACTTTTCCTGGGTCATGATTCCCTGCACATAATCAAGCCCTGCTCATTTCTCACCTGGATTACTGCAATGTGCTCTACATGGGGCTATCCTTAAAATCAATTTGGAAACTTCAGCTGGTGCAAAGTGTGGCAGAAAAAGCAGTCTTTCGGACCCCCACGGTGGTACCTGTATATGGAGATTGTCAGTTATCCAGATCATGGTTGTCCCAAAGCTGCTTTATCAGGAGGTAACTGAACTTTCTTTGAAGACATTTTACTTCTTGGATGAGAAGCAAAATGTCTTCAAAGAAAAACAATCCAGTTGCCTCCTGAAAAAGCACTTTTGGATTAAGGTGCCACCTATTACATCTCTGCTCTGCAAACTTCACTGGCTACTGGTTTGCCTCCAAGTGCAGTCCCAGATTTTGGTTATGACCTTTTTAAGTCCTTAATATCTGATGAAGCATCTCTTTCTGCTAAGATGTCCCATCTTATTTGTGCCAGCAGAGAGGGGCTACTTCAGATCCTCTCAGTGAAAGAACTCTGACTCTCAGGATCCAGAAGAAGAACTTTTTCTGCGGCAGTACCTGACCTTTGAACCTCATACCTTCTAAGAAGTGGTGGGTTTCAATTTTTTTTTACTATTTCTTCTGTGGGCGTGGCTTGGTGGGCGTGGCATTACTTGGTGGGCATGGCTTGGTGGGCGTGGCAGGGGAAGGTTACTGCAAAATCCCCATTTCCTCCCAATCAGCTGGGACTTGGGAGGCAGAGAATAGATGGGGGCGGGGCCAGTCAGCATTTTTACTACTGGTTCTTCCAACTACTCAAAATTTCCACTACCAGTTGTCCAGAACTGGTCAGAACCTGCTGAAACCCACCTCTGCTTCTAAGCTAATATCTGCCCCCAACCTCCTATACTTCCATTGGAGCCTAAAGATTGGAGCCTCTACCAATTAACTTGGGGGCCACATCATGGGGACTGTTAGATTAATGGCAAACCCCATCTCTCTCCATCTGCTCTCCATTGCTTATCATATTGATGTATTATTCTCATTATGTCTGTCATCATTTCTTTATTATTTTATTTCTGTTCTAATTATACTTTTTTCATTTTTTTCATCATTTTTTTATTATTTTATTTCTGTTCTAATTATACTTTTTTCATTTTTCTTTTTATTTTTGTAAGCTGCCTAGAGTAGCTCCACACTGAGATATGCTGAAAATAAATAAATAAATAAATAAATAATAGTAGTAGTAGTAGTAGTAGTAGTAGTAGCAGTAGTAAAATGCATAGCTATCTGCATATTTTTATTTCTGGAACTAATAAGCGAATATGTTATTGTTCTTTTTCACAAGAAAATGGGCACGGGGATCTCAGCTCCAAATACTTTCTAAGGAAAATATTTAAAAAATTAGATTGTATTTGTGTATTTACCTGTAAATTATTGCACTATGCTTTCCGTTAAAGTTGCTCGAGAATGCCAGTTGAAGTTCCACAGCATCTATGACCACTAGATGCTGCTGGAGGTCCAAAAATCCCAGGACACAAATGTCTCTTTTGTACAGTTATCCCAACTGCTGAGTGTGGGTTTTTTGTTTTCTTTTTACATTGAATTAATGTGAAATTGAACAATCTTGCTTTAGATTGCATTATCAACTCTACTACATGGCATGCTACAAGGAGGTCTTTTTCAGTTTTTGGCTATCTCAAAATGAGATTTTGTTTCTGAAAGTAGAATATTATTGCCATCTATCCCAGAAAAAACTGCCTAATCATCTTCAACATTTGCAGCAACATATTTCCAGACAGTTGGAAACCAACATGGTGTAAATGCTACCATTTTTACAAATCTAAACAAAGTGTCTGCTATATTATTTTACTCAATTCTGCAAAATCATTTTCATGGTCAGAAGATATGAATAAAACACTTATAGTACAACTTGTATTTAATTCACTCCAAGTGACTGTGTCGTTCCATTGCTATTTTCTAAAAGAAAAAGGGTTTTATGAAATATTGTGTGCGCCTGATCTTCTATTCTTGTAGACCTCAGGAATGTTTGAAAACTTTTTGATTACAAACACTGAACATACAACTTTTCTATTTTTCCCAACATAACCCATGAGGCCTCAGGGGTATTTACACTCTCAATTCAACAGGTTTTGTTGATCATAGCAACATGCTAAGAAAAAAATAGTATATATATTTTTATATATTTATTATATTGATAGTAATAAATTAGCATTGATAATAGCAACATGCTAAGAAAAAATATTTTATTACATATTTTAGACAGACAGACATGTATGTATGTTAATCCCAGTTAAAGATGGGTAAAATATGCTATGGGTAAAATAAGATTGACAAGGAAAATTAAGGCAGATGCATTGTCTGTGTTATTTGCAGGATTGCTTTGCTTAGTAACTGCTGGTTAATGAATGCTAACTTTGGCACATAGATCTAAGACTCCAATGTCTTGCTGCAGCTGCTTTATTATCAAAGTCCTTTCTTTTCTGCATGTATTAAAATTAAAAGTATCCTTTGTTATTCTAGCATAGGATTTCTGACACCACCCAGTCAAAAGCTATTTGAGTCTGGTAATTATGGATAAAAGAGAAAACTGAGCTGTTTGACTGTTTAATCCAAAGAAAGGGAAAAGCTTCTATTCTTCACTATTCAGATTTTGAAATGAATCTCCCTATTGAAAGATAGGAAGTGGCAGCTTAAATTCCTGAACCAACTATCTATGAAGACTCTCACTCATACAGGTCAGGGTGCTTTTCAAACCCAAAAGTGCTTTTCAAAAGACAACTGGACTTTCTTTGAAGACATTTCACTTCTCATCCAAGAAGCTTTATCAGTTCTGACTGAATGGTGGGAGTGGAAGAATTTATATATATTATATATATTTATGTATATAAACCCTTCCACTCCCCATCACTCAGTCAGAACTGAAGAAGCTTGGATGAGAAATGAAACATCTTCAGAGAAAGTCCAGTTGCCTTTTGAAAAGCACCTTTGGGACAACATAAACTGGCACTCTCATCCTGCAGCTTAGGTGTAATGTTAGGAAAGTACAAAGATGTAGCTGCTTATGCTTATATTTATGACAGACACCTTGATTACCACAATTTAAAATAAAACTAGCCACAAGGGATCAGCTCTCTTATGCTAAATAAACACATTATGACTTATTTATGTTTTGTCTACTGTTTATTTAAAATTATGAAAAATTATCTGTGGATTACTGATCCTAAGGGAAGTTATAGCACAGTAGCACTGTCAATTTCCATATACAGTTCAAATCAGTGTCCTTGGGGATTTTTTTTTTTTTGTAAATAAATATATTATCAAAAACAAGTTATAACAACAACATAAATATATAAATAATTGAAATATAAACAGTTGTCTTTGGTTTACAAACATTCTTCAGGTTGTCCTGAACCATGCCAAAATTTTGGTAGCAGGTGTTCTACATTGCTTGTGGAGCTGCAATCAAAAATATATAAGAGATATTTTAGCATGTTCAGATTCTGAAATAATTGTTTGAAAAGAATAAAAGTTCTGTTCTATATAGGAAACAAAAGTTTTTCACTCCTTTTGTAACTTACTTATGGATCTCATAGTCCAGGGTATAACGGTTGGCTGAAAAACCAGCCAACTTCTTTCATGAAGAGTATGACATAACTATTTTGAACAAGGAATATTTTACATGATATGTTTAAATTTAATTCGTACCATAATGACTGCAGCTGCCAAGTAGAACTCTGCACCTTTTTAAGGTGCTGTATTCACTGCTATTGGAGTCTGTGTGGATATTTCAGGAGAAAGAGAAGATATGGGCCTGACTGTAGAGCAGAAAGTTGACACCGGATTTTGAGTTTTCCGGTTTAACTTCTTTAAGAAGATGTTGTAGTTATCCATATATTCTGATGTCCAGGGGTCCCTGAAAGGAAGAGTATGGATGGGTGTTGACAAATTGGAATTATTAAAAAACAAATTTTTGGATATAGTCTTATATTTCTAGCTATATAAGCACCTCAAAGAACTGTTAATACTTCTTTGCAGCTGGTAGTTTTGGGTGGAATTCCCTTCTCTGAGGACCTGACAAAGATCCAATTTACTGCTAGAACTGATGTGCCTAATTTGTGCTGCCTTTTGGTGGATAGGAACAGTTTTAATAATAGTTCAAGGACTGTATTATTTATTTACTTATTATACATAAATATGTAATGTCACTTTTATAACTTTATAGGTAATTTATTTCATCTATTTTAAGATATTATTGCTCTTCTATTTCTCGGATGCCATTACAAAAAAGAAAGAAATCCAATAAATAAAAAGAAACAGGATTTTTGGTGTCATACATTCAGAAGGAACATAGGTGCGGTGTGACCAGGAGTGGATTCTACTTACCTTTACTACCGGTTCGCAATGGGAGCATGTGCATGATTCTGTGCAGAAGCTTCTGCGCATGTGCAGATTGCCAATTATGATGTCCAGGTAGGTGGGCGGAGCCTCCCGCCGCTTTTACTACCGGTTCTAAAGAACCGGACAGAACCGGGAGCAACCCACCACTGGGCATGACCTCTGTATGTAGTGATAATTTTGGCTACTATTTAGCAGGTTCACATCAAAAATGTGGGTTGAGAATTCCTTGAATCAGACAGATGCTGTGGCCAGGAATGTAAATGTTACTAACTGCCCTTTTACCTTTAGCCTCTTCCTACCATCAAAATCCAGACAAAAATGCTCACTCATTGTAATAGCCATCATGGAAAACAAAGTTGGAGAAATTCCGATTTGCTTGATAAAAGCCACTACGGACACGGGACCAATGTTTATAATCTCTTTGGTAAGTACTTGCATCAGTACTGGTGACAAAATCTGTTAAAAGAGCAGATATGAAACCAACATTTTCAGTCATTGTGTTTTTGCGTTTCTTTGGGAAAGGTGGATATTTCCATAATTATTGGAATATTTTCATAATTATTGATATTTTAGCAACTATATGTATTAGATGAAATGTAACTAACCTGCCTGAAAAACAGAAGATCCCAAATGTAATTTCTTAATTTCTTTAAGTTGTGCTTGATTAGCTCGATTCATTTCTAACATAAAATGTTGATAGTTGTTCCAGTTCTGCCCCAGTTCTTGCTTGATACAAGGGGTACCTATGCTTCCAGGAAAAGGAAAATCCCACATTGTAATTTTTTTCCAGTCGTATCCAAAAAATCACTGTGGAACCAACTACATTCAGAGAATGGCTTACTGATTATTTTTAATAATAATATTTGAACAATGTGTATAATAGTTTATTAAAATATATTACTTATAAATTATTGTAAGAAAGCTATAGGGATAGGGTACATTTCAGAATAGCTAATTCTGAACTGAGGTGATGGTCTTCAAAAAGTGAATTTCTATTTGAGATTGGATCCCTGGATATTGATTTAAGTGGTGTGCAGATTTATTCACAAACAGGAGTGGGTGTGGATTTTGATGTGCAGGATGTCTTCTTTTCCCATTGGTTTCCATCTTAAGACGATACAATGTGTGCAGCCCACAGAAATAGTGTAGATGGCCTTTTCCATTTCCCCCTTTCCCCCATAACTTTAGAGAGTTCTCTCCTTTGCTTGCTTGTTAATATCTTGCATTTAATTCATCACTTTTTCTGTGCTTTTTGGAGTAGGATGATGGAACAACCTACATACTGCCATTTGAGAATAAGGAACAAAAAACCAGACCAATTTAGCCAGTCCTGGAGTCCATGAACTTCTTTAGTTCCCAGCTGCCTTCAGCAGGGAAGTACTTAATTCTTGGAAATACCTTTGATCCAGGCCATTCATTACACTGAATGACATTCATATGTGGAGAAAAATTCAGGTATCAGAGTTAACTAAGAAAAATAACAAATTCAATAAAATAAATTTTAGTGAAAATAGAAGCAGTAATTATATTTCTATGAAAAAGCTAACCGTACAAAAAAGATATGAATATAACTTGGAGAAATACATTATTGCAGCCTTATGTATTTGTGAAGACTTCAATTTTTGAATTTCTTCCCATGAAAATCCTTAGTGATAATTATTTTAGTTTTATTTACACAGTGTTTTGCTTTTTCTACAATACAGCATTGATTTGTATTTTAACATATTTCATAGAAGGAATAACTTGACAATTTTCTGAAGCTAGAACACTAGTTGCTAAGTTAAATCAGTAACTTGAACAATAAGCTTAGGAAAAACATTGCTCAGGTTTAATGGAATTTAAGAGATTGCATAGCAGGGCTACCTTTTTTGAAATTCTCTGGCTGAAAACTAATAAGAAACATTAATATCCTGAAGCTAATCAATCAAGCCAATATATTAGACTCTGGCAGCATTCCCAAAGATAGATCATTTAATGGATAAAGCAGTCAGAGAAACATTCTGAAGAAAAATAAAATTTGAGAAAAATAGAGAATATCCCAAAAACCCTTTTCTTGAAGGCAGAATTCAGGAGAGTTACCCAGCTGAAAAGATGAAGGAACTGCAAGTCGAGAGGCCCAAAGATATTTAATGGAATCAGTAACATTTAGCAAAATCCTAATTCCCACATTGTGGGGAATAGAGGTTGCCTCAGCCACCAGAAGTAATGATGGTCTCACAACATGCTTTTCAGTTCACTGAAAAATAGTATTCCAAATGAACAATTATATGGAAGATTATCATTCTAACATTTTATACAAAAACTCTGGATAAATGTTTAACATATTTACTTGCACACAGGTAGTCCTCATCTTACAACCACAACTGAACCCAAGATTTCTGTTACTAAGCAAGACAGTTGTTTAGTGAGTTTTGCCCCATTTCATTATTTTTCTTATCACCGTTTTTAAGTAACAGGATTGTTAAGTGAATCTGGCTTCCCTTCCCCTGGCTTTGCTTGTCAGAAAATCACAAAAAGTGATCGCATGACTCCAGGACACTGCAACAGTCATAAATACATGCCAGTTGCCAAGCGTCTGAATTTTGATCACATGCCTGTCAGGATATTGCAATGGTCATAAGTGTGAAAAACAGCCATAAGTCACTTTTTCAATGTTGTAATAACTTTGAAAGCTCACTAAATGCATGGTTGGTAAATCAAGGATTACCTGTATTGCCTGCAGGCTAAACTAGAGCAATCAATGAAGTACTTAACTTCTCAACTTTACTTGAATTTAAGTAGATCAAAACCACACCATCTAATTTGGTATTTATAGTACCACGTAGTATTGACTCTAACCACATATGAATCCCCTCCCCACTTTTTAAATGAAAGTTCAGTAGTTTCACTCTTGTGGTGAAGGATGGGCCCTTTTTACCTGGCATTGCAGATGCTTCTCTCTGAGGAGCTATGTACTCTGCCTCCTTTTTCTGGAATGCAGTTGGCTCTGAAGGAAAATACTTTTCTTGATCTCTCTCTACTTGCTGGAAAGCTAGAGGAGCTTCTTGGCTGCTTGACAAACTCTCATCTATTTTTGCAGGATAAGGTGGTTCTACCTCTTGACAGTCAGGTTCCTCAGCATATTTCATAGGTTCCTTCTCAGTGAGCCTTTCAAACTCCTTCTTTTTTAGCTGAGTTTCCAGTTGCTGTTTCTGCAAAATCAAATTACAAAAGCAATGGACGCAGATGAAGATTTTATTTTTTGTTTTTAACCTGCGGAATAAGGAACACTTAAAAAATTGAAGTGTAGTTTTTGTAACAATCTGATAGGGCAGCATTCCCTAATTTGCCACCTTTCAAATGATATTATCAGATATAATGTTGAACTGAACTTTTTATAGATATGCTAGGATCCATTTTTTCCCTCTATATCTGCTCAATTTCTGTAGGTAATCCTGAAACTTTTTACATACAAATTCTTCTCCCAGATCAAATGGATTCTACCTTTCTGGACATTGAAATTCTATTGTGCTGCCAGCAAAATAAAATCCAAATTGACTTACCCCATTTTCCTCAACATAATAAAACCGTAACTAAACCTTGAATAAGGGCCTGGTGGCTCAGCAGACGGAGTATTGTGATTAACACCAGCTGTCTGCAATTACTGTAAGTTCGAATCTCACCAGGCTCAAGGTTGATTCAGCCTTCCATCCTTTCTAAGGTAGGTAAATTGAGGACCCAGTTTGTGGGGGCAATAAACTGACTTTGTATAAATATACAAAAATATGAAGGCTATTGCTTAACCCATTGTAAGCCACCCTGAGTCTCCGGAGAAGGGCGGCATATAAATCAAATTTTTAAAAAAAGATTGAGTTATAACCTATGTTTTATATTTTATTTTATTTTTGCCTAGTTTTGTCTTTGAATCTGACTTTTATGTCACTGGTGTAAAGCATTTAAGGTAAAAACACAGAGACAAAGTTTATACTGGTAACAATATGATGATAATAATATTGTTTTGTCTTTTTAACATATTTTATACTTGATTGTCCTCTTTTACTTTTAAACAGCTTGTTAATTATTTGGGGTTTTTTTGGTCTTTGATGGAAATAAACTTTGAACTTAAGTGAACTATCAGTTTTATGCTAACATGAAAGTTACTCTCTCCAATGATTTCTGCCTACCTGATACATTAGGGCGGAGTGTGTTCCAAATCCTTTCTATTAAACGTTGCAATTTTGGAGGACCAAGGAAATGTGCCTTCTCTATTGCAGAATTAGAATTGATTAGAAAAGCATCCCCTCAGAAATATGGATAGTATCCCTTTTCCTGGAGTTCTGGAAGACCCTTAAAATCTTCCTTTGTCCCCAGGCTTGAAGTTAATGTGTATTGTCCTAAGGGGCTGTTGTGTTTTTATTATTATAGTTATTTTTATTCTGGGCTTTCTTGTTTTCTTTATATTTTTAACTGATTATCCATGGATTAGATTTTGTAATCTGCCCAGATTCTAACAAAGTGGATGGTCATTTCAAATTTAATGAAAGCAATAAACAATCCAACATATAATATACTGGCTCAAGGTTGACTCAGTCTTCCATTCTTCTGAGGATGATAAAATGAGGAGCCAGATTGTTGGGGGCAATATGTTGACTCTGTAAACCACTTAGAGAGGCTTGTAAAGCACCATGAAACAGTAGTATAAGTCTAAGTGCTATTGCTATTGTTAATATGTGAAGGATACTGAGTTGGAGAAAACACTTACAGAATATCAATATTCCACAGCTATAGAGATGGAGACAAAATCAATTAAATTCATCAGAATTGTATTAAAAAGATTTGTACTAAAAAGATTGCAACAGAAAAGAAAGCCTAGGTGATTATTTTAAATATATAATTCTTTCATTAAATAATTTAAAAGTCATTGGCTATATTTCAAATAGGTGATCTAATACCTCTAAGATTATAGATTACGTGATATATAGTTCTATATTACTTTAAAATGTTTGTTTTATAGGGCATCTAAAAAGTATATCACAATTAATGATTGAGAAAATTATAATTATGTAGATCGAGAAAAAAATCCAATATTCACAGCATAGTAAAAATCTCAAAAAATGGCACAAAACAGCTCAAACATTTGCTTTCTGGAAACTTAAAAGCATTAATTACATAATAATATCTTTGTATTTTTCATTTCTCTACCACATTTCCCTTCCCTGCCACATCTTGATCTTGAAATGGCGGGAAGGCTCAGGAGATCCAATAACTCTGGGAGTAATGCTGGCCAGAATGTGAGCTCCTAATAGGCTGGTCGCTCTTGCTAGGTGAACCTAAGGATATCCACAGCAAATAAGACCTGGTGAGGTGCTATATGCAGGAGGATAACAAACCTAGTTAGCAGGAGGAATTCTAACATCAAACTTAGAAGAAGGCAATGGTAAAATGATGAGAACTTTCCAATGAGATAATATGCTCTAGTTATACTAAAGACACCAAACTTTCCTAAATAAATATTGCCTGCAAGTAAAGCTGGTCTCTGGTGGTGCTATACTGAAACAGGAATTCCTAATTTTATAAGGACATGTGAAATAGGAAAGAAGTCTGGACCAGTTTAGGAAACAGAAAAGGTCAACGAGGAAATTTAAGAATATTGAGTTTTATGTATCAAAAATAAGTAAGCTTGGAAGGGCCGGATTGGACTATTAAAACAGATTAGTACATGGTATTTTTGTTCAGAGTGTGAACACATAGAATTATAGATCATGCCTATGGATCATGCCCATTATGGATCAAGCTAAAAGAACCATTATTCTTTAATGGAGTATAGATACTGAACACCAGAAGAGCTCAGCCACATTTCAGTGCACCTCAGAAATCACATATACACGGAAATCAGGCAGATATCTAACAGAATCCAACCCTAATTCTCCTGCCCAACAAAGAACCATTTTCATAACTAGGCTTGATGTTCTCCCCTTAATGGGAGATTTCTAAAATCCTCATGTATCAAAGAACTTGCCCCTGATATACAGGAACCATTGAGACTAGCACAGACATGCTGCTCTTTTATCACTATTATCAGCACATTTCCTCCCTGCTTCCACATCCTATAATCAAAATGAAAGCTTGTTTGTGAATTTTCTCATATCCAACATGAAATCATTCATCACATATTGCCAATTGCAAAAGATCAGGATCATAGGATGAGTTACAGTTCAGAAAGATTTATTGCTAACAATCAGCACTAAATTGGTTCTTGAAGGGCCAATGGAATTCAAGAAGATCTGGACTTGGACCTCTTGTGGCAATGCATGGGCTCTAAATTGATGATGCATTTAATTTCATCTTCCAGCTCCATCTGCTCTTCTACACATACGATTAAGCTAAATTTTATGTAGTGGTAATTAAAATTTGCAGAGCAATAGTCAGCTGGAGTATGGGCAAACACACTGAAAAAAAGTTTTTTATTAGCATTAACACAATGGTTTTTCCAAAGAAAATGCATATCTGTAAAATCTGGATATTAACAAAGAATGAAAGAAAGATGTCTTCAAATAAGGGATTTGGATACTAATAATAGCCAGGCATACCTGGAGCAAATGGAGCTTTGTCAAAATTGGAAAATGTGTTATACTATAATCTAAGTTCCCACCCTGAAATGGTTCACATGACATTATGACACAAATACAGAGAGGAGGAGAGTTTGCACCACAATGTCACAATGCATCTTTCATATGTTCTCCTTTTGCCCCTCAACCTCATCAACTGATTTGCAAGCTCACCCCAATCAGCCGAAGATTTGCAAGCAGAAATTCAGGTACTTTGAGAGATGTATTTATCTTTTTCCAAATGTATGAAAGTTTCCTAAAATTGACAAAATCTTTGAGGGTAAACAGGAGAAATAAAGAAAATTGGACAACTTTGAAATAAGAAATTTATATTGATATAATTTTTGATGTTTGAAAGCCAGAATCAAGCATCACTAACCATGTAATGTAACCTAGTAATTATATAATTAATGTTCGTTCCAAAAAATCAGTTAAGGACAAAGAACGTTAAGGAATAATTAATTAACAAACATATTGCATACTTTTGAGAGATCCATCATAGGCAGCTGGTTCTGGAACTCATCACATGGTTTATAATCCATCATATACAAAGTCTTGTACATGCTCTTTTTCACTGGTGGCTAAAGCGGGAAAGAGTTGGAAAAATATATTTAATGTATTAAGGCTTATGTAATTAGATTGCCTAATAAAACAATAGAATGGAGAAATTTTGTTAACACACAATAGTTTTCTAAAGACTTAGCAAGTAGTAGGACATGATATTCCCTTCATGGATTATTGCCTTGTCGTGGCAATAATGAAGCTATGAGCTATGCCGTGCAGGGACACCCAAGATGGACAGGTCATAGCAGAGAATTCTGACAAAACGTGATCCATTTGAGAAGGAAATGGCAACCCACTCCAGTATCTTTGCCATGAAAACCCCATGGACAGTACCAAAAGAAAAAAAAATATAACACCAGAAGATGAGCCCCTCAGGTCGGAAGGTGTCCAATATGCTACTGGGGAAGAGCTACTAGCAGAGGGCTAGTACTAGTAGCACCAGAAAGAGTGAAGCGACTGGGCCAAAGCCAAAAGGATAATCAGCTGTGGATGGATCTGGTGATGAAAATAAAGTCCGATACTGTAAAAGATTTTTTCTCCATAGGAATCTGAAATGTAAGATCCATGAATCAAGGCAAGCTGGACATGGTCAAACAAGAGATGACAAGACTGAACATCAACATCTTAGGAATCAGTGAATTAAAATGGACAGGAATGGGTGAATTTAATTCAGATGACCATCAGGTATACTACTGCGGGCAAGAATCCCTCAGAAGAAATGGAGTAGCCTTCATAATCAATAAAGGAGTAGGAAAAGCAATACTGAAATACAATCCCCAATTCAACCATTCAATATCACAATAATCCAAGTCTATGCCCCAACCACTGGTGCTGAAGAGGATGAAATTGATTGGTTCTATGAAACCCTACAGCACCTTATAGAATTAACACCAAAAATGGTCCTTATCATCATGGGGGATTGGAATGCTAAAGTGGGAAGCCAAAAGATAACTGGAATAACAGGCAAGTTTGGCCTTGGAGTACAAAATGAAGCAGGGCACAGGCTGATAGAATTTTGTCAAGAGAATACGATGGTCATAGCAAACACTCTTTTCCAACAATCGAAGAGACTCTACACAAGGACATCATCAGACGGTCAACACAAAAATTAGATTGACTATGTGCTCTGCAGCCAAAGAATGGAGAAACTCTATACAGTCAGTAAAAACAAGACCAGGAGCTGACTGCGGCTCAGATCATGAGCTCCTCGTTGCAAAATTTAGGCTTAAATTGAAGAAATTAGGGGAAAGCACTAGACCACTCAGGTATGAATTAAATCATATCCCTGATGAATATACAGTAGAGGTGACAAATAGATTTAAGGAATTAGATCTGATAGACAGAGTGCCTGAAGAATTATGGATGGTGGTTCGCAACATTGTGCAAGAGATAGCAACTAAAACCATCCCAAAGGGAAAAAAAAGCAAGAAAGCAAAATGGCTGTCCGAGGAAGCTTTGCAAATACCTGAGGAAAGAAGGGAAGCAAAAGTCAAGGGAAAAAGATATACCCAATTGAATGCAGAATTCCAGAGAATAGCTAGAAGGTTTTCCCAGTTGCAATGTATGGCTGTGAAAGTTGGACCATAAGAAAGGCTGCATGCCAAAGAATTGAGGCCTTTGAACTATGGTGATGGAAAAACTCCTGCAAGTCCCTTGAACTGCAAGGCGATCAAACCGGTCAGTCGTAGAGGAGATCAACCCTGACTGCTCTTTAGAAGGCCAGGTCCTGAAGATGAAACTCAAATACTTTGGCCACCTAATGAGAAGGAAGGACTCACTGGAGAAGAACCTAATGTTGGGAAAGATTGACAGCAAAGAAGAAGGGGACAACAGAGAAAGAGGTGGCTGGATGGAGTCACTGAAGCAGTATGTGTGACCTTAAATGGACTCCAGAGGATGGTAGAGGACAGAAAGGCCTGGAAGAATGTTGTCCATGGGGTCATGATGGGTCAGACATGACTGTGCAACTAACAGCAACAACAACAAAGGATGTGATATGCTGTATATAAAAAAACCAATCTAAACCTAAACAAGCCACCTGTGTTACAATATTTAAGTGCAAGATCAATGTAAAATCCAGATTAATGGAATGAAGGTCAGTATAAGAAAATATTCCAAAAAAATCTAGTTTTATTAAATATTAAAACAAAGGAAGCTATAATTGCTTCTGCCCAAATACTCTTTAGAAACAAGTTATTCTTCTTCTAATACATTCTATTAATTACTTTTATTTTGATCAGCCTTTTGTCAACTACATTTCCCCCCTCCCCTTGGTACAGTGCCCTACAGATATTGGATTTAAATCATCATAATCCATAGTAAACACAGTTTTAAAGAGAGAGGGAGGGAGGGAGGGAGGGAGGAAAAAGGGAGGGAGGGAGGGAGGGAGAGAGAGATGTATAAAATAAATTTAAAAAGGTCCTTTTTTAGCTATGAAATTACCGAAATCAAATATTAGGTTTTTAGTAAGTCCCATTGGATAACATTTAAAACTGAGACATTGTCAAACTAGCAATGGGATACAGTGCAAATAAGTGTGTTGTCATGATGAAATCTAGTAGAACTGAATTTGAGATGGGATTTTTTTTTAAAATTAAACTAACTTCCTAGCTTTCTGCTGAATAGAAAATCTAGTCATTCAATCCTCCTGAGCAGCTACTTCATCTTAAATAGAGTTTACCTTTAATATTCTTTGAGCAGGGTAGATTATTAATGGAAAAGAAAAGGGGAGAGGAGGGGGAGAGGAGAGGAAAGGAAAGGAAAGGAAAGGAAAGGAAAGGAAAGGAAAGGAAAGGAAAGGAAAGAAGGAAAGGAAAGGAAAAACATCACACAAATTCATGCCTCACCCTGGAAAGGGAAATTCGCTGTGGGATATCTGTCATGTTGCATCGATTGTCTGGCAAAAAAAAAGGTCAACTAAATTAACAGATTGTCTCCAAAATAGTTCCAGAGTATCTTACAAACTTCACACAATAGATATATTTGAACATACGGGTTTTTTTATCATTACAAAAAGTTTGGGGCATGTTTTCAACTGTATAATACAGGGAGATACTTCTCTTCATACTATAGATAGAATCCTCCTTGGAGGAAGTTATTCTGATTTTTATACATTTTTAAACATCAGTGGCATGGTTATAAAAATAACACCTTAAATATTGATAGAGGTATTAAGGCAAAAGCTTTCCGACTGTCATGTAAAGTACTATCTGAAATTGCAGATAGACATACAGACAGATAGGTAAACCTCTATAAAAAGAAACAAGTCAGCAATGAAAACATTATTTTGAATCACTTAAAAACAAAATCGAGAAATAAAAGCAGAACATTAATTTAATTCAAAGCAGATACGGTCCATGAAAATGAAAAGCATGTACACTATGATTTAAATGTCTGATGTTGTCATTGGGTAATATACAGCTATAGAATATATGTTTAAGTTGTTTGATTGTATGTATATATATATATATATATATATATACATACATACATACATACATACATACATACATATATATATATATATAACATGTATGTGTGTATATGTATGTAGTATGTATGTATGTATGTATGTATGCATTTCATTTATTGGGTTTTGAATATATATCTTGCTGTGTAATTTTAGCCACCCTAATCCTTTGTATGGTTTCATATACTGAATAATCACATCTCATAATTATCTTTTAATATAGCCAATTCAGAACCACCCACATCCAGTTATTCCTAAAACATCCAATTCAATTTGCTTAATTTCCTCTTTAATAGTTTCATTGGTTCATGTTACATTTATGTTCTTAATTAAAAATGAGTAATTCTTTCAATAAAGCCAGCATCCATTACTTGACTTTCTTATAAATTTGCTCTTGTTAGATCATCTCCAAATCTACTTCTGTAAGTTTAGTATTTTTCAGATCGAAATGTATCCAACCCTACATATAGCAAAAGAATTACATAAAGAACTGTGCAATTTTTGTCTCATTTGTGAGGGTAGAAGTGCTTAACACACTTTAAACAAAGGATGCCAGGTGTGCGTCCCACAGCACTGTTCTTGTCATCCCATGAATTGGCAGAACCCCAAACTGTCACTTATTAAATTTGAAAGATTTAAAGAAGCAAAAAAGGTGCTTCTGAATAGATTTCTAAATACATTTTACCTATTAAGAATCCTGAAACTTTTACCTCCAGAGGTAGGACAGCACCGGTGCCATCAATGTGTGAAATACCATTCTCAGTACAAGATCAGACAGTGAATATCTCACTTAAATGTGATTTCTCTAACATTGTGATAGGTGTGGATCTGAAGCTGGATCATCACTGATGTCAATGAATGTGGGGAAAGGAGCCAAACATATTTGGAGATTACTAAAGTGGGGAAGGCCAATTATTGCATCTTAGTTTCTGTGCCTTCTGATAACAGTAAGTAAAGCAATTTTTCTCTCATTCTTTTCAGGGCATCCTTTCTCTTTTTGCATTATAAATTAGAGTTCAGCCCCTGTTTTCTTACTAACTTTCTGAACAATTTGCAAGGATGATATAATGGATTTACTTCCCTGACCAGGCAAGCTATAACCCCTTAAAATAGCGAAAATGGAATGTAAAATTGTTAGAGAAAGCAATTTGTGAATTCCTCATGCAAGTGGATCTCCCACAACATCATGTGGAACTGAAATCAGCAGAATTATAATTTATTGCATCAGAGGTGGGTTTCAGTAGGTTCTGATCAGTTCTGGAGAACCGGTAGCGGAAATTTTGAGTAGTTCAGAGAACCGGTAGTAAAAATTCTGACTGGCCCAGCTCCCATCTATTCTCTGCCTCCCAAGTCCCAGTTGATTAGGAGGAAATGGGGATTTTGCAGTAATCTTCCCCTGGATTGGGGATGGAATGGAGATTTTACAGTATCCTTCCCCTGCCATGCCCACCAAGCCATGCCACGCCCACTATGCCACACCCACAGAATTGGCAGTAAAAATTTTTGAAACCCACCACTGATTGCATAGCTACTTACTTATGCCACCCTAAATAAATAAAGAGCTACTAGGATACCTTTGAGCAGAGGTTGTGACACTGGCTGTTCAGGCATCGTTACAATGCTGTTTGAATGGGTTCTATTAGGCCCCAAGAGTGAAGCAGAACTGTCTCCAGGGAAGCAGAACTTTTCACCTTTATGACACATTGGAACTTCTGCACATTCTGAAGTCTGTATTCCACTCCTCGAGGGAAAAACTGCACAGTGCCTGTTATTTTCTTAAAATTGTAGGACAGATCCTTTGATCAGCATGCTAGTAATAAGAGCTTCTTCTTGGGCAAGCATGAATTTCACCCAGCATAAGCAATGATGTGGACATTTATTTATGAACTCCGTCTTCAGGAGATAACTGTTCTTTGGGACAGTGAGCAGCAGAGGTGCCAGGGAGGCAATAGGTGGGTGGGGAAAAGGTACTCCCTGCCAACTTCCCACAAGGAAATTCAATGAAGAAGCTGAATGGAAATATATCTGAAAATGATGATCCAATGATGATCAGTATGTTTTAAAATGTTGAAATTGAGCTGCTCCTGGATCAATGCAGAATTTGAGATAAATCATTATACTATTCAAATAATCACTTTTAACATTTCTTATAAAATGCAGTCCAAGGTTCTGAGTGAAAAATAACATTACATTAAGGAATAATGTATGATTATTCTCACTCTAAATTTTATTTCAAAATAAATTTATTTATTTATTAATTCCTCCTCCTAGAATTCCAGCGACTTCACAATTTACTGTACTTACATGCTATTAAAGGATACAAATCCCAACACAATCCTCCCTTCAATATATCTACAAATTAAATATAGATATAGACATACTGATACATATTGATTATATAGGTATACATATAGATATAGGTATATTAAATTTAATATATCACCAAAATACAAAAGTCAAGCTCTCACACACAGGCTAATATAAATTAAATGTGAAATCCTTTCTAGCATATAATATAGGAAAGCCAAATCAACAGTTGCTTTTTTTTTCTTCCCTAAATATAAAACTCTACTGACACTAAAGCGATTACAATCTACTTCCTCCTTAATCCAGCTAATACTCATGGGGGAAACCCTCAGGCTTCGGATTTAAGTGTTCATGCAATTAATTAAGAACAAACCCCAGTCTTGAACCAAAAACACCCAATAAGGAAGCTGATTTCCTTTTTCCTTTTTCTTCTCTTCCTGAGAGTACTGCCTAAATTCCTATGCTAACAAAACAGATTTCTTTCTTTTTTTAATCCCTTGCTTAGCACCAGATCATTCTGAAGACAAAAACAACCATGAATTGAACTCATGTTAAAATTAAGACCATGATTGGATCTGGGTATTGAAATAGCAGTCTTCAAAAGAGAAGCTGTCAGAAGTAGGTGTGTGGTGACACTGAGCAAAATGTGTTCTGTTCAGGCACAAACATTTGTTTAAGATCAATTTTCCTATTCTCTGTCTCTCTCTCATTTTCCTCAGTTAGTAGGAAGGTCTTTAAGAAAAGACTCCTGCTTGACCAGGGAGTTAGACTAGAAGACTTCCTTCACACTTCGTTATTCTCTTATTTTGTTAAGTTACTAATTTCAGCCTTTACATTTAAATGTATTCTGATTATGTCTTTGCAGAGATACAGATCTAGATTTCTGCTCTTTTTTGTTATAACCCTTCTGTTTACATTTCACAGGAGAAAATGAAAACAATTAATTGATTTTTCTGTGATTGTTAAAAAAAATAAAAGTTTAGTTTCATTTATTGAATACAATTTATTATAATACATTTATTAAAAGTGGTTTAAAAATCTTACTGTCATGTTTTTGACAGGTGTTTTGCCATATGACAGTTATTGAATAGATATTTTTATATATCAAAACAAGGGAAAAAAAGTAAGCAACACCCTTATTCTGAGCAACAAGACCATACAATGTATGTAATCTATAAAATATCTCTATTTGTTTCCTGACAACACATAAGCAGAATCATCTGCAAAGAGAAAATCTATGACAGCTTCCACTCTTTACACATATGAAGGCAGCTAGATTTCCCCACCACCACCAAAGTGGTATCCATCAGAGGTGGTATTCAGCAGGTTCTGACCAGTCCTGGAGAACCGTTAGCGGAAATGTTGAGTAGTTCGGAGAACCGGTAAATACCACCTCTGACTGGCCCCGTCCTCATCTCTCCTCTGCCTCCCGAATCCCAGCTGATCAGGAGGAAATGGTGATTTTTCAGTAACCTTCCCCTGCCACATCCACCAAGCCAGGCCCACCAAGCCACGCCCACAGAACCGGTAGTACAAAATTTGAATCCCACCACTGGTACCCATTTATCTACCTGCAATATTGAATGCTTTCAAACTGCTGGGTAGGCAGGAGCTAGGGACTGAGTGATGGGAGCTCACTCTGTCTCACAGAGCTGGGGTCAAACTGCCAGAGTGCAGATCATTTCTGGCCACCATTTCCAGCATCATTAAGTCTATGTGCCACCATGTCCTCATTTAACTACTATACTAAATAAAACCCCAAGCCAAGTAATTATGTTATGGTTTAGACCAGGGCTGTCAAACTCCCGGCCCATGGGCTGGATGTGTCACACCCTGGCCATGCCCATGCCCAGTTTAAAGAAGGGAGGAAAAGTCCCACTACATCATGTGACCATCGCCATGACGACGTGACACCCCTGGTTTAGACCAAGTGGAAACTTATCCTGAATATATTCTCTATAGAATTCATATATCAAATATGTTGATAATATGAATAACTTGCATGATAAATGTGGATTATAATTGATTGTCCATATTATAATCAAGCTGCTGTGATAGACATGTATCATCCTGTTACTCTATAGTGGAATCTCAACCTTAACAACTTTAAGGTGTACATATATCAACATCCAGATCTGTGGGCTTCACTTCATGCTGGAAACTGAAGAGTACAGATTTCAAAGTTGCTAAGGCTGAGAAATACTGTTCTATTTTTTTTTTACGTCCCCCAAAGAAAATACAACATTTAAAAAATCCTATGGATTTGTTTCAAAATATTCACATATTCTCATTTAAATCTTGGCCTTTTGTTCTATGGAGTGTTTTTATTATTTATCTTTGTCTTGAAGTACCCTTTCCTTTTTATTTTATCAATATCATGGAGAGGACCTATCCTAGCATTGATGCAAATGATAGATGCGTTTAGCAAAATAGCTGGTTAGTTATTAACTGATCCAAATAGGAAAATGTGGTTACCCATCCATTTAAAAAATATCAATTCCATGTTTGTACTGACTCCATTAAATATCTAGGTATCTTTATACCACAGGGCATAACTCAACTCATAATTAACAAAATATAATATAAATTCAATATATAGTGAGATTTCTCACTATAAACTTTACCCTTTGGGAAAAGAGGAATGATCTCAAAATGAATATTATTCAAAAACTTATATTCTGAGAGGAATTCCAGTTTATATATCTAAAAAATAGTTTCAGAAAATGAATTGTTTGTTTAGAAAATTCCTATGGGGTCCTTCTATACTGAGAATATCTTTATAGAAAATGCAATTACCAATTAACGAGGAAGGATTTGCTTTACCAAATCTGGAGCTGTAACACCATGTTTGCATATTGTCAAATCTCTGGAAATAATTATATCAGTTAGAAAATCAAGGGATATAATGTCTAATAACAAAAGATGTGATCCTTTTCCCAGGCTAAATTTACTTTATAGGGAAGCCCAACTTTTAAAATTGGGAAAAAGATGATGATATGGACATACTGGATGGAAGCAGGGATATTTACCTTAGATCAAGTGATATATGATGAGAGTGTTTACCATATTCTAAAGTTAAAGCTAAAGTTTTCAGATAACAATGTTCTTTTGAACTACATATCTAGTAAAATTTGATCTGAACAATATCAATGGATTTTCCATGCCTTTATTATGGGGGGGAAAAAAACTGATATTGCAGCATTGGAAAGATACATGTCTTGTCTCTGGGCTTGAGCCTGACATTAGCAGTCATATCTCAGTTTTTAGAAAGTCTGTGTGCAGTTCCTGAGTTATTATTCTAATTTCTATCCATAGGAAGTGTACCTTTTCTTAGTCACATTCTTGATAAAAATCAACATAACATGAGGAATTATTGTGTTTTCCTAATGCTAATTGTCATAATAGGAAAGAAATTATATTGATTTATTGATCAAATTTTTATATCATTTATTTTACTGTATAAGCGACTCTGAGCACTTACTGTAGTGTGCTGTAAAAATGTTTGAACGGAGGACAGATTTGGCATCTGGTAAGGATATTCAAGTTAATGTCTCTACTCTTAGATTGCTTATGACAGGAAACAGGATTTCAGAGATAGAATGCCCCTTATACTGATTTGAGGCCAATAGGATGTAAATTAGGTTCCTTAATTAGGTTTATTTATTCCTTCCTCCTATACTCTGATCCTAATGAAACTCTGGAAGAATTGTCAGTCTGTCCATCCATCCATCCATCCATCCATCCATCCATCCATCCATCCATCCCCCTCCTTTCCTCACTCCTGGATCATATAGATATAGTATTCCAAGCTATAAGATACCACATTTGGCTCCAAGCCATTCTGTAACTTAGTATTTTATTGATGGTATCAATTGCTAAGCTGTACTTTGTAATGAGATACTAATGGCCAATGGCCACTGGCCCAAGCAAAATCACATTCCCCATGTACAAATTGGGAATGGAAAGGAATTGTTGATCAACAAGGCATGCAAACAATGATGTCATGGAAAGAACAATGTAGGAAAACATACTGCTTTTTTAATGAATTAAAGTGAATTATGTTTGCAGCTTTTCATTTCATACTAATATGTGGAAATTATACATTTATTTATCTCCATTTCATCATGAGGATTCATGCTGAATAACAAACATGCATACAAAACAGAACAGATTCTTTCATCAAATGTCAATAAATGTCAAATCACTTCATTAGGTGGCCCAATATATTAATCAGAGGCATAACCATGTATATCATGCTTTCATTTGTGGCTTTCATTAAATGTACTACTTATGAGTGCTTGCAGATCTAATATAACTTTATGCTTAAATCAAACATAAATGCCTTATGAAGTATAATGTGCAGAACTGCCATTATTAGAATCTCTTTTCTCATCATTCTGTCACAGGAGGAAGATAGTCATTTTAAAAGGTTTCCTGTCACTCAGCCTAAAGTAAACATAGCTCTGTGAAGTAATGCTTCTTTGTATCAAGTGTCCATGGCTTGAATTTTCGGAAGACTTGACACACCTATTCTAGCATGGTTAACTTTTGGATCGAGAAAAGTTTAGAGATGTGATCTCCTGACAACCCTAAAAAGTTTTTCAAATAAAACACAAAAGTCAGACTGTCTTTTAAATTATGGTCTTTAATTCCCTTTGTTTTTCTCCCCTTTTTTTATCCCCCGAGCACCTTGAAATGTTTGTTTTTAATTTTGTTAGCTACTTTGGCTAACAAATGTGAGCAAAAACATTAAGAGAGATCAGTTTTTAAAAATTCTGAAAATTCCAAAATTCTAAGGCAAAAAACATCCCCTGTATATTGGGCCGTCATTTCTAGAAAAGCTTAATATAAAAAAACACAAAGGGGGACCAAAAGGATAGATGGAGAGGAGAAATGGATGTTAGTGTTATGTGGCTGGAGGCTTAAGTGCTTTCATCAACCAGTACAAAGAAAACAAAACAGAGGCATTTGCAACGTCTCAAATGAAATACCAAAAGAATGAGACAGTAGAGACTTTATAGACTCAAATCCAGGAAGCCCCCACTGGCACTTGGACAACATCTGCCCAATAACTTTAACATTGATTCCCAATGGAAAGCCAAATGGGTTGGTGAACGCCAAGACATAGGAAGACATATAAATGATCCCACAAAAAAGGTGCCAGGCTTTGAATGACCATGTCAGCAATGGACAATCCTGAATAGGATTGACATGTCACACAGCATTTGCCAGGACTCTCTGTATAAATGGGGAATAGTATCCTTCCTTCAGTGTGTCTGTGGGGGTCCCACATCAAACTGTAGAACACATCATGACGAGCTATAAACTGAGGGCATATACCAATCCAGTATCTGATTTTTTTAAATATAAATGATGCTGCGCTTCAATGGTTAGATGGCCTAGACCCATGATGGCAATCCTATGGCATGTTTACCAGAAGTGGCATGCAAAGCCATCTCTCTGGGCATGCCAGGCGTCGCCCGTTGCTTTTCCAGGTTCCGGCGTGCACATGCGCACTGGCCAGCTGGTCTTCACACGTGTCAGAGTGCTGGAAACCAGAAGACCAGGTGACCTGCACGCATGCACACTGAAAGCTCAGCTGCTCCTCTGGTTTCTGGTGCTCCCGCGCATGCACGCCGGGGAGCTGCTCTTCCAGTTTGTGGTGCTCCTCCGCACACACACGTTCACTCCCGTTTTGGCATTCAGTGCTGAAAAGGTTCACCAACACTGGCCTAGACATTGGTATTTGAACATAGGTCTTTTTAACATTTATATGTTATTGGATTCTGCTAATCTAGTTGAAATGTTAATATATATTGCTAATCCATGTATGATACGCTATACACGGAAGGAAGGAAGAAGGAAGGAAGGAAGGAAGGAAGGAAGGAAGGAAGGAAGGAAGGAAGGAAGGAAGGAAGGAAGGAAGGAGCAGAGACTCTTCGTGTTTTATTTTAAAACTCTCCACATATTTTGGTAGACTCTCTATTTTCTGCTTTTATATATCCTCAATTCAGTTCCAAGTGAAAAAAAACACATACAGTTTTTTGTAATCAATTACTCTGAGTTTCTGTGTTTTGTTCCTCTGTTGCTCAGCTAATCTAGCCATATAATTTTGCTTTCCCAAGTTGACCAGGAAAAAGACATTGGCTCAAGTTTTCAAAAAGTAATGTCCTAACTTGACTAACTCCAATTTTTGAGACTTGTGAAGCATTTCCAACTGATGGCTTCCCAGCCCCTGCTTGTACACCATCAATGAACAAGTGATGAATGAGGATAGGAATCCAGAATCTCCTCAGAAACTGTGCTTAGAAACCTTTTTACTAACACTCAGCTGAACTCTTCTCTTCCTATAATGGAAGGTCATTATTCCCTGTCCTGTGCTCTGAGATGAAGCAAAACAAGTTACCATCTTCTTTTGTGTGACATCTCTTCAGTTAGTTAAAGAGCATTATCAAATATCCCTTTGTTCATCTTTTGTTTTTCAAGACTGAATTTATTCTAATCTGTTCTCAGAAGGCTAATTTCTAGCATATTGTTTATTATCATAGCCATTCACTGATCATATTCCAGTTTCTCTAATACGTTCTTAAGGTATGGTACAGAATATTACTAATATAAATCAAAGTATGACTTACTATGATTTGGATATAGCAGCTGTATTGATGCAGCCCAAAATTGCATTTGCCTATTAATAGTCATATTACACTGATGACTCAAAATTAATTTGCGATCAAATATAACCGCAAGACAATTTTGTACATGCCCATTTGTATACGTACGCTCAAGAATAAA